CCGCCCGCCCGCCCGCTCGCCCAAAATTGTCTCCGGCTCGGCGCCGCGACGCGCATTCGGCTTAGTGCCGTTGCCGCCCTTGCTGGGAAAGGTTGTCCGCACTTACACACCTGGGGCCAGGCATTGGACCCCGGGTCACCGAACCCCCAACGGTTGCTGCAAACGCTGTCTTCCGGGCTTGTCACCGGATATTAGTATTACTCCTTGGTGGTTTCAAACAGGGAGGCTCGACGTCTGTTTGCTTCAATTTACAAGGGCAGTAGGTAGCTTGCTGCACGCACGGAAGCTAGACGGATATATGTCGGGGTGGTATTTCCGTACTGGCCAGGCGACGGGGGGGCCCTTGATATAGGCTCAAGTGCGCGTCACCAGCATTGTGGGCGCTATTGATGTGACTGACGGGGGATGGTTGATGGGGGGTGGTTTACGTACACGGGCACGGCGGGTAAATAATACCAGACCAGCAGAATAAGGGTTTTAGAAATGCCGGTGAAGCTACGTATGCATGCTGCTATACGATGGCTAACTATGAGGCCGCGATGCTGCCCAGGAGGAGGAGCCTATAGGTCGAGGGTCCTAGCAAATAGAGAGATATCATACCATACCGGCAGTGCTGGCTAAATAAAACCCTGCGGTAATGGCATATCTCCCAGCTGGGTGGCGTGAGAAGCATCCACATGCACGCATGCACGCTGGATGATGTTCATGCAAGCCCCTACCCGTGCCTTGCCATGCGTCTGTCCCCTCCTCCTCGCATCCGCCCCCCATCTGTCACACGGGTTTGCATGACCGTAGAATATCTACATCTTAATCGTATCATCTCAATGGGCCACGCTCTTTGCCTTCCCTTCTCCTCCCACGTCTGGGCACGTCTCGCCGTGGTCACAGCAGAGTGTATGAATACAAACATCTGTGCCCGGCGGTCTGGTCCGTGGTTCTACACGCACGTTGTCGGCCCATAATCCTGCACGACGACCGACGGCGACAAGGGACCAAGACTCCACGTGGAGGCTAGCCGCGCGCCGGCACCCCTGGCCCGGATGTGACTTTTGTGTGCCCACCCGTCGCAAACGTGCTTCTCGACTTCGTCGGCCTTGTCGTCGTCGTACTCGTACCTGTATCACGTAGCCAGAGTTGGTCGGTCGGCGGGGCGCCAAGCAAAACTTCCAATCACCTCGGCATGGTGCGTTCACCTGCCTGTGCGTGCGTGTGCGTGTGTGTGTTCGAAAACTCCTGGACCTCCTCAGACTGGTTGGGGGGAGGCCAGGGCGGTTCGCTATCTCGTCTGATGGAAGGGGGTGCGTCTGCTCTTCGGAAATAGCGTTCCGACATCCATACAAGGTACGGTGGCTAGCTGTCCATGTTCGTACTTTCGGGCTTGGAGGATGCCGAGCCGTGGAAGGTACAAGACCAGACACCTAAACTGCATACGTACCACCGACCAAACACCAAGGGCTCCGGATGTGTTCCGGCTCTCTCACCGGGAGCAACGGTCCACTCGGGCTCAGAGCATCCCGTCTGGCGAGCAGCACGCTGCAAGCTGCCGAATGCGGTGGCGCCTCGAGGCGTCGCCTCTGCACGTGCCTGCCCTGGCGGTGCGCGAAGACGGCATTTGCAGGCCGCAGTTCCGTGGCGCATATGTACATGGCGGAACCACTACCGGCTGCTTACGGGCGAGACGCCGTAAGATCTGCATCGCGGATGGTGTTTAGGGTAGTATTCTGACATCGAATGGACCGGACCACTGGACGTGGCTCGGCCTCCATGGCATTGAACGGCAGTCGTGGGATCAGAAGCGTCTCGCGAGCCAAACAGCGAACCCGTGAAACTGGTCGCCTCTCTTCCTTGTGCAGCAGTTGGCCTGAAGCATCGGTGTTACCCAGCAATGGGCTTTGGCATAACCCGCTCTCGGCCTTGGCTCTGAACACCCGCTTTCGGACCAGCCTTGTGCTGACGACTTTGTTGTATGCCGACCGTTACATCTCATGACGCCGCTTACACGGGAGAGCCCACCGCCGACATCGTCGAAAAATGCTGTGGCCTAGCTTCCTCAATACCTGGCCTGTATGAGCAAAACCTTACTAATATTCGGACAACGCAATTCTGGCCAATGTGCCGTGCTGAATCCTGGTCGAGATGGGCTGTATCACTGTCCTCCAAACGACAACAGTATCACCAGCACTGCCAGGCGAGTGCCTTTGCGGGCCTCCGCGTCTGCCAATGCAGCCTCTTTCCCGGCAACGAAAAACATTACGATCAAACATGCGTGGTGTCTGTAGGCCTTGCGATGCCCAAAGGTGCTCAACACATACATCCAGACAATTCATCAGCGAATAAACATGGGCGGAGGAGCGGCCGACCAGCCACGGTTGGTTGCTCGGCTGCGGCCGAAGCCCATCGACGCCACACAAAAGCACACCAGAAACGCCGCCAAAAGCGGCGGTCACCCAGCGCCAAACTACGAATCTGCAGCGCGTGACTAAATCAAGGGAATGGCTGACGGACCCATCTTCGCGGGGCCCGCTCATCTCGGCCCTCGCCACGAGCCAGGCCAGGGACCGCCGCCGCCCCCATCGGCCAGGCGCGCTCCAGGCCGGAGGCGGAGACCCAGACCCAGACAATCCACACGTAGCGACTTTTAAACGTTTGGCCCCCTCCCCCTGGCAAGCAACCCGGACTGGCACCGATGAGCCACTGGGCTCGGCCGTAGTACGTCGCTAGATACTGGCGACCGGTGTTCGTCTTGCCCGCGGACCACAAGCAACCCCGGCCATGCGGTGGGGATGCGCCTCTTGGCCCGGTTTCCGGGTGCCAGCCAGGTGGTGGGGGATCGTCTCTCCCACGCCGCGAGGTATAACCCGCCCTCACGCACTGCGACCTCGCATCGTCACCAGCGTCGTGTCGGCAATCTCGTTTCAAGGTCCCTGTACTGGGAGCACGCAGAGCCTCAAAGCTGTGCTACGACAGTCCTTGACTCTACTGCACGTTGTGATCCCGCTCCGTCACATTACCACTTAGGGAAAACATCATAGGAGCGCGGAACAGCCCTCGGAAGCCACAATGTACACCACGTCGTTCGCCTTTTTCGAGGCCATTGCCGATGCAGGCGTTTCGCACTGCTTCGTCAACTTGGGTTCCGACCACCCCAGCATCATCGAGGCCATGGTGCAGATGAAGTCGAATCCCAAGTTTCCGCGCATCATTACCTGCCCGAGTGAGGTGTGTTGTCGTTCCGTCGGTGAAAGAGTCGGGCTAGGACTGACCAGATTTTTACAGATGGTTGCCATGTCCATGGCCGATGGCTACGCCCGACTCACTGGCAAGGCCCAGTGCGTCATCATTCACGTCGACGTCGGTACTCAGGCTCTGGGTGTCGCCGTCCACAACGCCTCCAGCGGGCGCGCTCCCGTGCTTGTCTTCGCGGGCCTGTCACCTTTTACTCTCGAGGGTGAGCTGCGCGGCTCTCGCAGCGAGTTCATTCACTGGCTCCAAGATGTCCCCGATCAGCGTGCCATTGTCGCGCAGTACTGCCGGTACACGAATGAGATCAGGACGGGCGTGAACGTGAAGCAAATGGTCAACCGCGCGTTGCAGTTTGCCACCAGCTCGCCGCAGGGGCCTGTTTATCTGTGCGCAGGTCGTGAGGTTCTTGAGGCCGACATCGAGCCGTATGAGATGGCCCTTGGCCAGAAGTACTGGGATCCGATCGAGCTGGGAGGCTTGCCGCCGAGGGGCGCCAGCAGAATCGCCGAGGCTCTGGCTGGTGCGTCGAAGCCGTTGGTCGTGACGGGATTCTCGGGCCGCAACCATGGTATCCCCAAGGCTCTCGTGGAGTTGGCCGACACGGTCAAGGCCCTGCGCGTGCTCGACATGGCTGGCAGCGACATGTGCTTCCCCGCTGACCACCCTGCGTGGTTGGGTGTCAAGCAGGGCGCGGACGACTCTATCCCTGAGGCCGATGTTATCTTGGTGCTGGACTGCGACGTGCCGTGGATCCAGACGCTTTGCAAGCCTCGGCCGGATGCCGTCGTTTTCCATGTCGATGTCGACCCTCTCAAGCAGCGGATGCCGCTCTTCTACATCCAGTCCGATGCTAGGTATCAGGCCGATGCCCTGCTCTCAGTGCAACAAATCATTGAGAACCTGCGCCATCCAGACAGTGAAGCTGCCAAGCTGCTCAGCTCACAGGACCTCGTCGCCGCGGAAGCTGCTCGGAAGGAGTCCTACGCCGCAAAGATCGAAGGCATCGAGCGCGCGGCGGCCGCGTTCCCCGACGGCACCTTCGGTACAGCACATCTCAGCAAAACTCTGAGATCCGTCTGCCCGGAGGACACCATCTGGGCGGTCGAGGCCGTCACCAACACGGGATTCATCCACTCCAACGTGCGCCCGACGCGGCCCGGCTCCTGGATCAACTGCGGCGGCGGCGGTCTGGGCTGGTCTGGTGGCGGCGCCTTGGGCATCAAGCTCGCAGCCGACGCCGAGGGCAGCAAGCAGTTTGTCTGCCAAATCGTCGGCGATGGCACGTATCTGTTCTCCATTCCGGGGAGTGTGTACTGGATCTCCAAGCGATACAAGATCCCCGTGCTGACGATTGTGCTCAACAACAACGGTGAGTCTCGACTTGGCGTCTCGTCCCTTGCTCTTAACATTGGCTCATGCTTCCGTCTGTTTGTATGCCTCATTACCGACCGATGGCTGACCCCGACCAGGCTGGAACGCACCGCGCAAGTCGTACAACCTGGTGCACCCCGGAGGCGAGGCGTCCAAGGTCTCCAACGAGGACATAAACATCTCGTTCGCCCCACCGCCGGATTACGCCGGCATCGCGGCGGCTGCTGGATCCGGAGAGGTCCACGCGCTGAAGGTCGAGACGGCTGACAAGCTCGAGGCGGTGCTCAAGGATGCGGTCGCCAAGGTGCAAGCCGGAAGGACAACTGTCGTGGATTGCCGAGTCGTGCTCGACTGCTGAGAGGGTGGAAAATCCGGATAGCAATTGAGCATTCGGCAGGGTCTCGTGACACTTGGCCGTCGTCACATCGTGAGACGTTTGTTTGCATTTGAGGAAGGTGCGTCCAACGCACTTGGCCTGCGCATTTGCACACTTGAGATACAGTAGAGGTACCTGCAAGTGGGAACGTACCGGACGCCATTCGCGTTTCCCAAGGCATCGTGCAGTGAGCTGCCGCAGCCTTGGTATGAGATGAAGCTCGCCAATTTGCTCCATTGTTTTCCATGATCCACGCCCGATGATGACACGCGCGTCGCGACGAGAATCAAGATGCCCATCTTGCCATCCCATCGAAAGCTGCCCCGCCCCTCCACGCCTCCACGCCACCCCGCCAGGCGACGTCACTCATCGAGCGCAGCCCAACCCAACCCAGCTGAACCCGCCCCCCCAGCCAAGGCCTCCTCATCCCAGCAGTCCGCGCTTCACCGCCAATAGCGACGCAAACCTGTCGTCTGGCCAGGCCGTGACCCCGCCAGTGATCGGCAGCGTAGCGACCCCCCGAAGCTGAGCTTATCGACATCATGCATGATGCATCAGGCAGGATTTATGTCTCCATGACACGCGCGTAGAAAACGCCCGTTCCCTTTTCTTCCCGTACTTGCACCTCGACTGAGCTTCAACATCATCACCATCATCATCTTTCCTGAAGAGACCTTGTGAAAGACTAGCAATCATGGACTTTGTCAAGAACCTCACTGGTGGCGGCAGCAACAACGCCGAGAACAACAACAGCAGCAACCAACAGCAGTCAGGCGAGGGCAGCAGCTCCGGCGGGGGCCTCATGGACAAGTTCAACAACTTTGCCGGCGGCGGCAAGCAGGGAGAGGCCAACGAGGACTCCCTCGACAAGGGTAATTATGCGCCGCTTCTATTCCTCGGCCTTCGCCTCGAGGGCGCACGCAACTCCATCTCTGACATTGATCGCAGCTGTCGACTTCGTTCAGGAAAAGTTCCTCGGCCAGGGCGACCAGAGCAACGAGTCTGCCGCCGAGCAGGCCAAGGACGAGGCCATATCCGACTTTATCCGCGACAAGTACAAGGGTACCACGGGCAGTGATTTCCCCATTCAAGACAAGGACCGGAAGGCGGGGTTTTGATGTACACGCTTGCCAGCTGTTCATGATGAGGGCATCCGGCATTGTATCGATATGGCTTTAATGCATTGAAATGCGTCACAATTGCAGCGTGCGAACTGATTCAAATGTAGGTGTGGTTTGGCTTACGGCTGTGATCTGTGTCGCTGGGCTTGAGTACGAATCAAATCTTTGGACAGTAGAAAAAGAGAATAATGATTCAAAGGTTGCTATAGACAAGTGGTATTGAGTGGCACATCCATCCATTCCTCACCTTTTCTCCGCACACTCGCAAATAAAGTATCGTAAATCCTAGCTCCGACCGTTAAGCTCACTTGCTTCAGGCTACCCATTTGCTACACGCCGGTTTCCTGACAACGATGTGCGCCCGCTTCACGGGCCTCCAGGCCCCATAGCTGGCGGAGGGAAGTACATCGGCTGTGCATAGCTGTTCCTGAACGGCACTTGCATGCGTTGTCCATACATCGGGGCAACTCCACGGTAGAACCCAAAGTTGCCCCGTCCACGTGCGCCGCTGTAGTCGACAGACCAAGGTGCAGCATACCCGTTGTTGTAATATACGGGAGGCGAGTCGTAGTTGGGTCTTGGTGCATATCCTCCACCTCGGGGAGGTCGCAGCGCTCCCCTCCCTCTACTCTGGCTTGGGATGCCGCTCGAATGTCCACCGTGTTGCATCACTGAGCCGTCCATGCCATTCTCTGGAGGTGGCCCTGAGCCGACTGGTCCTTGGCCATTCCCACCCCGACGGCCACCTCTTCCAGGACCACGCCTCCTCGGGAAGGACCGCCGCGATCCCTTGGGTTTCCTGTCCACAGTAAAATCGATTCGCTTCACCGGATCCGTGACCATGATGTTGTCTGCCAAACCGTGTTGCTCCAGTTCGGAGCTGCTTGCCGTCCAAGCCTGGAAGACATTCTCGGGCTTTTCGAGGTCCTTGAGCTCCGGCACCCACGTCCGAACGTACGTACCGTCCTTGTCGTAGTCGAATGCCTGCTTGACAGGGTTGAAAATTCGCGCATCTCCGCGAGGGTCGTTGCCCACGCCCGCCATGTACTGCCAGTTTGCCCAGTTGGAGGAGACGTCAAAGTCGACCAATAGCATTTCATACCACTCTGCTCCGTAGCGCCAGTCGATGCCGAGGTGTTTGCTGAGGAAGCTGGCAGAGTTCTGTCTCGCTCTGTTCGACGTATATCCAGTGTGGAAGAGTTCTCGCTGCGACGCGTCGATAAGCCCCATGCCCGTTGTTCCTTCGTAGAACCGCTCCAGGATCCTCGCGATATCGTCCGGTGATGGGTCTTGATCGTGCTTCGCTTCGCGTTTGTTCGCAGTCTTCCATATCTTGTCGTATTTGTCGCCTTGTGTGAAACCGGACTGACGGAATAATCGTTGACCAAACTTGGCCATGCAAAGCCGCATATAGTCGCGCCACAAGAGCTCGAACCGGACTGCAGCTGTTCCATCAGATTCACCGTCTCCATAACCAGGGGCTTTCTCGTATTCCGGGGCAGTTCCGTCTTCCAATTTCAAAAGCTCCGCATGAATTACTCTCGCAGACAAACAACCCAGCGCAAGAAAAGCTGATAGCTTAGTACTGAAATCGAGTCCAAGGAGGCCGTTCCTGGTCTCTTTGTATGATGACATTGAGCCGGATTTGATGAGGTGAGCGAGGCGCCTTTGGGCGTGGCTCTCGCCACCTCGGAAAGGGTGAGCAGACTCTGCGCCATCGGGGTAGGATGGCGCGTTGCGAAGGAGATCTCCGAGCGGTTGAAGCAGGCAAGCCTCTATCTCCTCAAGCGTAGCCGGTACGCTGAATGGATGATGTTGAGCCGGGATCGATGTTGAGCCGGGGAACAGGGGCAGCGAAGACTTCTCGAGGCGTGGAAGGACATCCCGCGGGCGCTCTCGCAGGGGCTCTTGAGATTTCCGATAGGAGGTGAAGACGTCGGGAAGGTCCTTGGGCGATTCAAGGCCCGTGTCACGGCTGTGTACTGTGTTAGCCAAGGTCAGGGGTGCGATCAGATAACTTACTCATCCACGAAATACTTCTCGTCGAGCCACAACTTGAAGTCGATGCCGTTGGCGGAGCATACAGATTCAACGGCATCCTGTTCGATCTTCTCCTCCGAAGACAACTCCTTCGTCATCCAGACGGCGCCGACGGTGGTTGCTTTGTCCCTAAGGCCATCGATGAGGTGGCTGAGTACATCCTTTGCGTCGCCGACGCGAATGACCAGGCCACTGCCGAGTTTCTCCAGGCTTTCCTTGACGTCCCAGACGGACTGTGCGAGAAATTTGGCTCTGTGTGGGCCACAACGCCAGTGGCCCGCTACAAGGCTCTTCGCAGGGGGGTAAGGCGATTTCTCTCCGTCTTTCAAGAAACCCGAAACTTCGACCTGGTGAGCAGGGAACACGTACACGGGGAGGAGATGTGTGAAGCCATGTTCGGCGGTCGCCAGATGTTGGAGGATGGGATTGTCGATGACCCTGAGGTCGCGCCTCAGGAAGTAGACGAGAACTCGTCCGGCAGCCATGTGCAGGGACGGCAGGCACGAGCCAGTTGTTGGGGTTTCTAATTGATATTGACGACGTACCGATGGCTCGAGCAGAAGTAATTGGCACAGGAGGAGTAGTTTTTCGTCAGCCTCTAAGCGCTATTGACTCGCCATGGACCAGGCTGGCGAAGCTAGGACGTCGGGGGTCTTGCGGAAAGGGCCACGGAGCAGCTGTGGAGGGCTGTGTCTCTTATTGATAGTGGGCCAGGCGGTCCGAATCGATGTCGTAACAGGCAGGACGAGCGGTCATGGAGCCGTGGTCTCGCCTACAAAGTACCGATGGCGGCGGCTGGGGTGGCTTTGGAGCTGCCAGCAGAGCTCGAGGCTATAGGGACAGAGGTAGCAGCAAGGCAGCGCCACCAGCATAAACGACTGGCCGGCCCCGACGTGATAAATGATGCCCGACGGGTGGGGACAAGCAGGGCGACACTCGTGGGTCTTGATATGGCTTGCCTCTGGGACTCAGAGGGCGAGATGAGGTGCAGCGGGTATCCGATCCCCAGATCTGTGCATTCCTCGTGGCGTCCTTGCTACGCGTCATGGAGCCGCAGGCTGGTGCAGGCTAGCAGGCGGCGGCGGTTGCGGGATCAAGGGGCCGTGGCCGAACCAGCACGGCAGAGCACGTACGGAGTAGCGCGTGGTTTATTTAGGGGGAACGGCTCCTGGACGTGGACGAGGCACTCGCGCGGTAAGAGAGTTTGGTGTGGCCGTGGCAGACGGGGGGCCGGCCACCGCGGGATGCAACGGGCGGACAGGTTGGACCAAAGTCGGGCCAGTCCCCGCTACGGGGAGTCGAGCCGTGGGAGAAGTGGCCATTGAGAGAGGCGATGGCAGTGGACTGACGCATGGCTGTTTCTTTTGGGGCCCCTGGGCGCCGTGAAGGATGTCGTGTGCTGTGGTGCTGGGTGAGGCATAGGAGAGATGGCGAGGGCAACATGACGATGATCAGGACCCCCGTTGGTCGTCCAGATCGAGCCATTCTATGGGGCAGGCGCAACTGGGCCGGTGGAGCTCCAACTCCGTGGGCCGTCAGTACTCAGTACTAGTGCCTGCGTGCTCCGTAGCCCGGGCGAGCTCTTGCCTGTCAGTGGAGGTTGGCGCATCGGCATGTGGGCGCCCGAGCTTTGGCGGCGGGCTGGGCAGGCGCGGCCGAGCTCTCTCACACTGGGCGCGCTCTCCACGACGTATGGGCCGAAGCCGTCGTGGATCCAGCATCAATGATCCAGCCATTTATCCATCCATTGATCCGTCCCTCTGCGATCGAGTGCCATCTTTTTCCTTTGTCCTTGCGCGCGGAACCGCCTGCCCCCTTTCCCGTGTTCCAGGGGCCAGCCTCAGCTCCAGTGCGGCATAACCGTTCCGGCCGTGCTGTGTGAATGGATAACCCCAGCTCCCCCTCTCCTCCCCCCATCCCGGGCAAGTTCAGGGCTCTCTGTCACGGTGCTGCAGCTTCTGCTCCACCCCAGCTCGCGCCCTGAGCGAGATCCAGGGTCCTAGCGATCTGCCTCGTCCGCTAGACCTCAGACAAGCACTAGCGCCCATCTACAGCACCCATGGAAGATGCAGGGCCAGAGGTCGTCATCGCCTGCCATTAGTCTGTTGTGTCTGTTGGTCACAGCCGAACAAACGGTGAGCAACGTTGTTGGCTGGTTGTCTGGCCTGTTGACAAATCTCTATCCAGCTGTGTCTTTAATCCGCCGCTCGTCAGTTGCTCGCGTGTCATGCCGCGTCGGCCCGTTGCTGTGAGCCTGGCAGCTGTCGAGCAAGCGACAGCGCGAAAAATTCTCGATGATGGGCGCCCGATGGTGGTTCACGGCCATGTCCGTCGTCATTGGCTCCACGCCCACCGACAGCCGCTGGCGGTACGGCGAGCCGGCACGCGCATCCCCAGATCTCACGTGCGCAACGCCGGCGCGCTCATCGACGATGAGGACTGCCGTTCCCGCTCCCATGCAAATCGGCCAGTTTCCCATGTCATCTCTGGCTGACGGGTCCATGCCGGCGGGTCGCTTGCCAGCCACGATGGCACCTACTCGTAAACCATCCCCTGTCGTCGTCGATAGGCCGGTTATTGAGAGATGGGCAACACGAGGCCGCCATCGCTGACCGACGTGGATGACGGATGGTCCCTGCTAATCCCTGCACAGCATCATCAGCACCAATCCAGCATACCCCAGCCTGTCAGTCGCAGTCGCTGATGGCCGACCCTGGAGTCGATTTAGAGGTTCATGGACTGGAATCGATGCGGCGGTGGTACCACACCGCGCATCTTGCCTCGGAGTCTATTCCGTCAAGCAGTCGGTTGCACAACATCAAGCCATCTGTTGCCGCCTCGCCACGGAAATGGCCCGGACCCAGGGAACCGGGGTCTCGAAACCCCCTGGCGGCTCGGTGAGGGCTTTGGCCGCCGAGGGGTTGCACAGCGCCTTCTCCGTACGATTGGTTGGCGGTGCAGGTGTCAAGGTCGGTGCTACGGTCGAGGCGAGTCGAACACAAGACTACCGAACATCAGCCTCATCTGGACCCTGAGAAGGCAATGCCTTCGCCACTCATACGCCACTTCATTATTATTGCTTCTCGGGCCTATTGCTCCTTAATCTATTCACAGTGCCTCAACGCATTCGTCCAAGTTAGTTGAAGCGCGCCGAGCAATGTCGCGGTGCCAAAATCTCTTGATCCACCACCCTGGACTATCCAACTAAAACCTCTCTAGCCAACCCATGTCCGGACAGCGAGTTATCCCAACCTATTCGTCAAGCTCGTCGTCTCACTGCTCGGTCACACGAGGAAGGCAGCGGCGCCGGCGGCGAGGCCGGCTACAACACCAAACGTCCCTCTGAGGCCCGCTGCAGCGCCGGTGTTGTCCTTGGTCTGGCTCGGCCCAGAGCCAGTAGTGGCCGTGGCGCCGTTGTTGACCTCGCCTTCCTTAACGAGCTTGCCACCATACGGAGCATCGGGGCTCACATTACTCCCGGACGACTTTGCGTGGTCCTTGTACGTCGCGAGACTTTTGCCCGAGCTTGGGTTGGCGACCCCAACCATGCCGCCCTGGCAGTGGCTCCCGGCGGAGCAGTAGAAGAATGTCGGGTCAGTGCTTTCCACAGTGACTTGAAAGATGCTTGGCTGCTCGAGAGTCAGGCCGCGCGTCTCCATCCCTTGCCAAGTGCAGCATGCAGTGCGACTCACGTTGTTCCCTTTTGCCTGGAGCATGCCGGAGTAGAAGCCACCCTGGCTCTGAGGAGAGCAGCCCTTGTCATAGTCGCCTGACACGACGCTGTGCTTGGACTTGCTAAAGTGGAACTCGAGGACGTCTCCCTTATCAGCCGTCACAGTGTCAGGCGAGAAAGACTTGCCGCTACTGCCGACGTCGATTCGGATTGTCTTGGCCGCGACGTGGGCCGTCAGTAGGGCGAGGAGCCCGCAACAGAACTTCATGACGGCAGTTCGAAGAAGTCACGAAAAGAGCCTTGTGTGAGAACGTTTGAGCACGTTTAACATGAAACTCGTAATATAGGAGCGAATCGCCAATGCAAGGCTTGTTATATAGGGCAAGCATGTCCGCTTCCGGTGGCCCTCTCTCCAGTCCCGATGTGCCACGGACTGCCGGAGCTCTGAGGGACAACCGCAATCTTCATCGCGACCTAATGCAGTCTTTCTCCGTGGCACGTACGGCGGCGCGAAAGGATCGGCTTTAGATTTCTTGTTCCATTGCTGGGATGGTCACGCTTGCGAGCGGAGAGGTGTCAGCTGATGCGCATGCCATTGAGTCGAGCTTGCGTTACGCAGCATCACCGCACGGGTGGCATCGCTGCGTCACAGCTTAACTAAACTCTTCGCAAGGTCGTCAGCACAGGCGATAGCGACATACAATTGTAAACGGAGATGCAATTTCTCTATGGCCTATGCTTCCACCATCTCCGGGGCGCCTGCGGACACCGGGCGGCTTGCGGACTCCATTGGTGTCAATCCCTCCGCTCCAGTCCGGAGGCGCTAGAGATCGCCTCCGGGCGCCGCACCGCGGCCGATCGGCCGGTACTGTGACTGCCGCGGGCCCCCATGACGGAGATGGAGGAATCAAGCTTAATTCTTCGCCTGGCTGGTTCCTGGAAGCGATACCCGCGGCGGCCCGGCTGTCAGCGGTGTACCCGTTCGAGGCACTTGAGGCAGCCATCTTGGGGTGCTCTTCACCAACGATTGCTCGGCAAAGGCACAGAGTGAGCGGAACGGCGACGTTCCAGGCAGAATATATGAGGCTGAGACAGCAGACTGCGACAGACAGGAAAGCGCAATGTTGGGCCCTGGACATGAGACACGTCGGCGACGCGGTGTCTCTCCGCAGAGGTGACGGGGCCCGACATGCCCGAGTCGAAGCGGTGGGGGCATCACAGGTGGGACCGGAGCCGCGGCCAAGGGTTGGAGAAGAGAGAAGCGTTGAACGACGTGAATGGTGTGCCCGAGCTGGACATGGACGGGGATAATGGGCCGTGCCCAATGTTGCCTTGAGCGAGTGGTTGTGGCAACTTGTGGGTACCACGGCTAACATCTATGGGAGCCAAGGAATTGGTGCATGTGCCGGGTATTGCTACAGCGACTGATACAAGACGGGGACCACGTTCTCTTCACGATCAGAATGCAGAGGTGGCAAGGACGTTGCGGTGGGTTATGTTGAACTCAGTGGATGATGCTCTCTGGGTCTGGAACCCTAGAAGACGACGCTCCATTCGAGCTTGTCGGACATATCCATTGCGTGACCATGCAATGCGGCGCAGGGCAGGCGACTGCCTGCCGACCCCTTGACTCCATGAGGCTGTTCGTTCGGCTATCAGGCCGGACCAATCTCTTTTCGAAAACGCAGCAAGGGACGGGATGTCACTGGGCTTCCGGCGACGGAGTTGCATGTTGCTGCGACAGGCCGGGCCCGAGTCCGTAACAGACGGCCCAGAGCGTGCCCTGGGATTCCTGGCCCCGTTTTATACGTCGGCCGAACGCTCGGCCCTCCGTCTCACCCGCACGGGCCAGGGGCCGCCGCCCAATCCACTTCCCCCAACCCTTCGGCTAACCGAGGCCAACCGGACTGGAGCCCCGCGGCATGCACCGGCAAAGGAGCTCCAGTGGCCGGGCGGGTGGCAGATTCACGTTGTGCCGACGCGGCGGGCGCATGCTGGACGCCAGACAGGGCGGCGGCGGCGGCGGCGACGGGATAACCGCGACGACATTTTTTTTATCCTCTCCTTCCCATTCCCTCTCCCGTTCCAATTCCTCCTCTCCCCTTTCCCCCATCCTTCCATCATCGCCGTCTCGCTCCATCGACGAACGAATTGACCGGACCCCCGCGTCAATTGCAATGTCTGTCGCCAACCGAAGCCTGCGGACGCTGCGCATCCAGAACCCGCAGCGCCTGGCCGCCCTCGCTGGTGCCGCCGCCCGCCCCTCGGCCTCCTTCGGCGCCGCTCGTTGCTCCGCTTCCCCATCACTCTCCTCCTCCACGCGCACCTTCTCCTCCTCCGTCGCAAAGCAATCTGGTGCGCCCGCCATGGCTTCCTCCGCCCGCGAGTACGATCCCGAGATCAAGGACATTGCCGACTATGTCGCCAACAAGCCCATTGACTCTGAGCTGGCCGTGAGTTGCGCTCTCTCCCCTCCGCAGTCCCGCGCCCCGCGCTGCCCCGCCGGCTCCTCTCCCCGGCTGAGGAGCACACACACATCCCCAACAGAATGTCCTGGCTGACGCTCTTTTGCCTCGCAGTTCGACACCGCTCGATGGATCCTCCTCGACACCCTCGGCTGCGGCCTCGAGGGCCTGAGGTTCAAGGAGTGCGCGAAGCTCCTGGGCCCCATCGTCCCCGGCACCGTCGTGCCCAACGGCACCAAGGTCCCCGGCACGCCCTTCGTCCTGGACCCCGTCAACGGCGCCTTCAACATCGGTGCCATGATCCGCTGGCTCGACTTCAACGACTGCTGGCTGGCCGCTGAGTGGGGCCACCCTTCGGACAACCTGGGTGCCATTCTCGCCGTTGCCGACTGGGTCAACCGCACCAACAAGGCTGGCGGCAACCTGGCCGGTGGCAAGGTCTTCACCGTCAAGGACGTGCTCGAGGCCATGATCAAGGCCCACGAGATCCAGGGCTGCCTGGCCCTGCTCAACTCCTTCAACAAGGTCGGCCTCGACCACGTCGTCCTCGTCAAGGTCGCCTCCACCGCCGTCGTCTCCAAGATGCTCGGCCTCAGCGAGAAGCAGATCGCCGACGCCGTCACCCAGGCCTGGGTCGACGGTCAGTCCCTGCGCACCTACCGCCACTCCCCCAACACCATGTCCCGCAAGTCGTGGGCTGCCGGTGACGCCTGCCAGCGCGCCGTCAACCTGGCCCTCAAGGTCATGAAGGGCGAGCAGGGTGTCCCCACCGTCCTCTCCGCCCCCACCTGGGGCTTCTACGACGTGCTCTTCAAGGGCAAGAAGTTCGAGTTCCAGCGCCCCTACGGCAGCTACGTCATGGAGAACGTCCTCTTCAAGGTCTCGTACCCGGCCGAGTTCCACTCGCAGACCGCCGTCGAGGCCTCGGAGAAGATCTACCACCAGCTCAAGGCCATGGGCAAGTCGGCCGCCGACATCAAGGCCGTCACCTGCCGCACGCACGAGGCTTGCATCCGCATCATCGACAAGCAGTTCAAGCCCATGGACAACTTTGCCGACCGCGACCACTGCATCCAGTACATGTGCTCTGTCATGCTGACGTTCGGCCGCCTCGAGGCCACCGACTACACTGACGGCGGCGAGGCCGCTACCTCGGAGCTCGTTGAGTCCCTGCGCAAGAAGATCAAGTGCGTCGAGGACCCGCAGTACACCCAGGACTACCACGACCCCAAGCTCCGCACCATCTCCAACGCCCTGACCGTCGAGCTCAACGACGGCACCGTCCTCGACGAGGTCGCCGTCGAGGCTCCCCTCGGCCACCGCCTGCGCCGCGACGAGGCTAAGCCCGTCATCCTGGCCAAGTACAAGCGTCACCTCGGCCCCCACCTGCCCGAGGCCCGCGTCAAGGAGCTCGTCGAGCTCAGCCAGGACAGCAAGAAGCTCGAGTCCATGTCCGTGGACGAGTACGTCGACCTGTACACTGTCAAGGAGAGCAAGTTTCTGTAAGTAAAAAAGCTGGAGGTCTTTTAGAGCTTAGATGTATGGAGTTTTGAACAAGGCTGGATTTAAAACAATCATCATTCCTGTGTGCTTGTAGTGTGCCGTCGTAGGCGCCTATCTAGCAGTTGCCGAATGACAACATCACCGCCGACGAATCGGGGACATCTACTGACACCTGCCCGCCCTTGACCTTGACGGTCTCGCCGACAGTGACGTTGTGCAGCCTCACGGGCTTGCCATGATCCAGATCCCAGTTGTAGCTCCAGCCGTCAAACGTGATGCCGGTAATGGCGTCGCTGCCGTTGGCTAAGAGTCTCTGCACACCAACCCTCGCGCCATCTTTGACACCGGCGCCGCCTACGGCAAAGGTGTAGGTCCTGCTCATGCGCGCAGGCGGGTTCAGCACCGGCTCCAGGCCCGCGCCGCCGACCGTGGTGTTGTACCCGTGCAGGTTGATCACCATGACGCGGGCGAGGCGCGACTCGTCCCTGTTCTTGCGGCCCGCGGGGTGGAAGTGCGCTGCATACGCGGCCTCGGCCGAGTCGGAGCCCAGAGGAATGGCGGAGATGCTCACGGGCGTGTTCTTCTTGACGGGGCGGACCATGGCCGCGACGGCGACGCTCCCGTAGTATGGCGCCTTGGTGCCCACGACGTCGAGGTCTGTCGTCACGGGTTGCCATGCTTGATACTGCGGTCAAGTCAGCTCTTCGCCTTGCATGCGACTCGTATCGAGACGTACGCGGTAGTTGGTCCCCTGGTGCATGTGCACACGCTTGAAGCCCACAGAGGCAGAGTAGAGGTTGAAGTCGACGCCCCAGAGGGCGGCGCCAAACGAGTTGGACAGGCCGGGCTTGCCCTGGTTGTAGAGCGAGTTGGTCTCGCCAAAGATGAGCGGCGGCGTCTTGTCGCTGCCCTTGCCGCCAGCGGCGCGGGCACCGGGGAAGATGGCGTCGTACTCCTTGGTGTGCGCGTCCACGGACAGCATCGTCTTGGTGTGGTTCATGAGCGTGCCCTGAAGCGTGACGCCCGGGGATGTCGCGCCGCTGATGTAGCTGTGTATCTCGTCAGCGACGGCCCTGCAGAAACTTGTAGCGGTTTTGGCACGCACTTGTGGGTTGAGAACAGCTCGATATCATTGTCCTGGTTCAGGCCGGCGGGCCACATCTTGGTCGCCTTGAGATGGTTGCTCACGCCGGCATTCGACGGCGCCATGAACCGCGGAGACGCCGTCCCGTGACAGTTCTTCCTAACAGACTCGCGGATGTGCCTCGTCGCGTTGAGCCACTGTTCGACGTACGTGCTCTCATTCCAGGTCGGCGGCCGGACGGGCCCCTGCGCCGAGGTGCTAAACAAGTCAGGCTCGTTGCCGTACTCCCAAGTATACGTCTTGCCCTTCAGGGCGCGACACGCCAGCGGCACGGTATCGAGGAGCGTCTGCCAGCCGGCAGAGCGGTTGCCGCCGAGGCCCATGTTGAAGCCGTGCGAGAAGCGAACGCCGAGGCCGGGCCATGTCGCGTACGACTCGAAGTACGCGGGACCGATGGTGATGGTCGTGGGGTAGTCCGGGGAGCGGGAGGGATCGACGGTGCCGATGAGGGCCGCGGCCTGGGAGGCGTCGAAGAGGGCGTAGTCTTGGGTGTTGCCGCCGACGCGGATGTAGGGCGTGGTGGAGAGGCGGGCGAGGTTGGCGAGGAGGTTGCCGGAGAAGGTGTTGGGGTGGGACTTGTTTCCTGAGTGCAGATCGTGTCAGAGCGGGGCTAGTATAGAGAATTTGAAGACTGGATGACAATTGGGGCATAGCAATGACTCTCAGTGAGGAATTGAAGCTCTTGGTGATGATGTGGACATGCGGAGACGGGTGGGCGTGTAAGTCGACGAACCTGCAAAATCGGGAAACGACGAAAACTCGAGCGAGTAGCTCACAAAGCCGTCAAACGGCTCGCCCAGGGGATTCGCCTTGGCCGGCACATTATACGTATCTGCAGCGACGACAGTCGCCGCTGCGGCAAGTGTGAGAAGTCCTCCAGACAACATCCTGGCAGGCATGAGGCGGCAGTCAACTCAATTGATGATATTCTCAGTTCGTCAAGTCTACCGAAGCCGTGATCCCGTTCCTGCGTCTCAATGCCCATTCAAATATACCTTCAGAGAGTCGTTCATTTAGGCATCGTCAGCGGCTATTGGGGTGTCACATCGCGGGCCGCCGCGGTGGCCATTTGCCGCGTCGAATCGGCCCTGTTCGCGGTGATGATGCATTAGTTCCCAATCGGCATCTCACCCGGCCGTGGTGCATCCTGGTTTGGACGACTGTGGCTTGCATTGCCTCATACGCAGAGGCATGTCATCGGCCATCGGGCAATACAGCACTGCACGGGGCTCCAGGACTGATGATCCGTGAGGCCCAAGCAACATCAATATTCTCGCGTCAAACCGGGCGTCGGAGGGGGGTGGACGAGGTCCGGCAGTTTAATCATCTTACTTCCCCCTTCAATGCGTACCGTTGCGCTCGCAGCTGTGCGTATCTGTCGAGTCTGTCGACATGTCCACTACGTTACATGGATGACGGGGCGAGACTCCGCGCCGCTCGTCTGATTAAATCCGGGATCGACAGAACACCAATCGCCAACGATTGTGGAGTTGCGTGATTCCACGAATGGGGCATCGCTTCTTTTGCCGACGTCGACGACCACGGACATGGGTAACACACGCTACCCCGCGATGCACCCCGCTGGTTTCCCCTCCTAGTCAAAGGATGATGTATGTTCAATCGAGGGATTTCACCCGTCGGATACCAGGGGCCGTGTAAGCGGTTGCAATGCTCTTTGCATGCGCCTTGATGTCTATGCCTCCATGTCCCCGTTAACAGCACTCTTCGTCGTTGAGCAGGTCGCATTCAGGTAATCCCTTGCGAGACGCGTGTCTGCAGCTTGCGGCGATGACTGAGGTGTCACGGCCGCCCACCTGCCGTTGAAGTCTGGCATGCATTGTCAGTGGCGTAATGCTTCAATGCTGGCATCGAGGCGTTGGGTATCGATCAAACAAGTGACGCCCCAGGCTGCCCCTATCGCGACCGACAGCAGGTCTGGCATCCCACCGTGTACTCCAGGATAATCATGGATTCACGTCGATCGAAGAAGGGGCTTGGGAGCGGGACGCCGACCCGCAGGGCCAGGCCTAGCTGAAACGAGTCAAGTAATTTACAGACATGTGATGGTTACAGTCACACGCGAAATACTTATCGGCCTAGACGTCGCATCTGCCGTAGGCCTCAAAGGTCACATTGAACGTTGACTCCCTGATGGGGTGATATCTGGCGTCAGCCGGTAGAACGGCATAGCTTCCGGAGGCGGCCCCGCAACGGCACCGGGCTCCGGACCTGGTATCAGATGTAACCTTGAGGCGAGCTCGCGAGATCGACAGGATCGACCGGCATCTCCAGCTGCACCAGTCCACGTCTATAAGTGCGTCGTTTCTGCGACAAACAGAAATGCATTGCGAAATATGCGCCAAGAGCGTCTTGTCGTTGCAAGATGAGAGTGAATCTGGCTGCTGGCTTGATTGCCATCGCCAGTGCCGGTCCGTCACCAGCTATTCACATAACACTGCCCCAGAACATTGCTGACTTGGACACCCTACAGTAAACGGATGCTTGGTCACCGTTCCGAGCACCCCATTCAACTGCCAACCCGGCCAATTCTCTCTCCGCCATCTCAAGAGCATCGTTCTCGACTCGCGCCATGCCCAGGCAGTCGACAAGACGGGCCAGACCCTCATCCCCCCAACCCTCGAAGACTTTACCCGCACCTTCAAGGAAGACCTCAAGTCGAGCCTCGGACTGGATGTACCCGTGATTAAAGGCACTCAGCCAGCGCCCAACTCCATCTTTGTGACTCTCGACGACAAGTCCAAGTTCAAGGACGCGGCCGGACGCCACACCGCGGAGGGTTACCGACTGTCCGTTGGTGCCAACGGCATCACTGTTGCGGGTGCGAGCGCGCTGGGTGCTTGGTGGGGGACACGCTCCATCTTGCAGACTGCAGCTCTCAATGACAAAAATGTCGCCCACGGGGAAGGTGTAGACGCGCCTGGCTGGGCTTACAGGGGCATCATGGTGAGCACCACTTACATACGTACACATTGACGGCCCCCCCGCGTGCCTTTCACTCACGAGTAAACCATCATCTGTACAGCTTGACGGCGGCCGTCACTACTACCCGCCGGACTTCGTCATCGAGATGTGCTCGTACCTGTCCTTCTTCAAGCAAAACACCTTGCAGCTGCACATGAGCGACAATCTCAACAACTACCCGGATCGCTACTCCCGCGAGCGTACCATGAGCCTCTACTCGGCGTTCCGCCCATGGTCCGACGACCCGGCCGTGGCGGGGCTCAACGACCGACGCAACGAGTCGTACACGCGCGACGAGTTCGACGACATGCAGCGTCGGTGCGCGCGGCGCGGCGTCACCATCGTGCCCGAGATTGAGGCCCCCGGCCATGCCCTGGCAATTGTCAAGTGGCGCAACCAGATTGGCCTCGAAGACCTCAGCATGCTCAACATCTCGCACCCCGACACGATTCCCACGATGAAGACGATCTGGAAGACGTTCCTTCCCTGGTTCCACTCCAAGGTAGTGCACATCGGGGCAGACGAATATGACGAGAACCTTGTCGCGGACTACACGCATTTTGTCAATGAGATGGCGTCATTTATCAAGCAAGAGTCTGGCAAAGACATACGTATCTGGGGTACTTTTACGCCGAAGCAGGGCGCCAACGTCTCCAAGGACGTCGTCATCCAGCACTGGTCGTCTCGCATGGATAACGCACTATTCGACTACGTCAACAATGGGTATCAGGTGCTCAATGCAGACCATTCTTTTTACGTCGTCAACAAGTGGTCCTCATCTTACCCGCCTCCCCTCAAAAAGTCCCAGGCCTTCACGGGCGGTAACCCCGCCACGGGCGGCCCCTTCTCGCCAAACATCTTTGACATCAGCAACGCGACCAACAACCCGCCGCGGGACAGTCCCGCTGTGCAGGGGCATCTGGTTGCTCTCTGGAACGACTGGGGCCCTAACGGCACCACGGTGCTGGAGGCGTATAGGACCCTGCGCGATGTTCCCGCCATTGGGGATAAGCAGTGGGGAGGAGACTTGACCGAAGACGAGTACGATGGTGTCATCGATGCATTGCGCGCGGTCATTCCGGACCAGAATCTCGATAGGAAGGTCCAGTCAAGGACTGATGTGGTGCTCAACTATCGCTTCTCCAATTGCGGAAAGGACTCTACCTTTGTCCAGGACAGGTCGGGCAACAACTATCACGGTCGCATTCACGGAGAGGGTTGCAAGATCAGCGGCTCAACACTCTCCTTTTCGGGCAACTGCCATATCGAAACACCGCTGAAGAGCAAGGGCAGGGACTACACGCTGTCATTCTCCGTCAAACCCAGCGGCTCTAACAAATACGGCACGCTCTTCGCCGGACCCGACTCGACGCTCCTCTCCGCCGCGGCCGACGCCGCGGGCAACGTCACAATGGTCAGCGGTGGCGAGCACTATGCTCTCAATTACAGCCTCCCCGTAGGCGCCTGGACGAGCGTCAGCCTCATTGGCAAGGGCAATCAGACGTTTCTGTCGGTGTCGGACCGTGAGCCGCAGAAGATGGAGTTCCTGACTCGGTTGGGCATTTGGGGCCTGCGGTTCGTCTGGGCGCCCATGGCGTTTGAGGCTCCGCTGGCGCGCATTGGAGAGGGCTTTGTTGGCGAGATGCGAAATATCACTCTGCGCGGCAGCGCTTGAGTGTGACGGGAGTGTTCGCTTCGTGTATGTCTGTTGTCATGGTGCGATCAAACCGGCTCTGGCTGTACACCCCAGGACGTGGCCAGGTCACCTCGGTGGAGAGCAAGACAGGATCACTTGTGCGGTACGGAACCCTGTTTTTGACATCTTACAATATATGAGACAAGATGATGTTGGCAGCAAACAGTACCAACGGCATTATGGTTCCGCGGCTTAGTCCATACATCACCTACCTGGTTGTTGAATCGTACAATCGTCTGCGGCCTGTGTTATGCCTGTATCACGTCGGCCATCTGCGAATGAGGCGTTTGCTAGGCCAGCATCTGGATGGGTTTCCAGCTAGATAGGAGTCAATTGGTTTGTAATATATATTGAACGGAATGAATCGTCTCTTGGTGGCCTCTCATCTGGATATTTCCGTCGGTCAGTTACCGCCACTTCGTTCCCAACAACACTTGTATGGTTCATGCCCTAAGCCACCAACCTCAGACCGACATCCGTAATCAGCATCATGCCGCCCCGGCTGGACGACTACGACGGGGCGTCTTCTCATGCCTTCGGAAACATCTACATCCTGCCACCCAGTGGCATGCACTACAACACCGTCATCTTCCTGCATGGCCGCGGCAGCACCGGCCGGGAGTTTTGCGAAGACCTCTCCCAGGGCGTCATGTCCAATCTTCGAACGCTGCAGAACGCGCTGAGATGTCGCGGCTTCCGCCTCGTGTTCCCGACGGCGCGGTTGGTTTTTAGTCGTGGCTTGACCGAGTGGACGCCTGCGTGGCTGGAGGAGTTCTTCTATGACTTGGATCAACTGGACGTGGACCAGCATGACATGGTCACGCAGAACATTGTCGATGGGACCGAGTTTCTCCATAACCTCATCGTCGAGGAGACGAACCGCCTGCGCGGAAATGCCAGGAAGCTTTTCATCGTTGGCTACAGCGACGGCGGCTCTATCGGCCTGTGGACCTTGTTGACGCTGCCTCCGGCGGTCCAGGCGCTGGGAGGCTTCATCGGCATCAACACAACACTGCCCTTTGGGCCGAGTATCAAGAGGCATATGCGAGGGGAGGTGGGATTGCCACGACCCAACGACCCCTATGAGGAGCAGCGTTGTCGACAGGACGAGTTTGTAACGGACAAGTTGACCATGATACTGCGACCGATTCGGCGGGGAAGCCCGGAGCCCCCTCCCCGCGTGTGCAGAACCCCAATTCTCATGATGCACGGCGTGAACAATAAGATTGTGGACATAAACCTGGCTGACGAAGCTTTGATTACGCTCGGCACCATGGGTTTCGCGACGCAGTGGTTCACCTATACGGGTGAGGAGGAGGATGCTCACTGGATCACGGAGCCGGAGGGGTTCGACGACATCTTCAGGTTCATTGTCGGCTCCTACCACTGATACTTGCCTGGGGTCTTGGGGGGATGGTGGTGATCTGGCAACAGCAAGGCCATACCGGGGGAAACGGGGAAGTGTGGGATGATGGGAAGCTGGGCTCGGGGGCCATTACCCCAAGGTTCCTCCATTTGCTTGAGAGCAGCGGCGAGGGTATTCTCAAATCTCAAGGTTACAGGGCGATCATACGAACGTACTTTTCCCAGGAAAACGAAATGAAAAGTTGCTTGTTCCATGGCAAGGTGTGGCGCATGACGAACGGACATCACCATCCTTGCACGGATATAAAATCGACGGCACGGGTTTGGCTTGCAGGGCATCTCGGCCGGCCGGACACGGACACGGGCTTTCGGCACCCACTCGAAACCGAAACAGCGGGGCTCATAGGGGAGCCTGGATGCAGTGGCGGGGCTCCACTGGCAGCGGCACAGCCTCAGTGCGACTCCTACTAAAGTTACTTGGCGCCTCCATCCCCTCTGCACCACCCGCCGCTCCTCGTGTGATTTCCCATCCTACAATCCACTCCACGCTCAACCGAGTACGACGTGCCCTATCCTCCTATCCTCCATCCGACAGCAAACGAGAGACGCCGCTCGGCCCGCGGCCCCCCAGTCACGATGGTGTCGGCCGACCGCCAGACCATCATGGAGACCAACAGGTCGCTCCGCAACATTAAGACAGTAGGTCACCGACTTGCCATCAAGGCGCCGGATGTTCTCGTCGCTGACAGCCGCGCAAGGAGCTCGAGAACCTGCTAGAAAAGGGCGTCATCGACGAGGCCGTCTTCGACCAGATTCACGCCGCCCTGCCCGACGAATCCCCCCTCCACGGACCCCTCCGCACCGCGACGAGCAGCAACGCATCCCCCGCCCCTGCGCGAAGCAGCCCGGCGCCCAACAACAACAGCAACTCGCCTCCCCCGGCCCAACAGCCCCCGACGCAGGCGTTCCAGAACCTCGGCATCAACTCGACGTCACCCGCGCCGCCGTCCTACAACGACACGCCCCCGCCCAACGTGCCCGACCGCAGCGGCAAGCCCGTCATCGCCCACGCCCGCGCCATATACCGCTACAGCGCGTCGGACGCGCGCGACGTCAGCTTCGAAAAGGACGACAAGATCGCCGTGCACGAGTACATGAACCAGGACTGGTGGATGGGGCAGAACCTCCGCACCGGGCAGGAGGGCATCTTCCCGCGCAACTACGTGCTCGTCGAGCCGGACCAGGAAAAGGCCCAGCAGCCCTATCCCGGCGCTGCGTACCCAGCTCAGCCGCAGTACGGATATCCGCAGGGCCCCCCGCAGCAGCAGAACCCTTACAACTCGAGCGTGCCGCCCATGGCCGTCGCCGAGGGCGGACAGCCGGCTGGAGGGCAGCAGGGCGACAACAAGGTTGGCGAGTACGGAAAGAAGTTTGGCAAGAAGCTGGGTAATGCGGCCATTTTTGGTGCTGGCGCGACGATTGGTGGCAACATTGTCAACAGCATCTTCTAGATGCTCAGCGGACACGGGCCGATTCCCTGTCTTGCTTGACGGGCTTCAAAGCAGCGCAAGGGGGCGGTAGTGCCGCAAGTCTTCTGGTATGGCGTTTGGAGTTTTGCGCTCGCAAGCAGCTTTCGTAGCAAGAGCAACCAATTAGGAGTGAATTGAATAGTGTTCTAATCTGCTTTTCAATGTTCGATGCTGGATCATATAGCTCAAGGCTCAAGACCAAGGTGATGCCGCACCGTCACGGGCACTAGACGCCACCAGCGCCACCTTGACGGATCCGGGAGCCCCACCTCGAAAAAAGACCCTGGAACTGGCAGAGGCTTCAACCGCATGTCATCTGCTCAATTCTGCAAAGATCTCGTCGGCAGTGTTCACTCACACAACGCACACGACGCCCGTTGCCCAACGTGCCTATATATTTTAGGTCACCGGGCAGGATGTCGAATCCAAAGAAGCGTGCCGCCGAGCCAGCGGCGCCCGCAAAGGCGACCAAGAAGCGCAAGACCAAGGCCCAGCAAGATGACGAGCTTCTCGACATGGACCTCGGCGTCAACACGCTCTTCGCGCGCATGGACAACCAGCTGCTGGCCGACCACCTCGCCCAAAAGCTGACGCGCTTCGGCGGCGACCTCAGCTCCGTCGAGCTGTCAGACCTGACCGTCTCGGGTGAGCAGCGCCTTCCTAGGAAGCTCCCCAATGAAGGCACCCTGGCTAACCGATTGCTGCAGCAAACTCAATACGTGACACAACGGAGTGGAAGGAGACGAGGACGCTCGATCACCTGCCCGGCTTCATGGAGAAGTTTGCAGAGGATCCCGCAAGCCTGGGCAAGGCGCCCAAGAAGAAAGGCGCGCCGCACACGCTCATTGTCGCAGGCGCAGGCCTGAGGGCTGCGGACATTGTCAGGTACGTTGGCCATCGCCTCATCCTTCACACACCGGAAGTAGCCGAGCTGACGAACTGCAGAGCTGTCCGCAAGTTCTCTAGCAAAGACAACGTGGTGGCGAAACTGGTACGTCGCGGCCCAGCCCCCTCTCAACTCGTCAGGGCGCGCCTGCTCACCCCTGCCCACAGTTCGCCAAGCACATGAAGGTCGAGGAGCAAGTCACCTTCCTCAAGAACAGGAAAACAGGCATCGGCGTCGGCACGCCTGCGCGTCTGATGGAGCTCATCGACAACGGGGCGCTCTCGCTGGACAACCTGCAGCGCCTCGTCGTCGACGCCTCGCACGTTGATCAGAAGAAGCGCGGCGTCCTGGACATGAAGGATACGATGATGCCGCTGGCGCGGTTCCTGGTGAGGGACGAGTTCAAGGACAGATATGTGGACGAGAAGAAGCCGTTGGCGCTGCTGTTCTACTAGATACCCGCGGAAGGGCTGTGCGGTTCATGGTGTATACATGAAATAGAGGGCACTTGCTGTCTCTAGAGCGGCCCGTCGCTCTGCAGTTGACTGCTACTTTATTCACGTGTGTTTAAGCGTTGTGAGAAGGTGCGTCACGCCGCGAAACCCCGGATTGCACTTTCTTTCATGGGTGCCAGGCGAGACCTCGCCTGTCGATGGCTGCTCCTGCCGTGACTGTTGCTACCGGTGCCGCGTCGCCTCCCACATGGTAGACGTGGCCGTATTCTCCTTTCGCTTCCTCTCCACGACATCAACAATCATCGCATCACCCTCAGCTCCGCCGGCACGTCTTCGGAGACCCTGCACTCGTTTTTTGGATCACCGCTCCATCCATCTCTCATTCTCCCAATTTTGGTGACTATCGTTAATTACGACCAGCCATTTCAAATCGCTATCCAGTTAGTCGACACACTGGCAACATGAAGACAAGCGTCGCAGGCAGCCTTGTTCTTGCAGCACTCGCTGCGAGAGAGGTGAACGCCCGAGGGAAAGCCCCAGGTACGAAGACATCTCACTTGTGAGACGCTCAGTTCTAACAAATGAAGAATGTGTCGTTGATTGCACTCCTGTTTCGTCGAATCAGACCGCCCTCGCGGCGATGCGCCTCGTCTGCCACGACAGCACAGCCCAGAGGGTGAGTGTGGAATAGTCTCCCAGATATGGCTCAGTACTGACGAACGGCATCCACAGACCCTGTTCCAGTGCTTGGTAGATTCTTGCCACTCCAACAGTTATGGCGACGCTCTTGGATTCGCCATCTCTACCTGCTCTGCCCTTGGCGCCAGCATTCGACCATTGCACCCGATCGAGGTCCATCGCGCGGACCTCGTCAGACGACAGGATATTCCAACAGAGCCAGGACCTGTTCTGCCCAATCCTTCTATCGTGGGCGGTCCCTCAATTATCACGTTCAACCACGATGTCTCCATCGAACTCAACTGTCGGGCCGGCCCGGATGGCCTGGTCACATTGTCCGTTCCAGCTCCCGCGTCGGCCGGCACGCACTTCGCAAACCCCGAATTGGGCTCAGATGGGTCTTCGAACGTGGGAAGCGTAACAACCCTGGCAAGCAGCAGCGACTACTCTTTCTCGACGAAACCGGTGTCAAGGACTTTCCAACAAGGAAATGGTGGCAGGCATGGCCCTACCGAGAACCTTGACTGTCAATCGACGACTCTGTCCACTTCAACAGAAGGTCCGTCAGGCTCCGCGGCAGCCCAGAGTACTGCTTGCCCATGCACGCAGTCTGCCCCAGGGGCTCCAAGTTTCTCTCGTCCGACTCAAACTTATGCCAGCCAGCCATCTGCACAGTTTTCTTTGTCAACCACTAGTCCTGACTCTGGCAACTTTCCCAGCCAAACAACTCAACTGTCGACGAGAGATTGTGACGAGCCCAGCTCGTTGTTTAGCCTCACTACTACCACTACTTCTCCGGTTTCCACTCTGACACAGTCAACAACCTTTGGAACCGTCTCATCCACGTCTCGACCAGAGTCCACTGACTGTTCCGAAGAGATGTTGAGACTGACCCCGACGCCACCGATGCCATTCAGCCTGCCGACGGCAAGTTCTGTATGGAGCACCAGCACGATTCCCTCCGTTCAGTCCCTGGCTTCTAGCGGTCATTGCTCCAACTCGTCATCTAGCTACACGAGTACATCCTTCACATCAAGTACGAGCTTGAGCTCCAGCTCATGCACCGATGAAACTACCACATCGAGTTCTTCTACACAGCATCACTCGACTACCACTAGCCTTGTGTCGACGGACTGCGAATCTGCAGTTACGTCCAGCACGCAGCACACGCAACCTTCCCATGGCTCAGCTTCTCTCCGACAGGCGACCATCAATACGACTTCAACAAGTCATACCGAGAGCTCTCGGTCCAGTAGTTTTTCTTCGCAGAGCGTGGTTCTCACCACAGGGCCAGCGGAGTATACAACAGCGCCGTCTACGCCTCCTGCGTATCTCCCTCTTTTGAATGAGTACTCGTTTCTCAGTACGCCGCCACTCTACGGCTCGAGCATCTCGAGTTCTTCTCACACAACTGTACTCAACACTGGTACCGGTACCACCAACACACTTCATGCGGCATCCACACGCGAAACTACCCAAGAATATGTCTACGGACCCACCACGGCCCTCCTTGCACCGTCGCTGCAACTACCCACACATGTCCTTGCTGCATCTGCCACGGAACGTCGCGACGAGGGCATTGCCAGAGACTCGCAACGCACCGACTATGACGACGCGCCTTTGCGCCCCGCAGCTACAGCATCTCAGGCCAAGGCCCGTGTCGTTCAAGTCACCATCATCTCACTCGGCGCTGGCGGCAGGATGGAGACATCGGTGGTGGTAGTTCAACAGGATGCGCCACTTCCCACTGGACTGGCGCTCGTTGCAAACCCTCCAGAGGGTACAGAGCTCGCAGGCAATATTTTGACACATGCTGATGAGCTCACTGCTCCAAGCCCACACGGTCTGAGCACTGAGAGTCTTGGAAGCGAGCCCTCAACACTGAAGCGTGTGGAGGGGACGATGCATACTGTCGAGGTAGCGGGCGAAACGGCTGCCATGGTGGAGGCAACCCCAATGATAGTAACTGGGAGTGCCACACCAAGGAAGCCGCTGCGAACTGCGCTTTACTTTGCAGTCGGTCTAGCAGTCTTCTTTTTGGGTGGCACAATTGCGGGCTAATCGAGCAGTGGCTATATGCAGTTTGTCATGCTGCCGTTTCTTTTGTATGGAATATTTGTCTGGGGGGAATGTGCATTGCCATTGTTAACGGCGTGGTTTTCTTCGCGGGTAGAGGCTTAGACCAATGCAAAGATTGCGTGGGCATTCCAACAAACTGGCAAAGTGTTTGGCAGCGTATGCCGAATTGTTGCTACATTGCACTCGCTGTAAGTGTCGCCCATGTCACAAACGGCATTGTAGCGGCTTGGCAGTGCGTGAATGCAGACCTGTCGCTTGAAGGTGGAATTTTTTGGGGACCTGGGGTGACCCTTTTGGGCCCGCCTTGGGATGAGCGGCAAGGGTCCATTGTGGATTCGGCGGCATGGCCCCGCCAAAATTTCTGAGAAAAGTCCAAACTCTGTCGCGACACCTCAAGCTTCACTCGTTTTCTTCGGCGGCAGCTCCTTCCACAACGACAGCCACACAATTCGCCGCGGAGAGCGCCACAAAGCGACCGCCATCATGAAGAGCAAGCGCGCGCGCGAGGCCGCGGCCACCAACGACGAGGAGAAGCCGGCTCCGGCCGCTGCGACGGCAGCAGACGAGCAGCCGGCCAAGAAGCGCAGGAGAGACGACGCTGCCGCCGCCGACGACGACGCGAGCGAGGTGAAGCAGAAGAAGGCCAAGAAAGACAAGAAGGATAAAAAGGATAAAAAGGACAAGAAGAAGGACAAGAAGGAGAGCCGGAGGGAGAGGAAAGATAAGCGCAAGGACCTCCAGGACCTGCCGGAGGAGGATGACGGCGTGGGCGAAGAGGCCGAGGATGCGGTGATTGGTGATGCGGATGTGGAGAAGGAGCAGAAGAAGGCGGAGAAGAAGAGCAAGAAGGAGAGCAAGAAGAAGGAGTCCAAGGAGAAGAAGGCCGACAAGGAGGGCGCCGAGGGTGCTGCCGCGGAGGAGCAAGAGAAGCCCAAGAAGAGCAAAAAGGACAAGAAGGCCAACAAGAAGGACAACGAAACCTCGACCTCGACGCCCACCACCACCACCACCGCCGCCGCCGACGGCGACGACAGCAGCAGCGCGAAGCAAAACGGCGACGGCGGCAAGCCCGACCGGCACATCGTCTTCGTCGGCAACCTGCCCTACACGGCGACGCAGGAGACGGTGCGCGCGCACTTTGCGTCGCTCAACCCCGTGTCGGTGCGGTGCCTGACCAAGAGGGACGACACGACGACGAGCGGCGCGACGTGCCGCGGCATCGCCTTCGTCGAGTTTGCCAACGTGTGGACGATGCGCACGTGCCTGGACAAGTTCCACCACTCGTCGTTTGAGGACGGCAAGTCGGCCGCGCGCAAGATAAACGTCGAGTTGACGTGAGTTTTTTCTTACACTTCCTCTCTCCTCTCGCCCCTCCCTTCCTCACTTCATAACCCACCCCCTTCACTGTTCTTCCCACACGTTGCTGCTGCTGCTGCTGCTCCTCGCTCTCTCCGACAACTCTCGCCATCCATATTTCTGCACATACGTATACTGACTGGACCTCCGACCATGCAGCGCCGGCGGCGGCGGCAAGACCAAGCACCGCAAGGACAAAATCATCGCCAAGAACAAGAAGCTCGACGAGAACCGCGCCAAGCGCATCGAGAAGGAGAAGACGGCCAAGGAGAACGGCGAGGGCGGCGGCGCGCAGAAGGAGCGCCAGAGCGTCAGCGAGAGCATACACCCCAGCCGGCTGGCTAGGAACCCGCGCTTGGGGCATCGCTGAGTGACGAGACCGAGACGCCTGCGGCGAATTCTGCCCGTCGCTGGACTCGCTCACTCTTTCTGCATGAATTCCTTCCTCTTTTTTCTTGGGCGTTTGGGGTCATGGTACCGTTGAGAGCACAAAAAGCGCATCGCCAAGTATAGAACGATACCCCACGAGGATCAATCTGACATGACATTCGACGACTAGTGCTGTGCCCTGGACCACCTTGCGTCAGGTAGCCTTGGGGCATCGACATACTTCAAGAGGTCCCGTGCGTGCATTCGCAAACGTGAAACAAGCGTCCATATGCGTGCTATCTACAAATCGTAAAGGGGAAAAAAGCTTGGGATATCCTTGAGACTAGGAAGAGAGAGAGAGAGAGAGAGAGAGAGACATGGCAGAAAAGACGGGATGCAAAATCAACCTGCCAGACGCCAGCGAGCAGCAAATCTTCCAACGCCCAGACCTTGCAATCCCCAGCTAGCGGGCCCCGTCAGATCGGGGCGTTCTCCAGTCGGGGCGCTCGACCAGGAGATTCCACCGCTCCGCCAAACAGCCCGGCAGAGGCATTAAAGGGGCTCCTTCGCAGAACGATGACACGATAAATCTAAGGACTCGCAACCGAGCCCGCGGAAGACGGAGTTGCCTGGGCCGCTCTCGCTCCACCATGCGCTACATAGGCCGTCTAATTCTTCAAGTCAGAACCGCCGATCGGTATCAATGAACACTGTAGTTGATCGGATACGCCGCGTGAGAAATCCGGGGGCCGCCGCGGTGAGCCTCGCCTATATCGTCGCGCGTGTGGACCGGTATAGTGCAAGGGCGGCGGGCTCATCGACGGGTGACGATTACAGGATTGAGCACTTCGACTTCTTCGACTTGGAAGGCTGCGGTCGAGGATTCAACACGGCGCTGCGGCAGTAACTGGTTAGCCACAAACAGTCCTGGCGCATGAGCATGGAACGCTGCACCCACCGAATTGCCTCGTCAAAGACGCTCTTGAGGTTGCGCTGCGTCAGGGCAGAGCATTCGAGGTACTTGTAGGCCTTGATTTCCCGGGCGCACACTAGGGCCTGCTCGTACGACACGGGCTCCATGCGCTTCTGTCGCAGCGAGTCCAGCGTCGCGGCGTCCTCGCGCAAATCGAGCTTGGTGCCCACCAGAATGATGGGGATGTTCGGGGCGTGGTGGTCAATCTCGGGGTACCACTGCGTGGCGGACGTCAGCTCCCTTGCATCACGTGTGGCGAGGATCAATGGACAGTGCGCACCTTGGCCTTGACGTTGTCAAACGACGGGGGGCTGACAATGGAGAAGCAGATGAGGAAGACGTCGGTTTGCGGGTACGACAGAGGTCGGAGTCGGTCGTAGTCCTCCTGTCCAGCAGTATCCCACAGACCTAAGCTGATGGGCTTGCCATCGACCATGACACTCGCCGAGTAGTTGTCGAAGCTTGAGGTTGCCCGCCCAACGTTAGCCAAGAGCACCACGAGCAGAGGAGTCGACAGGGGACCAACACTGTGGGAATGTATTCGCCGGGAAAGGCGTTGGTCGTGTATGAGATGAGCAGGCATGTCTAGCGAGGCGTCAGTCGACACGGGGCGGCCAAGGTCGCTGTGGGCGAGGATCGCGGCGGACTGACCTTGCCGACGGCACCGTCGCCGGTTACGACACACTGGGGGAGCAGTCAGCAAAAAGTGTCAATATTGAGGCGCAAAAGCTGTATCGAGGCTTGCCTTGAGAGATTGGACACCGGGCTGGGCCATGGTTCCGGTGTTGGTCGCGAGCGAGGGCGTCGAGCTTCGCGTTTCGGGTTACGGAAGGCAGGAGGTCGGCGGGGAGAGGGGAAGGCCGAGCGAGCAGGTGGGAGGCGCTGTTTACGAGCTGCGAGCGGGCAGCAGCGACGAGAAGGCGGGATGCACGTTCGATGGTTGTGTTGATGCGAGACTGGTGACGCGGGCGAGGACAGTGATGGATGAGCTGGGCTGGCCAGCGGGCGAAGTGACGGTCGTGAGGGGCGCCAGGAGTCGAGGTGTGTCTGTGGTTGGAGGTTGAGGTTGTGTGGGTTTCAAGGCTGCATTAAAGGTCAGAAACAGCGGATGGTTGGTTGACACAGCGGAACGGAGCTGGGCCGCCGGGGCAGCAGCAGGAGCCAGGCAATGGAGGAAGCCAGTCCAGGGCGGCGGCCAGATGTCAGGGACACAGGGGCGCTGAGGCGAGGTGAGGTGGGGCTTGCGCTGGTGCTGCCTCCACTGATGAGGCACGCTGGGCTGCCCTTCCATCGGTTTGGGTGGGCTTGGGGGGCCTGGAAGCCTGCTGTGAGCCATGCACGGGCGGCCGATACTTGAGAGGTACTTTGTGCCCAGGGGTTGCTTGCCAGCCCGTCGGCGGACCTGCCTGACGGGAGCTTGCGGGCGCTTCCAGGCTGATAAGTCGCCTGACGGGCTCCAGGGCTCTCTGCACGCTTCTTGTCGGCGGCGCAGGGGTGCGCTAGCGCCGCCCCTGTCCGCCTGTGGAGTGCATTCGATCGCATGATTGCCAATCGCAGGCAGTGACGGGCGCGAGCGCGCAGTGCTCCGCGTGTTGACGATGCTTCCAGCTTGTGCCTGTGCGCACGCGCGCTACAAGACTTACAGTCGTTCGATGAAAGGGGGTTTGTGGGAGCAACAGCCGCAGCAGCAACAGCAACAGCGCGTGCTCTCAACTGGGCACGCACCCCCCGCCAATGTGTCGCGCGCGCGCGCTGGCAAGCCACGGCATACAAAGGGAGGTAAACAAAGCAGAACCGTCAAGCACGTGAGTGCTGAGGCGCATGCACATTTTCGCACTCAAGCCGCGACACGATGCGACCACGACAGACGCGCCGAGGCGGTTTCTCGTTGGTGGTGGGTGGTGGTGGGTGGTGGTGGTGGTAGTCGTGGTTGTGGCACTTGATCTCAGTGGGCGGCGCCACAGAGGTACGCGCCGGGTACTTGCGATTCCACGCATCTTCCAGGCCGCTTCCCCTGCCAGGGGCAGCGCAGCGGCTCACACCGGTCAAGAGGCTGGCCAACCTTGAACCTTGAACGCAGCTGCTCGACTGTGAGATTGTCGTGCTACACAGCGCCTTATCCATTGTACCCTGATATTGCATGCCCACGACGCCGCCGCAAGCCCTACACTTCCCCCCATCGCCGTCTGCCTCATTCTGCGCCCGCGGCGCGTCCGTCCGCGTTCGCGTCACGACACGTCCATCCCGAGAAAAATGGCGCCGCCCGCCGCCCGCATGCGTTCCCGCAAGCCCGGCGCCTCGAGGCATGAGCCCGAGTCACTGCCCCGGCCCGGGCGTTGCACCAACAGAGTCGCGGATTCAGGCAGGCGAGAGAGCCCGCGTTCCTCATGGCCCGCGGATGTTTGACGTGTTTCCGCCACGTCGTTTCCGCCACGTCTTGCGTCCTCGCCATTGGGGCTCTCTCAAAGGCACGCAAGCGCTGCCCTCTTTGTTTATTACCATGTCATGCTCGCCGTCGTCGCATGGTTTGCTCGTGACCTTTGAACTGGCGGAACGCGACAATGCACACGTCCAATGCCCGCGCAAGCAGCCTCCAACATGGTCCAAGACCTGTCGTTTGTACGCCCAATGAGGGCGCCGATGCCGCCTGTCAATATGTCGCGCCCCTGGCAAGAAGTCGGAGGCAGGGATGCGCGACAAGCTAGCAGTTTGGGCGACGACGCCGTGGCGCCTTAACAGACTGGCGCGAGGAGGCTGCGGAGTGTTGTTAGGCGGCGTCCCTGGGGGTGGCGCCCCCTTTGGCCTTCTGCCGACGCACTGTCATCGGCCTTCACCGGAGCGAACCACTTGACGCACGTCCTGCGACAGTGTTTGCCTCACTGCCAACGAGACGTGAAACGAAACGCCGCAAAAACCCGCTCGCTCCCTGGGCTGGCAAGCCTGTGCTTCTTCGGTCGCGGGCCCACGTGGCGCCGGGCCAAACCGCGAGGCCGATGCTTGTAAGTGCATGTGGACTTGTTGTCAAGCGGCGACTGTTGGCCGCCCTTCATCTATGATTCAACTAATTATGTAGATGCCAAAGGCGCGGGAAGAGCGCCCCGGCTTATTACCGCCATTATGCAGTGAAAATTGTCAGGGCGAGGTGGACTGTTCGGACTTTGCGGCTGCCTACCGTCATGCGTCGGCTTACACCACAAGATACCGCCACGCTGGGGCGCCTCGTTCCGTTGCCCCGATCACGGGCCCGCGCTCGACCCAGGCGCGGCGGGACGCCTGTACTCGTGCATATGCGAAGGGCCAGAAATAGGGATTGCAATGCGAGGCGAGCACCGACAATCCCACGACGCCTCCGCGACCTGGGGCGTCGCTAGTTAGCGGCGGCCTGGCCCGGACGCAGTCTGCTTGACTCGGCCCGGAGCGGCGACGAGGTGCCGAAGACGAAATCTATTTCCGGTGCAGTAAGCACGGCCGTGGCCAACGACGGCGTCGTTCGAGGACACTGCCGGACGGGATCCTGGGCCCAGATCGGGCGTCAAGTTGGATCTCCACTACGGCAGACCATTGCCGTGGGTTTCCACTCGCAAAGCTGTCAGACTTCATGTGTGACTGCAGTTCTTTCAGTCTTTCAGCCCTGTGTCACCTCCTCTTTTCTTCAGACATCTACACTTTATGTTTGAGGTCGTCTTGCCACATTAATACAACAAAACCTCTACCCCGAAGCTTCGAGACTTCAGAGCAGGTCTTTCTGTAATGTCTGCCTACTCGCGATCGCCCTCTGCTCCTGGAGTCGCTGCGAGTTAACAAACTGTCTCTACGTCAGAAACTGAGGACTTGAAAGTGGCCATGTCCTTCGCAATCCGGTCTGGCCCTTGACGCCATGGCCCGAACTGGACGGGGCTGTACAGGCTGACCAACGAAGTGGTTTCTGCGCAACTAATGCTAGCGATTGTGGTGTCTGCGTCCACAGACGACCACGGAGAGGGGTCCCAACATTATGTCTTGCCAGCGCTGTAGTGCGACTACGAGCCCAAGCTTGGATGTGACATCCAGCGCAATGTCTAATGCTGTACGTACGTGACACTGGCCACCATAGCTGTTGCGTGCCGCATCATAGATGCTCGGGAATGCCATTTGCCATCGACGACCACGTGCGCCTCTGCTCGGGACGTGCCAGCGAAAATGAATGAGGCAACCATGAGATTAGACACAACATCTTGGCACAACACAAGTACGGCAGCGGCATTTGTTTTCATGATAGGGGGCCCGTCCGTTGCAGGCAGCCACACCTTTGCGACGCATATACAATGCGACATCGCGCCGCCAACAAAGTGCCGAGGCACATTCCCCCCCCGCGCTACGACGTTGTCGAACGATTTTTAGGAAAATTGCCCCTTTCGGGGCGCCGCCCGCCTCCGTGGCGCCCCCGTCTCGATTTGCCCCGAAAGTCCGCTCCATTTGACCCGCAAGTCCGCCCCGGGATACCACTCTGCAACGCCGGGCGCAATGCAGACACTGGGAAATTTCAACAGTCCCTATCCGCGATTCAGGTGGATATGTCCGTGGTCCATGAGTCCGTGGAGACCAGACTGGACCCCGAAGCTCTAGCCCGCTCTGGCGGCCGGATTCATGTGCCGCCTCCGAGAATTGGATTGGGATGGGATGGCACCACCGATGCGGTGCGCCGTTGACAACTCACCCGAGGCCGGGGGGCCAAAGCCCGACTTATACACTCGCCCAGTCCGTCCTTCGTCGTTGAGAACAAACCACCTTTGTCTGTGTCTGGGTCTGTGCCGATGAATTGAGTCGATCGTCCGCCATCAAACAGCACTCAACTTCCCAAGTAGAAACACCGCCATCATGGGGGAGAAGAAGAGCGAGCTGGAAATGTCCAAGCCCATCACGCTGCCGTGCGGGCTCACCTTCCCGAACCGCCTCGCCAAAGCGGCGCTGGCCGAGGCATGGGCCGACCGCGACCGGCTGCCGAGCGAGCGACTCCTCGACACGTACGGCGTCTGGGCCGACGGCGGCTGGGGCATGGTCCTCACCGGCAACGTCCAGGTCGACGTCACGTATCTGGGAACGCCCGACGACACGGCCCTCAACCATCTCATCCCGCGCGAGCGCCTGCTCGAGTCGTGGCGCCGCTGGGCCCAGGTCACCGGCCGTAACGGCACGCCAACCATCATGCAGATCAACCATCCCGGCCGGCAGTCCATCATCGGCGCTGGCACTCGCAGCCTCTGCGCCAAGAGCATAGCCCCGAGCGCCGTACCGCTGCTGCTCGGCGAGGGCATCATCCCGCGCGCCATCAGCGCCTTCGTCTTCGGCACGCCGCGTGCCATGACCGTCGAGGAGATCCAGCACGTCGTCTCGCGTTTCGCCGAGTCTGCACGTCTGGCTTCCGAGGCTGGCTTCTCCGGCGTGCAGATCCACGGCGCGCATGGCTATCTCGTTGCTCAGTTCCTCAGCGCCAAGAGCAACCTGCGTACCGATGAGTACGGCGGCTCACCGCGACGACGTGCGCGCATCGTCGTCGAGATCATCAAGGCCATCCGCGAGCAAGTGCCCAAGGGCTTTGCGGTTGGGCTCAAATTCAACAGCGTGGATCACCAGAGCCCCCAAGAGCTCGAGGAGTGCATCGAGCAGCTCGAGGACATAACCGCCGCGGGTATCGACTTTCTCGAGATCAGTGGTGGCACCTACGAGGACCCAACTGTAAGTCAAATGAGACTCGTCCTGGCTTTGCCGCGCCCACCGGGCGTGATATGAGACTGGCCACTTACACACGTCACCGCAGATGATGGCCAACGCCCCTCCCAAGGCCGCCAGCACCGTTGCGCGCGAGGCCTTCTTCCTCGACTTCGCCAAGGCCATCCGCGAAAAGTTCAGGAGCGTGCCGCTCATGGTGACGGGCGGCTTCCGAACTCGCCAAGGCATGGAGGCGGCGCTGCGCGAGGACGCTTGCGACATCATCGGCCTTGGTCGGCCCTCCGTGCTCAACCCCCATCTGCCCGCAAACACGCTCTTCAACGCGGAAGTTACCGACGCGGATGCGACAGTGTACGCGCGCAATGTTCCTGGCAGCTGGCTGTTCAAGAAGCTCGGCATCAAGGGCATAGCGGGAGGCGCGGAGACGGTACGTTTGACCCCTCGCTTCCAGGATTCCAGAGTCTCGCGTGCGCCAAATTACTGACGATGACATGCACTCATTAGGCGTGGTATCAAAGACAAATTCACAACATGCTGAGCAGCAACTTATAGTTGCACTAAGAGAGGGCTACAGGGGAAACAGGCGAGGATGGATGGGTCTTTGGCAGACTTGTACACATGGCGGTGTGTTGGCGAGGGTTAGCTATGAGCGGTCCGCTAAGGACGGCATGGCAGGCGCGCATATCAATGATCACATGCACCTAGATAAGTATATCAAATACATTAATGGCATCAAAGGCAAGGCTTTATGTTGGCAAGGGGGCGTGATGTGACGCCCAAGCCTGGGGTATCATGCTCGGCCTGGGCTCTTCGCCATTTGAGACGAGTGACTCAAGGGAACAATGTCTATAACGCCTATTCGGGCTTGTACTGTTTTTAATGTGCGCCGTTACATCATCGATTCCCCAAATCTTGACCTAGTGTTGGTCTGAATTCGCGCATACCGTGACAAACGCAATCCTCGAGTCTTGTCCAGAGGATTCGGACTTGACTCAAGAGGCAAAATACCCTGTCTGGATTGACATCAGTACCCTGATGCTCTCTCGCCCACTTGACGCCTCCCAGGTTGTACGTAAGGTCGCCTGGAGACTTCTGAGCGTGCGGTCTATCAAGTCGTAAAGGCACACCACCACCCCTAACATAAACCGGTCAAATCTGACTTCTTCCTCGGGCCATCCATCGGCTAGCTGACTGAGACTCAAAACGGCTTCCACACGTCGCCACCTGGCGTCAATCACGATGCCTCCGGTCAAGATATCCCAGGGCGATCTCATGGCCCTCCTGGCTCGACCCTAACCTGGCAGTAAGCCAATGTTCCCCCGGAACGCTTGACAGATGATCTAAATCCATCCGAGTACACAGCAGACAGCTTAACGATCCCCGGTACCCAGGCCCCTCAGAGAGTCGACGTTGTGAAACGACGACCGCCTACATCAATATGATTCAGGCGGAAACTCGCGCCCTTCGAGAGAATCCTTACATGTACTACAGCCTATTTCGTAGCTTGACCGAACAAGCTCGAGCGGCTGTAGACCGTGCCGTAGCAAGATTCTATTATGGCGACAAAGCAGGAGCGGATCGCATCTTTTTAGAATTCGTCCGACGCAACTCTACGCAGGAGATCTCGGAGATTGGGAAAATGTGGCTCTCGCTTACTGTGTTGCAACTAAGTGCAGAAGACTATCGGACTGAGCTTCTCGCGTTCATCAGACACGAGAAAATCGGACTTCGAAAACGCGCGTGATGAGACTACATGGGGAGAACAGTCCAAATCTCCTGATGTCCACTTTGAGCATGGTTCATTCAGACATCCCCTTGGCAGGAAAGTGACGTTGCGCCAAGTACTGGAAGGCAGCCAGGCGAGAGAATGGGTCGCAATGTAGAGAGTTTGTTTCCTTAAGACTGAATCGTTTATTGCGCGATTTTAGTTGGAATTCACAAAGCGCCCTCTTCATATTTGTCCAATGACCTGAACTCGTCGCGCTTGACACGTCTCTCGTTGTCATAGCCATTTCCGCCCATTTCACGATGCGTGTGCAACCGTCACAGGATTCCTTCTACTGAACATATTCTCGCGCATGTTATTTTTCTATCTCAGTTGCAACACCTCCCTCGTAAGCCGCGTCACGCGTGACGATATCAGAAGTCGCAGCTGTCAGCGCGCAGTGCCCAACCAAGGCGATACGCGGAAGCAGGCCACAGGGAGGCACCTGCTCTCGATTATTGAGAAAAATGTGGCAGACGCGTGGCGACAAGGTCTCGTTTCGCGGTGCGGGCCGTGGTCGGTTTCAGCAATATGCAGCCTGTTGAAGGGCCTGAACGATGTTCCGGGAGGGCCGTATGGCCGTTTGAATAACCGAGGCGCCTGTGAATTGCGCCCTTGTGTATGCTACTGGAGCTTCTCCATCTGTGGCTCGTGCTCCTAAAAGCAGGCTTTTCGAATCAGCGCGGCATCGGCGCACGGTGGTTTGGGCATGCCTCCTGAGAGACAACGCCCTGCCCAGCGGGTGGTGGGATAAATCGTGCCCATGCAAGTCACAATAAACAGCACGGCTGCGTTTCAACGGCTGCCAAACTTACTGACGAGTTGATGTCAAGAGTTCGTTTGAGCACAACCGGGCGGACTAGAACTACTAAAGGCCGCATGCGACCATGGCTGCACGTCTGGTGATCCCAAGATGTTTGCATACTCTTTGCATCCTGAATTGCCAGCGTAGAACCATCTCGACTACTTTCTCTTGGATCTCTATTCCGTCAAACAGTCATGCCTACGCGCGAATCCCCACATGATGTATGGAGAAAGGAGATGTTCATGAAAACGGGGCGGGTGTGGCCCCGTGGGCGACGGCGTCGTGGAACTGACGAACGCACTCTTGATCGACGTATGGCATGCCATTCGTTTCGGCCTGACAAGGTGGATGCTAACTGAACTCCAAGGTGACGAGACGTCTTGCCTGGAAGAGGTCTACCGGAAGTTGGACCCCGAGATCCGATTGGCTGTTGATGATGCCGTGATAATCTTCGGGAACGGATACAAGGAGTGCGCAGTTAACATCTTTTTGACCGAGATTAGCGACAAGTATACCTGGAATGTGATTGGCCTCCATGCCTTAACGTACTCAAGCGGAGGTTCGACCGAGAAGTTTAGAGAGGGACTGCTCGAATTTCTCAATGATCGGAAAAATGTTGGCTACTACCCTTGAGCACGAGGCAGTCACTTAGATGAGCAGTAGGAGAGGTCTCACTATTCGCTGTCTCGTTTTTGTGTCCAGATGTCGTCGTGCATGTTCTACGTCATGGAGAAAGGGAGTGCGCCAACCTAGGTAGCAAAATAGCTCGCGACGCAAGGTCACTCCCGTCGTTGCTGCCTTCCTGTAAGGCGATTTTTCAGCTTATGCAGGTAGTGCGAGGCATTCAAGGTTGCGGTTGCTATACTCGGAGCTCGAACGGCACGGTCAAGACATGCGCTGGGTTAAGCACGTAATTCCTGTGAGATTTGGGATGAGACCGGTGCGTTGCGAGTAGTCGTCGTCATCGAGATTTTCTACTGGGCTACGATAACGTAACGAACACGAGCACGGGGCAGCAAAGCTGGATCAGAGTCGAGGTGTACCGGTAGCGGGGCCTAGATTTGTGTTCATTCGAGGCAAACTGGAGTGCACAGATCAAGCGCTCTCTGCCAAATGTAGAGGTCCAAAACATGTATTCACCCACACCTACGTAGGAGTTTCAGTGCGTCACTGCGCTCCTATCTACTTCCGTCGGCAATGACGTACGCAGTCATATGATCATTTCGTCAGAGACTGAGTGGCCTTAGTTTCGAGTGTATTCGCTGTCACAGATAGTGTCTCGGTTGGTGACAACTTTGTCAACGTCCAGGTACGCAATAGCCTGTGAGACTTTAGCTGAGACGTCTTGATACCTGCTCGTTCTATTATGTACAAATGAATTTACTTGCCCCACATCTACAACTGAGCTGCGAACCCCCGTCACATGCGGTACGCATGTCGTTTATGGCAACAAGACCCAGTTGGCCGTCGACGCTTGAAACATGCTCTTAGGAAATGATTTGACTATGAAAATGGCCTTCAGGCACCATTTTCGGCAAGCATGCAAGGCTCGGCAGGATATAAGGTTAACAGACGAGCCTAAATCCTCTTCGGCAAACGCCAGGCCATTCACCAGGACAACTCTCTGAAACCCACCAAGAACTCATCATGGGCGTGGGTACGCTGACCCGAACCCTCGTCCCGCTGGAACTCTACTGACGAGGCTTTTCCCAGTCGGCTTCGTTAAGCACGAGATAGCTCAGGGCATACCTTCGCCCCAGAAATGGCTCATAGACTACGCTATGCAGAAGTTTAACAGTGGCGACCGCAATGGCGCGATCAACCAGGTTTTCAACGCCCTGGCGTTAATGGGGAAGGCGACTCCGTATGGAAGAGTCGCATCTCTTTTAATGGCCAGTAGAGACGCACGCTCGTTTAGCGGGGCTATAATGACTTTGATGAACTCGGCGCCAGCTTCGGGAGGTGGACACGGAGGATCGCAGTCGTCGGGAGGTGGACATGGAGGAGGGTCACATTCATCGGGAGGTGGACAAGGGGGGCAATATTCATCAGGAGGTGGACAAGGAGGACAATATGCGGGGGGGAATGGACAAGGGGGGTCATACTACTGAACGACGTGTTCACGCATATGCTGGGTGTGTGCTGGATACACCACCGCGGTTGAGCCAAGTCGTTGTATCGTCTATTTCGCGGGTTACTCCCCTGCAGGGCGTTTTATGTTGGGGTTTCATTCTACGATATGCTAGGTAATGCACAACGATTCCGCATCTCACACCACCCGCAGAAAAGGGCCGTTGCCGGCTCAAAATTTCCGCTCCCAAAGAGCCATTGCCGTGACGAATGCTATTCGCTTTGCCTTGGAGGATCAGTCTGGTGGTGTTCCGACATAGTTGCGCGAAGTTTGGGCTAGCTTCAGAAAATCCGTGCTTGGGTACGAAAGTTGAATGCGAGATGCCCAAAGGTCCGATGCGTATGAGCAGCGATTCAGAAGGCCCACGACTGTTGCCGGTGGACATCATCATGGTGCGGGCACTGCAAGTATGACGGAACCGAGGGCGGATGGAAACAGCCCACGTATCAATCGCAAGACATGGTATTATCAAGGTTGACGTCTCGGAAGTCATCAGGTTGATCTAACATCTCTTCCATCTCATCCGGGCTACAAAGTAACTACAAGTACTAGGAGAGTTACCTCTCAGAGGGCGTTCTCCCCGAGGCGAGTTCTTAGCGCCTGTCCAGCCCCACCGTTGAACTCCAGGGCTCCCGCAGGGCCCCGCTACAGCGACAGTCCCCGCCCACTGACACGGGCAGTTCCTGGCGCGCGCCGCCTTCCATGCTTGCTGGGAGACATCCACACCACGAGGCAACCGCGTCGAGCTAACACGCGTTGCACTTACACCTTCGCCGCCCATTGACACCATTCGCACCACTGCCCACGTATCGATCTCGAGGATTGGTCTCCAACATTCCTATCCCAGCATTTGCGTCGCCGAGCGACTAGGCTTCTGCATCACCAGTCTGCGCGCGCGTCCTATCTTGTCCGCGCTACGAACTCGCCTTGCTGGAGGACCGACCCGCGCCGCGAGGCCATCGCTGAATCGTCGACCGCAGTTTACCCTTTGTCGCCGCTCGCCGTCGCCCGTGACGCGTGTGTGCTGCGGCACAACAGCGCGCGAGACCTGGGCCCCTTGCCGGTATGGCTTCCACGCCGGGAACCCGAGGCGTCGACCAGGCTCGTGGCGGCAAGACGCCAACTCAACGAAACATCACCATCGCGACGCCCGCCCGCCGAGCCATCAGCGCCGAGCCTCCCTCCTCCCGCCGCTCCGTTCATACGCCCCTCGATCGAAGCGCGACGCGAGAACTCCTTGCCTCGGTCCGCCGCGGCGCCTCGGCGTCAGGCGGTCGTCGCAACAACAATGCCCCGACTCCTCACGCCACGGCGGCTCGTCGCGCGCTGCACCAGCGGCGGACGGCCATGTTCACGCCGGGTAAGAATCGCCGTCGGAGCCTTAGGGAGCAGCGGGAGACGCCCATGGGAATACTGCGCAACTTGAGCAAAGTCTTGGCCCCGACGAGCCAGCCCGTGGTTTCCTCGTCGCCCCGCGGCAAGCCCTCTAGCATAGCGCCAATTCCGGAAGAGAGCGACGACGAGCTGCCTATTGATCAGCCGCGTCTCTCGCTACCTCTTGACGACGATGACTCGGATTTGCAGCCTCCGCGGTCCTCTGGTCTCGAGGACATTACAATGGGTTCGGTCGAGAAGCCGAGGCGCGCATATAGCGAGCAGCCAGGGTCGAGACTCTCTCGTGGTAGCTACGGAAGCGTCCGATCCAGCGACATATTCAACAACGACCCGACCGCAGACCTGGGAAGGCCGTCAGACTTCTTCCCCGGCTTTCTCGAGGATCTTGAAGGGAGACCCGAAGCCGCCGATTTGACCTATGACCGGTAAGAGCACCGTGGAGCACGTGGGTGTAATCACTCCCTCTAACCCGACTACAGCATTGACGTCGACGCCCCGTGGCCTGCCACTCTCGAACAAGAAAGTGACTTCGGTCTGGAATTACCGCCGGGTTTGGACGACCAGACGACCTTCTTAATGCAGGATCCGCCATCAGAATCGGATGATGAGGCGCCGGGTGACTATCTAGTAGCCGACGCATCAGTGCAACAGGAATACGATGATCCCTCGGGTGCTCCCCATGAGCAGGATTATTTCGAAGTGTCACAGGCCGGCGACCCGACGGCTGAGATCTCCCAGATCGTGGAGGAGAAAGTATCGCGATCGGCAAGCCGCAAACCACAGAAGCGAATCTCCAGACATGGCATCGAATACCCTTCTCTGCCACCATCTTTCGTAAAGAGGGTGGCACAGACGGCCCTCCAGTCCTCGGGACTCCGCAACCCTCGCATATCAGCCGATACGCTCACCGCTCTGACGCAGGCGTCAGAGTGGTACTTTGAGCAGCTGGGAGATGACCTTGGCGCATACGCGCGACATGCGAAAAGGAAGACGATAGAGGAGAGCGACGTGGCAACACTTATGGGCCGGTAAGTTCGTGGGTATCATGGAGTCTTATTCTGTCTTCTAATATTGTACAGGCAACGCCAAATAGGGTCTGATGTTACATTGTTCTCGCTGGCACAGAAGCATCTGCCACGAGAGCTGCTTCAGGAACTGAGAATGCCATTGCCCCAGCCCGCCAAGCTACGTCGCGTCAAGCGCTCGCGTGGAGAGCGTGATGAAGACGAAGACGCAACGGAGGTTACATGAAGCACGGGCATTGATGCTTCTACAGATTTTTGGTGACCTGGACGCGGCGAGCCACACTATTGGCCGGCTTCTTCACGACCATGTACAGCATGATTGTTGTGGCCAAGCATAAGCCGTACCTGGCGGTGTGTTAGCAGAGAACACTGAGACGATACGGCAGGTGTCGTGTCTGACCATGTAAAGATGTACTGAGCATGGTTGTTTCTCAAATTGACTTCGGCGGGGCGGCCAAAGGGAATGCCGCGGGCCTCATAGTCCATCATCCGCATGAACTCGGGTTCTAGGACACGTTAGCCTAGTTCGAGGAAGGACACGGAAAGCGGGCACAGAGTGTAAGGGCGGAGTGACAAACCCATAGTGGCCTCTACCCAGACGGGCTGGCTGCCCGTCAGAGCAGCCATCTGCTGCACGTCTGGGAAATAGAACTGGCCCTTTTCGGGCCTATTTTCCGGCGTAAACATGTTCTTCTTCCAGGGCTCTCGCAGCAGACCCTCGACGGTGACCTCGCCCCGGGGCAGCGAGTCCGGGCGCGTCCGCTGATCTCGGCGGTCCTTAGCGATCCACCCCCGGTTGACGAGGATCGTGGAGCCATTGTCGCGCTCCAGCGGCGTCACGACCATGTACCCGTCCTTTCCGTCGCGCATGCGCGGGCCGATGAGCATCTCCTGGTCGTGCCGAAAGCGGCCCGTGGCGAGCACGCGGCGGTAGTCGAAGTCGTGGATCGCCTCCGGGTCAACAGTCGGCGGCAGGGGCAACGGGTCGCGGACGAGGCGGTCCTCAAACTTGGCGATGAGGTCGTTCTTCCAGCCGAGGCGCTGGACCTGCCACGTCCCGAGGGCGAAGGCAGTTATGGGGATAAGGGCTGCGCGGAGGAGGAGTTAGCCACGGACGCCGAGGGGGGCCGCATTGTTCATAGTACGGGGATGTGAGGGGCGCGCGCACCGAGGAGGATGAGGCCCGGGCCGTGGCGCCGCCCGGCGCGGACAATCTTGGGCGGCGCATCGAGGATGGAGACGAAGTTCGGGTCGTCGACGGGCTGTGGCTTGTCGGCTCGCGGCCTCGTCGTCGAGAATGGCCTTCGAAGCGGTGCTTTAGGCAGCGCGGCGCAGCGTCGGGGGACGTGCTTGGGCAGGCTGCTCGCCCGTAGGCTCCGCAGCAGGAATTGTGCTGAATTCATGGCTGGTGTGCTGCCCGCCGACCGAAGTGATCGAGGGAACAGGGAACATGAAGTTCTGCAAATGGAGCCGCCACTGTCAAAGCCTCCAAGCAGGGCGCTGAAGCTTCCAGGGCGGCCCCACCACAGGTCCGCTGCGGATGCCCGGACCGAGTAGGTGCTCACCGCTTGCCTGATAGGGGCGGCGGGACCCGACTCGTAATGATGGTGTGACGTGGGGGAGGCGGAAGCTCACTCGCTGGCCTTTGTCGACCTCGGCGAGCTCCCCAACAACTGCGACTGCCAGCGGCTCGACTTTCATCCACGCCCCCAGCACCTGGCCTCTGTATACATTTCCCGCCAGAACCAACGTTTCATTTGCCACCGTCCGCGCCGGCCGATCAGCGCTGGACCCGCGCCTAAGCGGCCTGCATCTTTACCATACGGTCCGAGAACCCGTCACGGTGTTCCATGCCGACTTGAGCTTACTGCTCGACACGCCCGCCACCCGCCATGTTCTACGAAGGGTCCTTGCAGGAGGGCATCTCCTCGGCCGTCGGCCAGCAGAAGCTCGTCTTTTGCTTCGTCACAAGTATGTGTCCCCTTACCACGTCTTATTTTGCCTCGTGGGACGGGCCAGCGTCAGTTCACTGACCTCAGACACAGACGACAACGATGAGAGTCGCCAATGGCAGGATGAGCATCTTCAGGACAGCACCGTGAGTGCACAGTCTTGTCTCAATTCCCGGCTCCGTATTCTAACGCGGCGCGGCAGTTGAAAGAGCTCATCCAGAAGCAAGCAGTGGCCCTCCGCCTGGAAGCCGGCTCCGAGGAGGCCGGCTACCTTGCCCAAATCTTCCCGCTACCCCAGACGCCCACAATTGTTATCATGAAGCATGGCGAACTCAAGGAGTACATTGCCGCGGGCACCAGCCGAGATGACTTCTTCCGTCGCGTCCAGAACGCCTTTAACGCGACACCTGCCCCCGCCCCGGCCGCAGCCTCCTCAACCGCCGAGTCATCATCTTCCCCGGCGGCCCACCCGTCAACCGCTTCTTCTTCGTCCTCAGCACCAGCACCCGCGGCGGCGGGAATCTCCTCGTCACCCGAGAACGAGCGCTCCGAAACAGTACGCCGTGTACTGGCCGACCGCGCCGCCAAGCTGCAGGCCGCAAAGGAGGAGGCCGAGCGCCGCGCCAAGGAGGAACGCGCGCAGGCCAAGGAAAAGGCCAGGGCAGATGCCGAGGCGGGCGCCGACACCGACGCTGCGCGCACGCATCGCCAGGCGGAACTCCTCCGCAAGAAGCGTCAGCAGGAAACGGAGGAGCGGCGTCGCATCCTTAAGCGTATCGAGGACGACAAGGCTGAGCGCCGGGAGCGCGCCGCCGAGCGTCAGCAGATGCGCCTCGACACCCAGCGCACCGGTGACGTGGCCGCCGCGCTCGTCAACGCGCCCGAGACGAAGCTCCCTTCAACGACTCGCATTGGCGAGATGACGTCGTTGCAAGTACGACTGTTTGACGGGTCTACGATTCGCTCGAGGTTCAAGACAAGGGTGCCATTCCGCGACGTGCGCCGGTGGGTGGACGAGAACAGAACAGACGGGAAGCTGCCGTATACGTTCCGCCAGCTGCTCACACCGAGGCCCAACCGGGCCATCGACGCGACGGAGGAAGGCAAGAGCCTCGGCGAGCTAGGCCTGGCACCGTCATCAACGCTCATTCTGATCCCAGTACAACACTTTGCCTCCGCCTATGATGCGGCGCCGCAAAATATCTTTGCACGGATCTTCACAGCAATTATGGGCTTGGTCATGTGGCTCCTAGGGCTCATCGGCCTGGGAGGGAGAGGCGAGGCGGCTCCGAGACCAGCGGCCGCTCCTGAGACGGAGGGTACATCGAGCGCAGCTCAACTGGAAAAGGACCGACGGATCCGTGGATTTCAGAATCCGAACGACCAGCGGAGGGACCACCAGCTATACAACGGAAACTCGGTCAGTAACCCGCCAGACATGCACACACTATTCCGTGGTCAAGAACGGGAGTCACTGACAGACACTTCGCAGCTGAATTTCGAGCCACGGCCAGACGAGGAGGATAGCGAGGCACGATAGATGTGTCAAACGTGACGCCGAGTCCCATTAGAGCGGGAATGCCTTTTTACAGTGTATAATACAAATCCAAAAGCGGCGATTTCGTCCGTGGGCTTGTCCGTGTTGCCCATCCCATGATATGCACGCTCATGCCGTCGTCCCCAGAGATCTTTCAAACATCCACATGCTCGATATCCCATCTAGCCCCCGCCCATTCCTATTCATGCTCCGCACGCGATGCTCTAGTACTGGCTGGCGGCGGCCTGGCACGCCTTGAGCTGCTCGAGGTACCAGTTGCAGATCTGCATGTTGCCACCGTTGTCGTCGAGGCACTTGGTGAACTGCTGGGCGGCGCCGGCGCAGTTGTTGCTGCCCCACTGCTGCTGCTGCTGCTGGTTCTGCGTCTGCACGGCCGCCTGCTGCTGGGGCGCGGGGGCAGGCTCGGAGGAGCCGCCGGAGAAGAGGCCGCCGATGGCGTGGCCGACGGAGGAGCCGATGGCGACACCGCTGCGGGAAACGTCTGTCAGCTACCTTGGTTCTTCACAGTGACTCTGAAAATGCTGCTGCGGGTTTGCGAGGGTATTTGTGCATAGAGCCGAGGCCATCCTTTCTTCGTTTCGCAACAGCGCCGTACGCTGAGCGTGGCGTGGCGGAACGCGCGCGCACCTGGATGCCTATCCTGCCCGGGCCCATGCACCAACCCAAGCGCATTCCATCGGTCCAAGACCCAAACCCCGGGAGAGGGGGGAGAAAAAGGTCGACTTACGCAGCGGTGCTGGCCATCTGGCCGAACAGGCCCGGGCCGGCAGACTGCTGCACCGGCGGCGCCATCTGCTGCTGCGGGGGCGCGTGGTGCTGCTGAGGCGCGGCCATGGTGGTCGCGGGCCGGTGCTGCTGCGGCGCGGCGGGAGCCGGGGCGGTAGGGCGGCTGGGGGCGCGGCCGACGGAGCGTTGACGAGGCATGATGGCTTGTGTTTGGTTGGGAAGAGTGTGGTCTGTGTGGTGTTGCGGGTGGGAGGATTTCGGCGGTCGAGGGGGGGGCGTTGAGCGGGAGAGAGAGAGAGAGAGAGTCAAGGTCAAGCGGCAAAAAGAGGCCAGAGGTGGAAGACCGGAGAAAGAGTTGGCGATGGATGGACGTTCTGGCGCCGGGCGGGTTGCAGGGACCCGGCGGGCCAATGGGAGGGCTGGGGTTTGCAGGCGTGGGTCCGAGGGGGCCTCGGTAGAGCGATCAAGCTCAATCCCGTCTGGGGCAGGGGTCTCGCCTGGTCCACTGAACGTCTTCGCTGTGTCGCTACAGAGAGCTTGTTGTGCCTGGACGTGCTGGAGCGAGCCTAGATACGTAGAATGGATAGGGCCATTCCTCAACCTCCAGGATATCTATTGATCACTTTGTTTATTAGTCGATGTTAGAGAATGCTGGCAGTTTAGAGCAGACTTTCCATCTTTCCTTCCCCAAGTTGATATTTGGTATCATTCACACCCCAGTCTCTATCCTCCGGATCTATTGCTGCGACGGGGAGCCACAGCGGCTCGTCTCCATCGATGCTGCCGGGTGCTGCCATGCGCAGTTACCCCCCAAGGCGATACCTTCGCCGGGGCCAAACCCCATAAGCGCATTACACATCCTGACCCAGTAGCCCTCTCTCTCTATCGAAGCAATGCCAAACGAAACGCCTTGCGCCCAATGCCGATGCCAAATACCGGATGCCGTCGTCTCAAGTCCAAATCCCGGCTCCCGCCCTCACCGTCGGCTCTTCTTCCCCTGCTTGTGCTTCTTCTTCTTGCCGCCCTGATCCGCGCTCGCCTCGCCCGCCGACGCCGCCGAGTCGTCCGCGCTCCTCTTGTTCTTCTTGCCGCCGCCGCCGCCGCCCTCCACCGACTTGAGCAGCGCCTTGGCGCGCTCCTCGGCAATCTTTTCGGCGAGCTTAGCGCCCAACGCCTTGTTGTCCGCCTGTCGTCCATGTCCGTCAGCAAAGAATCGCTCTCAATCGTTCCCACACTGGAACCTCGATGCTTCCAGGTTTGGTTTGTGTCAAAGGGACGTACCAGATCCGCCTTGAGAATCCGCGCTGCCGCCTCCTGGTTCACCGTCGTGCTCCGCTGGCCCTGCGGCTCCGGCTCCTCCACGCCCTTGATCTTGGCAAAGTACTGCTGCACGCGCTTCAGCTCCGTGAAGACGGCGTGGCTCTGCGCGTCTGTGCCCTGGAGTTTAAGTGAGGCTGCAATGCAGCGGCGCCCGCCGCGGTTAGCAAAACTCGGTTCATTCATCTCGCATCCACGATTTGTCCTGAGACCGAGGATCCTCCGGGTGGCTCACAAAATAGCAGCGATTCGATCGCGTATGCCGATAGAGAAAACAACTTCGCCCGGTCGAGGAGCGGCAGCTGCGATGCACGCTCATCCAGGCCGTCCAGGAGCGGTCCCAGCGCGTCCTCGAGGTTGTCGAGCTGGACGTCCAGCTTGTCGAGGTCGCGCACCAGGCCCTTCGACTCCGCCATTTTGGGCTGTCGACGATATGGCCTCGAAATAAGAAAGTGTATGTCGCCTTTTGTTTTTGGATGAATGCTGGCGGTGCGCTCGAAGTGGTCGTTGAGTTTGAGATGAAGATGGCCGAACGCTTTTACGATTCGAGTCGTGAGGTCGAACTCTGCGCTGCCCAGGCGGGATATGCTTCTAGCGGGGTTCTGGAACAGGACCTCAACTCCAGGCTCGCGCCACGACGCTAGCGTTTGGCAGCTTCAACCGCAAACTGCCTGCCAGTCGCATTTATCATCTACACGGCACGGGTGAATGATCATCACTAGCGAAAATGTGTCGAGCAGTTTTCCGCGCCAGCTCTCACGGTTCATGAACGGGCAATGCCTTCGCCTCCTCAAGATACAGCCAAGCGGGTGGCGAGCGGGCTACCCTGTAGGCCGTCATCTGAATTGTCGAGAGCTTTGTTGTCTTCTTCCCCCGCCAAGTCTCTGGCATTCTAGGCGACGATAATGCATAAGACATGTGGAATTTAATTACAGACGCGTTTGGGACAGACGGATGTGATGCACCTGGCACACAGCGCCACCGCATTACAGTACGCTCGAGGCGCTAATGGCTTCACACAACTGCGCGAGAGAGCGCTCTCCTTTGCCGCGTTGTTACTCAAAACCTTGATGAACCAGCCTCGGGAGAGAGACACTTGTCACTCTTTAATCGAGCAACAAGAACCAATATTGGCCGATGAATCCTGACCTGTACGCTGTCTTACCTCTTAAACTTCGCCAGGATCAAGTCATAAGTCTGCATGTCTCGTACTTCGTACTCCCGCATGAGTCCGACTACGGACTGCCGAGGGTACAGTACATACAGTACGCCTAGAGTGAAAGATGAGAGCCAACATAGGCTGCGCCACGGGGACGTTGGTCCTCATCGTGTGGCAAATCACTCTGCACAGCCCGTAGTATGATACGTACGGCATCGGCCCATCGTTTGATGGATGCCAACATCACGCGAGCTGCGCCATCCGCTTGCAACGCACTCGACAACATAGCCTGTATACAGTACCGACTCTCGTTGTTGTCGCTCTGTTGGCGGCTCGCACACCAGCCTCGAGCTTCGCCATCCCCGTCATCCAGGCAAAATCCGTCACGTAACGTGCAAACCGCCCCGCGGCCCCTGCACCCACGCAACCACGCTGCAGAAAACGACGCTCGGCGCCCGAAAAAAAGAAAAGGTCACTTTTCTGAACGGACCGCCCTCGGGCAGAGATCGGCTGCGCAAATCCCCTTTTCTGTTCTCTCTCTATCTTGCTGTTGCAGATTGAGACATGCAGGGTTGGCATCCCGTCGGAGATGCGACCCAACAAGCAGCAGCGGGAAACAGCTAGCCTGTGCCGGGAACCGAAAGGACGGCAGGGCGTTGGGGGGCGGCATCGCCTTATGGGAAAAAGTTCATCAGTCGGGAAGGAGATCACGTAGGCGGGTGCTGGTCGACTCGGCTGCGGCCCGACGTCCGACCCCGGGCGTGCAGACGGGCTTTCGGTCCCGGTTCAGCCACCCCTGGTCCCGAAGCAGGCCCGTCCATGCGCTCGGCATCCGCCACGCCGACCAGTTTGTCCCACGTTTTCGGCGCTGTTTCGCAGATGCCGACAATGTGGCATGTCACGGCTTACTCCGTACGCCGTAATGGTTTCTTGATTTGAGAAGGAGAAATCTTTTTTTAAACGCTCTATCGAAACATGGCAAATTAAGAGGAGAATCTCACCACGGGCCCCCAACGCTGCGCTACCCAACGCTCATATCGGGTACGGGTTCTTGGGCCGCACTGCCTCCAGCTCATCATACACGGGCAGCGTCCACTCCTTGCCCGGGAACCACTTGCCAATCGCCGAGAATGCCTCGGGGAGCCTCAGCACCAGCGCCAGCTGGAACATGCCACTGAGCAGCCACACCGTCCAATGCAGCACCCCTACCTTCAGCCCCGTCTCCTGAAAGGCCGCCCCTGGGAACCCAGGCGGCAGCTTCTGCGTCTTCTCCACCATCGGCCGCAGCGTCTTGTCGTAGGCGGCGAAAGCGGCCGGCAGGTTGCCGGGGTGACTCGCGATCTCGCCCGCCAGCACGTAGGCTCCGATGAAGGCGAGACTGGTGCCCATGCCCGTAAACGGTGACGGCGCATACCCGGCGTCACCAACCAACACGACCCGTCCGAGAGACCAGTTTGGGCACACCACCTGCACCAGCTCCTGGCCGTAAAAATCTTCGGCAGTCTGCATGTCCTGGAGCAGTCGCGGCACTTTCCACCCAGCGTCCGCGAATGCACATGTGAATGCCTGCCTCTCGGCCTCGAGGTCCTTCTTGAGCGCCTCGCGCAGCTCCTCGGTGTGGCTCATGGTGAAGAGATATGTTTGACCCCGCGCCTGCGTGTGCCAGCGGGTCATGATGAAACGCTGTCCCGGCACGTGGCAGATGGTCGCCATGTTGTCCTTGTCCTCGGGCTGACGCGGCATGGTGAAGTAGCAGCAGAAGGCGTTGAGGCGCCTGTACGACGCTTCCGCGTTCTGGTGCAGCATAATTCTGCGTACCCGAGAGCCTTGTCCGTCGGCGCCAATGAGCAGGTCGTATCTCTCGACCGTGCCGTCGGATAGTGTAACCGTAACACCGTCTGTGCCGTTCCTGAAGTCGTCGACGGTCACTCCGAATCTGTACTTGACTTTCTCCTCCGTTCTCTCGTAGAGCAGCTTGCACAGGTCGCCGCGCATAATCTCGTACTCGCTGGTCAGAGTTTGCTTCTTGCCGTCGTTTCGTCCGAAAATGGCCTGTACACGGTCCTCGGCGTCGACAAACTTGGTCCCCTCTTCTTCGACTCGCCGGCGCCGGATTTCGTCCAGGACGCCCATGCGATCTGCGGCTTCTGCGCCCGCATCGTGGACGTCGATCTGCAGGCCGTTGACGCGAAGGCCGGGATAGCGCTCGACGATGGTACAGTCGTGGCCCAGGCGCGAGAGCCAGAATGCGGTGGCGGGGCCAGCGACGCCCGCGCCGACGATGAGGATTTTCAGCGGAACCGTCGCCCTGGGTGGTGTCGTTTGCGTCATGGCGCCAAGATGTGATGTGGTATCAGTTGGGTTAGGAGGGCTGAAGATGTTGTAGGAGGGAGTTGCGAGGTTTGCAAGGACAGGGTTCCAAAAACAGTTTGGGTCCCGGTGTGCTTGACTTACAAGCCCACGCTTATATGGGATTGTGTTGGCCCGTGACGGCTGCGCCTGAGGCCGCCCGCAACGCCGAACTGTGTCCGTCATGGTCTAATCTCTTGGCTGCGAATGGTCCTGCACGGACCGTCTCCTTCATCTGCCCTGTCAGGGGAACCGGCTTGGAGGCCAAAGTAGTGACGCGGTTGGATGCAGTTTTGTGCGTCATCACTGTGGCCCGGCCCATGGTTGTACCACCTCATCCAGCTCGCCCCTGCGCCTTCACACGGCTCGTACGAGGCCTGCAGCGACGCTCTGGGATGCCGATAGCCACGGGACGGGGTCTTGTCCTTCCCCGAGCGAGCGACTCTCCGGCAGACCGCGAAAAGCCGACATTGCAGGTGGCAAGAGCACTCAGCTCTGGTGAAGGGCCGCTTGGCTGCCTCATGGCCTCCTCTCACGCGATCGTGTTGGAAAGGCCTGGAAGCAACCGCGCCCTTTCCCGGTGTAACGCGAGATCTGGCAGACGCCACCAAACGACCCTATGGCTGCGCACGAGGTGGCGCAACGTGCCGTCTGGGCCCAACATTCAAGTCTGCGTAGCCCTCTTGACCTATAGCTGCAGCCATTGCTTGACTGTCCATTCGTCCATCGTTGCTGACCTATCCACTGCCTTCTTCTTGAGCTCTTCCGTCTGACGCTGAATCACCCTTCTCAGTGCTGCTTCCTGCTTGTCGTGTTTGTCGGGCGAGGGCGGCCTCCAGGTTGGACCCGGAGGCGCGCTCGGGGCAGCCGTACCTTCGGCTTTGGCAGCGGCTGCCTGACTGGCGAGGAAGCTGGCCATGTCTGCAGGAGGAGTGCTGTGCGGGTTGTTGACAAGGCGATCTCTGAGGATGAGCATTGACGGCATCCGAACGTTGAGCTGCAGGACCGGATCAGTACATATGTCGTCTCTTCACCGAAGGGTATACGAGATCTTACCTGCGAGAGCATGTTTCCGTACCGAACGCCAATCTGGTTGCCGATGCATTTGAGTCTCCCCTTGACCCAGGTCCTCTGCGCATCAGTCAGGTAGTCCTGTCCCTGGATGCACGTCAATGGCCACAGCAAAAAGTAACCAGCCAGACCCTTCTCTGCGTCATCCTCCCCGCACGCGAATCCAGACAGCTGAGCACGCTCCCGGAGATCCTGGTGCTTCGCGAACCAGCCGAGCTGATACGGGACGGAAGCGATGATGTCGGCAATGGCCTCCACACACACCCTGGCGCTGGCGGCATACTCGGGCGTCGTTCGGTAGTCCGCCGGTGAGATGATCCATGCCGTAAATCGAACTATCAGCGATGCGAGAACAATCCGCATGCACCTCATAACGTTCCACAGGTTGACGACCCAGAGATCCGCGTACATGTCGATGCGGCCTGGGAATGCCTCGGCTTTGGAGTAGTCGCACTTTGGGTTGTAGTCCTCCCACGCTACGGTCTTCCATCGAAAGCTTTCGGGCAAGTCTTCCAGCCATTCAACAATCTCCTTGTCCAGCTCTTGACACTTCTCCATGGCCTTCTTCATGAGCTCTGTGTTTTCTGGTGTCCTGGTGACGGTTGCAAGCAGGTGGTTCGTTTCGTTCTTCAGCTCGCTGGTCCGGCTGCTGAGGCGCTGGAAATGTACGCCGTACTCGCTGTTTGGGTTGTCGTCGACCCACCAATCCACGTCCAGCGATGGCGCCTTTCCGGTGCTGAGCGAGTGGATGATCTGTGACTCCTTGTCAGACAAGACGGTGACTTCGCATCTGCGTCAAGCTTACCATTTGCGTCCGCACCGCGACGAAGAGGTCCATGCCGGTCTTTGTGGAGAGCTGTGCTGGTCCGCGAGTCTTGACGAGCTGGACGGCACCTTCGATGTGGGAGCTCCAGGCCATCATCCCGAGACTCTTCGCGGATATGTTCTCGAATAAGCCGAGCAGTAAAATGGCGGCCAGTGTTTCATCCTTCTTCACCAATTCTGGGTCTTTCAGGGCGGCAAACGTCGCTGCCAGGGCTTTTGTGTACGACCCCAAGGCCTGCTTCTCGAATTCGTTGCCATTTCCCACACGATTGTTGAGAGACGCGAGCGCACACGCGTCAAAAGCATGCTTGAAATGGGAGATCCGTGTGCCGCTCTTCAGCAGCGGTAGAAGGAACTCGAGGAAGCCGCGCGTGCTCAGTATGTGCTGTCGCGGGATGAGCACGTAGTTGGCGATGAAGTGGCAGGAAGCCAGGTCTTCCACAGGCAGCTGCAACAAGCTCTTGACGGTCTCCTCGTTCATGAGAACAGGCGTCGCGGATCCTTCGCTCTCCGATGAGCTGTCTGACTCTCCGCTTTGCGTCTTAGGCGCGAGAGGCTTCGCGGCCGCTCGCGACACGGCAGCTTTTCGGTCTGCTTCGTGCGACGCGGCCTTTCGGTTTCGGGACGAGTCTCCTCCATCGCCCACATCACGGTAACCCGGACACGTCCTGCGTGCCCTTGCGCATTGCTTGCAGGTCGGTCGCGTTTCATCGCACTGCTCCAGTCAGCTCGGTTGCGTCTCGGCCTGCTCCGATAATGTCTATTGCGCACCTTGATTCTGCGGATTCTGCACATCTGACAGCCCTTTGAGGGCTTCCCGCCGTAGACCATGTTTGCGACGCAGCTCTAGTCGAGCGCATGAATAGGCAGGGCGTAAGAGAGGTGAGATGTCATTGATCGGGATCATCACAACAATAAGAGGATGAGAGGTGAGGCGCCGGCCCGTGGTGGCAGCTAGGCCGATGGGTAGGCCGAACGTCTACGTCTCGCCCGTTTCACCGGCTAGCCGTGGAGGCGTCGTTACTTTCCGAGCCACAAATGTAATGGCCGCGAAATCCGGCCAATTGGGGCGTCTGCGATCGGCCCCAAGAGACCAAGAGCGAGTGTCAAGAGCGTCAACTTTCCACGTCGAGAACAGCTCTGTGGGGCGGCCTAAGAGGTCCTGTGGAATTAGCACCAAAACGGCCTGCTTGGTCCATCACACCCCAACCTGAGCCTCCAAGGGTGTTCGCTGTTGACAAGCCAAGGTCCGGAGCGGAGGCTCGGCAGTCGGCACCAGCAGAAGCGTGATGAACTAGCGTCGTCGCAGACACGGTCCGCAAGTGATGGTTACGCCCGCTCCGTTCGAGGGCAGAAGAGCCAGCCACTCACGACTTGGGAGCCGATCGCCATCGTCAACAGGGAGGCCTGGGCTCACGGTGGCGTTCACGGCGGCCTGCGCGCGAGACATTTGTAGGTCCGTACGTAGTCGTCGTCAACTCGACCGACCAGGGGTTGTTGCCGGCCGACGAAACATTACCTCCGTGGCCGCCTCGGAGGCTCGGAAGATGCCGACCCCCCGGAGGCGCGCCTGCTGCCATTTCCACCTGCCTTCCGCAGTGATCAGGATCGAACCTTGCTTGCTGACGAAGGAATTTCTGCCAAACAATGACATGGCGCGATCAGCTTGTCGCGTGTCAGTGTCAAGTCGGGAACCCACCGCCTCCACCGCAAGGCAGCTGAGGCTCCGTCACAGCACCGCGCATGTGAAGCAGGATGATCGACCGGCAGTGAACAAGGGTAGGGCCCACAGCGAACCCCCCATCCTCCAGCATCACGTTATTTGGTGTCAAGGTCGCCTCCGCTGTTCCATACCGAGTCGACGGGTCAAGTTCCGGAAAGTCTGGCGCCATCCTCGACGGCCGCCCTATGAGAGGGCAACCTCGAGCGCTCGGACTTTGCCCTGGTGCGAGCACCTTTCTATGTACGTCCAGGGCCGGAAGTGGCAGACGGCACCTGCGTCTGTGTCGGGGAGTGCCCGACAGTCTGGGAGCAAGCTGGATTGGGTCCCCAGGCGCCGGGACGGGGAGCTGTGGTGCCGTCGATCTGAGAGCGTTGTGGAATCTTGGTTCATGCCATGCGTCGAGCCGAACCAAAAGCTCTCGCGCAACCTTGCCATGTCTGTGTCATGGCTTTGTCCGGTCCTTGTTCCGGCAGCGTGTCCCACTGATGAGCTAGTATGCCAGACTGCCTGCGTCGGACGCATGGACTTGGCAGCGGGCGTAAGGAGGCGGCGGCTAGCAAGCTAACCCAAGCGCAGTTAGAGATGCGAAACAGTGAAACCCCACGCGACAAGGTGGCATCGTTGTCGCCTTTGTGCACCAGAGCGACGTATGGTGCGCGCGTTCATTTTGAGGAATGGGTGGATGGACAATGGCCAACGTAAGGTAACATCCACCGCGGGGAAATCGCTGGCGACTCCATTTCATTGAGACTGCCATCGCCTATAGCCATCAGTGGCCGAACTCCGGGGGTTCATTGGAACTGCAGAGGTCCTTGAGCCGTGACGGCTGTCAACGGTGACGGAGGCGGGGATGGAGGTGGTGCTGCGAGATTGTCTTTCCGGCCTCCTCGTCCAGCTGATGTTGGGTTCCAAAGTCAGGCCATACGCTTCAGAACGGACATGTCAAAAATGTGACGTCGCGCTGGCGGCATGGGTGCCGTGACGGCGACTCCAGCGACATGCGTGAGTGCTTCGCTCATCGGGGATGGGAGGTGGTGGAGCAGATCGAAACTCTAAGGACTTTGTGTCTTCCGGGGTGGGGGACGTCGGGAAGTTTTCGCGGGATGCGCAGGAAGTGCGAAGTACCGCAGTGGTACGTAATACTCCGGCAGCCCAGGTCCATGTCCAGGTCCGGGTCCAGGTTCTGGTTCAGGGTCTGGTGAGCTACCGAACGGAAGGTGCATTCGAGGGTCTCCCTGCCTGCTCCTTCCGTCGCACCCAACTTACCTCCGATGCATGCATTTCGTTTGCCAGGTGTAGCTGCCAGGCCTCTCTTGGGCAATACCTCAGGCACTGCAGCAAGGTAGGGACCCTAAGTGGCTCGTAATGCTCGGTGATACAATTTAGTTCCTTCATCGTTGTTGACAGCGTCCCCCGAGACAGCCGCAACAGCCGGCGGCTCATCAGGGATCTACCTGCTCGCTGCTCAAAACGGCTCCCCACATACATAATACGAGTGTAAGCCATTTCACCCAGGTCATGCGAAAGCAGCCCACCCGAGCCACCCACGCCCTCGAGCAAAACAAACTCTTCAATGCCTCCAGCTGAAGGATCGCCAACCTGGCTTGCCTTCATGCCCCGCGATACCGCGCCTTTCCGCAGGCATCGGCCGAGGCACCACTATACTGAGCCCGTCGTCACCGGGATGATCGGCTTTACACACCGCAAGATTCTCCTCGCATGCGATAAGTGACAGGCCTTTTCAATAGGCCGGCCGCAGGAGCAGACCCGACATGATACCAGCTGTTCGCCAGCTACCTATCTCCGTGATACTTCCGGGCTCTCCCCATTCCACGGCGTTGCATTTCGCGGCAGCCCTCAAGAGTCGCTTCGTCGCGCTAGTATGAGGGGCGAGTTGCCGAGGTTGACGATGCCTACAGGTGTTTGCACGGACTCCATCCCATCCGGCCTCAAGCCTTACTTGCACTAGCGAGTTGTTCCTTTTTTGCCGACACGATGCTTCATCGACTGGCTGTGATGTCTTAGGCTGACGACATCACCAAACACATGCGTGCAGTCTGCCTCGGCAGTTTCTCGACGTCATGGAACAGCACTCATGTAACCATGAAGATTTCCGGCGTACAATAGAACCATATCGGTTGCTTGGACAAGGAAACGGCACACAAGCAGCATCAAGCTTCCTTGGGCCGGAGGCGGATCTCCATCAAGGCATGAGATTTGGCCCGTCTACGAAGTCCGCAGTGCCCGTGAAAGTACAGCACAGGGGCACACTCTTTTGTTTCAGCTTGTCGGATACAAGGTAGCGTCCTACTTCCCTGCACCGTGAGGCCTCAACCCTCGCATAAGTCGGTCTGCAGATTCTCTTGCGTCATTCCCGTTCAAAGGCCGTGGTGCAAGGACGGCGTGCTGGTTACAGTAGCGTGGGGCTCGACAAACTCTGCTGGCGGTCCAGATGCCGGGCTACCCCGGCTTGCAGGCGTCATGCGGAAATGGTTTCGAAAGGTTCCTATGTGTCTGCGCTCTTGGCGTTGGGGCCCATATGATCAAGCGAGGGCATGACGTTCATCACTCGCAGGTGGTTTCCCCTCTGGAGACGTTGGGGTGCCCCATCATACAAAACACTTGAAGAAGCCATTAGTTCATGTCGTGGTTGAGCGTATTTGACGTAACGTGACAGCAGAGACCCGCCACAGACTCTGGAAGAATGGGATTACCGGCAGGCTTCCTTCCTGGCCAAGGGTCAGATGCACCAGGCATGCAATTACCTTGACTCCGGCGGCCAAGAAGCTTGAGGTCCGCGTCGCGCCACGACCATGGGAGATAGCCTGTAGGTTCAGGGCTACAAGAGCCAGACCCCTTGCTCAGCTTGACAGACGTGGCGAAACACCGCATGATGAAACGGTGCACCGGGAAGCGTTTTCTCCCACCTACTTAGAGCTGGGATCCATGGTCTCGGTGCGGCCCGAGCATTTGGACCGTATTTGGTTGAGGTTAAGCCAGCATAACCTGGGATATCCGTACCAGACATGGCGACATTACGAAGTGAAGATTAAAAATAGCATACTATACAAAGTGTAGGGCCAAGCTGCCAGTTGCCGTCACATGTTAGTCGTCCTTACCAAGCACCCTTTTGACGTCGTCTGCAATGTTGTAAGAAAAGGCCTTGTTCATGAATTTGGCCATCACTCCGGGGAAGCATCCTGCGCGACGTCAGCCTTACCTTGCCGTGAGGGGCCTGGGTATGACGGGGAGAGGCCCGCCTGCAGTGAACCTGCAATGTAACTTACCCATCATCCACATGAAAATGTACATCATGTACTCCTCGACGAATCCCTTGTCGCGTTTCGAATCTTGCATTTGTCTAGAGTCCTGCAAGATTTGCGTAACACGTGGCAGGCGCAGCTCCATGTACTGCTTCGCCGCCGCTTTGATCACATCTTTCTTCTCCAGCGTGCCGGGTTTGCCCGCGGTGTGCGCCTTGCGCAGATGGTGGCTCAGAAGCAGGGTGAAGGCTTCCACGTCCTCGAGGGCCTGCGAGGAGCCCTGGCCCGACGTCGACGGCAGGGCATGGGCAGCATCGCCGACCAGCACGACGCCATCTCGCTCCCAGGTCGGCAGCGGCGGGATGGTCCACGTGGGATACATGTTCTCCACCGTGAGTGATTGCAGAATCTTTTGGATGACAGGATCCTTCCAGCTCTGGTGACGTTCCCGTAGCTGCGCCGTAACGGCGGCTCTATCCAGGTTGCCCGGCGTGGGGGGCTCTGCGACTGTGTAAGTAGACCACCAGGCGAGCCTGTCGCTTGGCTCCGAGATGTGGTACGGCGAGTCACGATGGGGCGAATCCTCTGTGCTTTCCGAGAAGAAGTACCCAAAGAACCCGTTGCCCCCAAACACAAAGTTCATGGACCCCTTTTCGACGTGTTCTCGAACCTCTGCGGCCGGAATGAAGCCCCCCACGCCGGCGAGACCCCTGGCTCCGTCAGACAATGCATCGAGAGGATAATCATGCGGAATGGCCTGTGCAGAGCACGACTCACTCGTAATGAGGCGGGAACGGGTCTTCCTTAACCTCGGGGAACAAGGCGCGCTTTGCCGAGCTCTTCAAGCCGTCGGCGCCAATGACGAGGTCCACCTCGACGGACGGGCTCCCGTCCACAAAGCTTACGGTGTTTGGCCCGCTTGGGTTGGCGACGACGGCGGAGACTCGCTTGGTGACAATGGCATCATCTGGGATGCGCTCGCGTAGGCATTTCCAGAGTGAGTGGCGGCTGCTGGAGACCATGTGCATGTTTCGATCCGCGACCTTGTCGGATTCTGGGTCGCCTGCCGGCTGGGTCCTGACTAGCACGGTGCCATTCTTGCTCTTCATGATCATGGTCGAGACAACATACCCGCCCCTGACAATGTCACGTAGGAGGTCCTCGTCAAGACGCTTGATGACGTTGAGTCCATTGGGCCCCACGCCCAGCCCGCCACCGACGATGAGCGTGGAGGAGTGAGTTGGCCCCTGTCCACGCTCAACGTAAGTGGTGTCCTTGTTCGTGTCATATGCCTCATAGATGGTGATGGAGTGGTCCTCAGCATCGAGGGCTTTGGGGAGGTGTTTCTTGAGCAGGAGGTATGCGGTGCATCCTGAGATGCCGGCGCCAATGATGGCAATCTTCATATTTGGTTTCACAGGAAGGATGAATTGAATTCTTGATTGACATGTATCGGGATCCAGAAGACAATAGGCGAATTGCCTGGGGTTTGTATACCAGTCATCGACCGACTCAGCCTAGCTGGTGGATGCCAATGCGCAGACGCAAGCTTCGGACGTCGGTACACATTGAGGTCCGGCGTTTCGCGAACGATGACCGCCTCAAGCCGCGTTGTCTTGTATAGTCCATCGCGTCTCTGATGCCGTATTGCCGCCGTATTTATTGCTGTCCACGACGCGCCTACGTATGCATTGCCTCAGGGCGTGTGAGTTGCAGCGGATGCGCGAATGGGGAGGCGGCCTTTACCAATAGAGTGGGGCCGGCTCGACCCGTGAAGCCGGAATGGCGCCCACGTGACGCCGATTTTTGCCAGGAGCTGGAAAAGTGATCCCGGCCGGTTGTCAAGACTCGAGGGCATCATCGACATCTACGTCGCCCGTTACGTTGCCACACACCCAAGTCCTTCCTTCGAAACGGCCAATTGCTTCCCAGCACGATATTTTCTTACCCTTCGCAAATTAGACTCGCTGCCTGCTGCGGACCCTGATGCGCGCATCCCGGCAGTCGTGAGCGCCACCGACCCTCGACGTCCGACGGCCCCCTTGCGCCTGTTGCGCCAAACACCACGACGACCTTCAAGGTGGCTGATCCGAGCCGCTTGCGGTTATCCGCACGGATAATTCAGACACGCCCACGATGGAACCGAGGTAGCCTGTACGCCGGCCGGGCGGCCACCAGGCGGCGCTACGGGACCGTCGCGTCCAGCTCCGACAGACACAGATCGCGCGACCGGATAGCTACGGACGAGGCAGCGGTACCCATGCGGCGCCCGTGGTCCAGCGCGCTGCAGCCCGAACCGGCGATCGTGAAGCCGCGGCCCGCTCCACAGTTCTACGTGCCCTCGGTGCTGCTACCGCCAGAAGCCGCGAAGTCCCCGACCGTGCACAAGATTCACATCCTCGGCGAGGATGAACGATCAAAATTTATCGCGCACGCGCTTTCGGGCGTCTACGACTCGGTTGAGATGCTGGGGTGGAGAAACATATCGTCCAAATACCGCAACATCCAGAGGTCAAGATCCAGCAGCCGGCGGGCTGCGGCCAAGGTCGAAGCAAACATGGCTGTACCCCGAATCCTGACAAAGGAGGACGATTCGCGCATCGACCAACTCGTGGTAACTGGGAAGGGCTACGAGGCGGCAGAGGCCCTCAAATCAGTCAAGCACCGAGTCGACGAAAACACAACGGTATGCCTGATGAATGACGGGCTCGGCGTGCTGGAGGACGTACGGCGCAAGATCTTCGAGGGCATGGAGACGAGCCCCAGCTTTCTGCTCGGCCACATGAGCCATCGTCTGGCGTTCAACCGGACCTACGACTCGGTGAAGCAGCTCAAGAACGGCGAGACGAGATTGACGCTCGCGGAGCTCTCGCAGCGCAAGGGGAAGCAGCTGCACCAGGCACCGCACAAGACGGAGACGCGGTCCAACTTTATACGAACACTCCAGGAGGCTACCGATCTTCACTCATCATTAACGACATACGACCAATGGCTGCGCTTCAAGCTTCCGTCAGTCATTTTCGACTCGGTCGTCGAGCCCGTCTGCGTGCTGCTCGAGACGCCATATCAGGGTCTGCTTCAGAATCCAGCAGCCCAGCGGATGATGCACAGCTTGCTATCCGAGATCATCCAGGTGGTGGAAAAGATGCCCGAGGTGGAGGGGTCGTCGGTGCTGCAGAGCTACGTCCGCGGCCGCGGCATCAAGAAGCTGCTGTACAACCGCATCATGGCGAAGCGCTCGCAGCCGAGCCAGCTGGTGCGGCGGATCGAGCACGGCCTGCCCACAGACGTCGACTACCTGAACGGGTACTTTCTGCGGCGCGGCCAGAAGCTCGGGCTGGATCTGCGGATGAACATCATGATGCGCGACATGATCAAGGCGAGGCACTCGCAGGCGATTGAGAGACTCAACTCATTCATACCCGTGGAGGAGACGTCGATACCGAGCGACTCCGCGTTTCGGTACCGGACGGTGCCGCGGTGATGTAAAAACAATTGGGGAACGGATGAACTGTACATTTTTGTCACATTAGCATAGCAAGGGCGTGTAAATACATGGTCGCGAGTTTCAACCACAGCCACCGCTATCAGCGCAAACACTCTGTATTGGCTTTTAGTTAAACCTCTTTTTCTGCACGCCTTCGCTCATAAACATTTAAGCATTTAGTGTTTGGACTAATCATCCTGTGCATTCGGCATTGATGAGGATGATGTCGTCGCGCTGAAGGCTCACGTGATGGGGCCTCGCCCAGCTGCTGCCCCTCCAGAATGCTTAGGTTTGTAGCCATCGTGCCCCGCCGCCCGGCGAGAGCTGGCGTCACAGGTAAACCACCACAAACCCCCCATCGAGCTGCAGACCATGGACGATTCAGAGCTCGAGCAGGTGCGCGCGCATCGCCCTCAACCCTCCCGCCACCGCTGATGGAGTGTCCCGCAGATCCGAAAAGCTCGTCTCGAGCAGCTCAAGTCGCAGGGAGGCGGCGGCCGCGGCGCCGGCGGGCCGTCCTCCAACGGGCAGGACCAGGAGCAACAGAAGCAGTACGTCGCGACCTATCCCCATCTTCCCCTCTCCGGAGCCTTCCTCCAAGCTCCCATTCGGGGTGTTTCCCCCGTCCGTGTGGCTACTCGAGAACTTGGAACGACAATGGAACAAAGTGGGCTAACGCGTGACGGGTGCGGCGGCACGAAAACAGGCAGCAGCAGGAGGAGGCGCGGCAGCACATCCTCAACCAGATCCTGCACCCCGAGGCGGCGGACCGGCTGGGCCGCATCCGGCTCGTCAAGGAGCAGCGCGCGACCGACGTCGAGAACCGGCTCATCACGCTCGCGCAGACGGGCCAGCTGCGGCAGAAGGTGACGGAGGCGCAGCTCAAGGAGCTGCTCAACGCCGTGGCGGACAACAAGGAGGAGGAGCGGATCGTGGTGAGCCGGCGCAAGGCCTGGGACGACGACGACGACGACTTGCTGGACCTGTAGTCGTGGTGGGGATGGATGGGCGGAAGAAAATGTGCAGGCAAGACAGACGCAGAGACACACAACACAAAAAGTGATACCAATGGGATGAATGGATTAATGCAATGCCACTGCACGCTCGTTTTTACATCTGTTATACATGAGGATTCGCTGGGCGCAACCATGCCGGCTCCGGAGACTTCACATGCCCTGGGTCTGTATCTCCTTGAGCCGCTTCTTCTCCTCGCGCTCCCTCTTGCGAATCTCCCGCAGGTCGGGCGGCCGCTCGATGCCCAGCTCCCTGCGCAGGTCGTCGACATCCCGTTCCAGCTGCTCCTCCCAGAAGACGTTGATGAGCTCCTTGCTGCGGGCGCCGTTGCGCACCGCCCAGGGGAGGTACACGCTGAAAAAGCGACGCCTCTCCTGGGGCTTGAGCGTCGCGGCGGCAAACATGCTCAGCCCCGTCATGGGGATGAGCGTGTTCGCAAACTCGAACGCCTTGAGTGCGACCTCGCCCTCGCGCCAGATGGGCAGCCCCGTGACGGCGTGGTAGAAGTCGTGGCACTCGCGGTAGCGCTGCATGACGTACGCGCACTCCGGGTCGTCGATGTAGCGCACGTCGGCGCGCGTGTCGGGCGAGACGCCCTCGCGGTCGAGCCAGCCCACGTAGGCGCGGCCGACGGTGTTGGCGGGCAGGGCGCGCAGCTTGGGCAGGGAGAGCGACTCCGAGGTGATGCGCGGGCGCTGGCGGAGGATGCGCCGGCCGGTCGGGTCGGCGAGCATGGCGTCGCGGAGGCGGTAGATGAAGTAGGGGGTCGCGGTGGCTTCGCCCGTGGCGGCGATGAGGTCTGCGGGAGCGGGTGAGTCAGTCGGGCGAGGTCCTGGTCATGGTGGAGGGTGTGCGCTGGCGAGGTTGCGAAGGGGGATTGGGAGGGATCGGACGCACCATGGCGGTAGGGGTCGAAGAAGGACATGACGCTGGCGCCGACGGCCATGCCGAGGCGCTCGACCCTCGTGAGCGGCACATGGCCCGGGTAGTTTGGCTCCGGGCGGTTGAGGGCGGAGAAGCGCCTCGTCGTCGACGATGAGGTTGATGGGCAAGAGGCACAGGCAGCGCAGGTCGCGGAGCCGGCGAGGCGCTGCAGCCTCGACGGCCGTATTCTGGACAGTGTCGCCTCCATGTCTGATCGTCGACGCTGTAGCAAATGGCAGCCCCGACCGCGCTACAGCTTCTAGGCGGGGCGAGTGAAAGCGTGTCGTTGAGGTGCGTGAAGTGGTTCAGGTCGGAGGTTGAAGCTTGGTGGGACGGTGGAAAACGTACGAGCTTGACGTCGGCATGTCGGTTCCCAATTTAGCCCAGTCACCCCACCAAGGCATCTAGGTACGCAAACATCCCGACACTGATGGAGGATGCTGTGACAACATGCACGTGAAGGATTGAGAAAGCAATTAAATTGCTTCATTTCTTTCACATGTTTCTTTTTCCTTTTCGCGCACACCATAATGTCGTAACACCAATCCTTGAGATGACTACGAAGCAAGTTCGTACAATACGGTAGACGTCGTGCATGTCGCCGCAGCCAGACATGATACCTTTGGTCGAAGCCATGTCAGCACACGCATCAGCGTCATGATCATTAGAATTCTTGCTGTCGCTTCCTTTCTTCCGTGGATGTCTCTCCCTATGAGGTCAAGCCTTCTGCCCAATGCTCTTATACACGGCCCTCTCCAGCTCGTCGTACAGCTTCCCATTCACCGGCTCGCCCCAGGGAAAGCAGTTCACAATCATGACGCCCGCAACGCCCGTCTCGCGATCAACCCACTGCACAACCACACGTCAAGGTCAGCATCATAATCCAATTTTCAAGGCGTCAAAGGGTGTTACGCAAGGGGCAAGCGACTCACCCAGCGGCTGTTGCACGCCCCAGTCCACATCATGCTCCCCTTGCGCCTCTTCCCCGGCACGTCCTCGAGGTTAAGCAGCCCCCCGATCCCGGAGCTGATGGGCAGCCCCGTGGGGAACTCTGGCGCGTACTCGGACTGCCTCGCGGGGTCGTACGCCGTGCGCTCCAGCCCCGCGCGCTGCCGCTCGTCGAGCTGCGGCGTGAACATGGTGCGCATCGACTCCTCGGTGAGTAGCTCGCCCGCGAGGAACGCCCGCAGGAAGCGCGCGTAGTCGTCGGCCGTGGTGTGCAGCCCCGCGCCGCCGCCCTCGAGGTCGTGCTCCTTGGGCAGCGGCATGCGGAACGGCTTCAGCGTGCCGTCGTCCTGGCGCAGCGACCCCGGCGCGGTGCGCGGTTCCGTGTCGGGCAGTCGCTCTGGCCAGAAGCCAGAGTCCTTCATGCCGACTGGGTCGAAGACGTGTGCCTGCATGTACGCCCCGAGCGTCCGTCCCGTGAGCCGCTCCAGTGCGATGCCCGCCCAGTCGACGCCAGAGCCGTACTGCCAGCTTTCGCCGGGGGGAAACTTGAACGGCGTGCTGAAACCCGAGAGGTTGAAGGCGAGGTGGTTCCCCGTGCGGCCGATGGCCTTGGCCCAGCGGATGGTGTCTGGATCTCTCGTGTCGTAGCCCAGCCCGGAGACGTGAGAGAGCAGCATCCTGCAACGTCAGCTCAGCCGTTATTCGGGAGTCGCCAGCCCCTAGAACCTACCGCAGGGTTATTGGCTTCGTGTTGTCCTCGAGGATCGGCTGGTCGCCGTCGAACCCTTTGAGGATCTGCAGCTTGCCCAGCTCGGGGACCACCTGGCGAATGTCATCCTCAAGCTTCACGACGCCCTTCTCAACCAGCTGCATGACGCAGGTGATGGTGGGCAGCTTCGTGAGCGAGGCAACCCAGGTGAACGTGTCCCCCGCGAACGCCTTGGCGTCTCGGTCGAAGTCGATTCTGCCCGCGGCGCCGGAGCAAATCACTCCTGCCACCCGTCAGTGCCTGTCTTTCTGACCCGCCAATTTTGTCGCCGAATCCGCGCTCGCGTGAAGCTCACCGTCCTTATTCACAGCCACGAACGCGCCTCCGAGGAGGCGATCCTTGGTGTCATCGTCGTGCACGGTGTAACGCCGCAGAATGCCGTCCAGGTCTGCCATTGTTTCGAAATGTTCCGTCCCTGGTTTTGCTCGCGTGTGTTCTGGCCACTTGCAAGAATGGACTGCTCAAAGACGGCGCCCAATGCCACCTTTTATAGATGACCGTGGCAATCGGGCGGGATTGTCATGCGGCGTCTCAGTTGCGTCGCTCATTGGCGCTGGGCTGATGCCGGTATGTCGTGAGAGCTAGCTGCGCCTAAATGATGACGGCGGTCGGCATCTCGGAGCAGGCCTGCCTGGCTTGCTGCGGCTCACGCATGGGATCGACGTGAGAGCCTGGTTGAGTTGGGCTGGTTGGGGTCGCATTTATGCCGTGTCTAAGTTTCGCGGGGTGCTGGGCGCGACTATCGAGGCGATTGCCTAATTGGGCTGTAAGACGGGCGCTCGACAGTGGACAGTGGGCCTCGTCGCTTTGCCCTGGATTTCTCTGCATCACGCCCACTCACTCACCCTCTACCACCCGCAACCTCAATGAGTGAGGCTGGAGGTACAGTATAACTGGAGGTGCAACCACAAACTCCTAGTTTTTGTTCTCTCGCGTTGCTCGTCTAATGGCTCCGAGACTGGCATGCTAAGCGCCGGGGCCGCTGAACAAAGAGCCGTGTCCGCTCTCGCACTCAACCCATCTCGATTCACAAACCTCAAAAGTTGGCGACATGAGAGGCCATAGTCGGCGCCGCATCTCATCGCACCGCACAACCACTCTCCCCCATGGAGGCCATAGAGAAGCTCCTCGACTGGGCCACGGCCCGGGGCGTCGTCCTTGACGGCATCGGCCCCAAGCCGCTCCCTGGGCGCGGCATCGGCATCGTCGCGACCCGAGAGCTCAAGGTGAGATACATCAATGCCACCCACGCCCATCATGTTCATCCGGCCAACGTCCTCGCAGCAAGGTGAAGCCGTCCTCACCGTCCCGACCGCCCTCCTCCGCTCTCTGGACAGCACCCCCAAGCCCATCGTCCGCGCACTCAAGGGGGCCACGGTGCACGCCATCCTCGCCGCCGCGCTTTGCCTCGAGTCGGATCCCGACTTCGACGTCTGGCGCGCCGTCTTGCCCTCACCCGACGACGTCGAAGCCAGCATGCCGATATGCTGGCCCGCAGACCTCCAGGCCCTGCTGCCCCCCGCCGCGACCTCCATGCTCGACAAGCAGCAGGCCAAGTTCGACAAGGACTGGACGCTCGTCTCCGCCGCGTTCCCCGACGCCGCCTCCATCGCCGGCGCGGATCGCCTCACGCGCGACTCTTTCCTCTACGCGTGGAACCTCGTCAACAGCCGCACCTTCTACCACACCACGCCGCGCACCGAGACGCGCCTCCCCAAGGACGACCACATGGTTCTCCAGCCCGTCGCCGACCTCTTCAACCACTCCCCGCACGGCAGCTGCGCCGTCTCCTACGACGCCGCGGGCTTCACCATCGCGACGACCCGCGCCCACGCGCCCGGCGACGAGCTCTCCATCCGCTACGGCGCCCACTCCAACGACTTCCTCCTCGTCGAGTACGGCTTCGCCCTGCCCCGCGACGCCAACCCCTGGGACGAGACGGGCCTCGACGCCTGCGTCTGCCCGCTGTTCGCGCCCGCCCAGCGCCGCCGCCTCGAGGACGCGGGCTTCTGGGGCGGGTACGTGCTCGACGCGCAGACGGCTTGTTACCGCACGCAGACGGCCTTGCGCATGCTGTGCGTCACGCCTGGCCAGTGGCGCGCCGTCCTTGACGGCGTGCGCGACGAGGACGTGGATGCCCCGGCCGTGGACCGCGAGCTGCTCCGCGTGCTGCGCAAGTATGAAAAGGACATTCGCGGCAAGGTTGCCGAGATAGAGCGCTCCACTGCCGGATCCGACGACGCAAGGCATGTGTTGCGCGCGCGCTGGATTCAGATAAAGGAGCTGGTAGTCGCCGCAATATCACGCATACAAGACTGACGCAGAGACGCCGCCGTCACCGGCCCGTGCCACTTGCTCGCACTCCCCCTTGCGAGCCTTTGTGAGTCCGAGTGTGTTCCTTATTACTACATGTACCTCTGTGCTCGGCCCGGGGCGCAGCCAGTCAGTCCCGTCTCCCGTCCGTCTGCGTGCTGCCCGAGCCTCGGAACCCCATGAGAACACGTCCCATCAGCCGCCGGTTTTTCGTTTTTTCGAAGAGGCTGTAATGCCGCCTCATCCTACCCGCAAAGGTAAAAAGCAAGTCCCTAAACGCTCTGCCCGCCGGATAAACGATCCCTGGCCATGCTGGCCTATAATATTGTACAACTGCACGTCTCCCATGTGCACCTTTCACAGCGCCGCCGCTCGCCTGGAGAGCTGCTCTGGCTGCCCAACGAACTAGCCGGAGGAAGCGGTCCTAGCAACACGTCTCTCTACTCGGGTCGTGGGCGCTTTGCCCCGTGAGGGTTGCCCCAGTCTCCTCCGCCCCCGCCTTGGTTCTGGTTAAAGCCGAAGCCGCCGTTGAAGTTGGGGTTCATGCCCTGGAAACCTGTGACAATGTTAGCAAGTCCAGTCCCGGGTGCTGCGTTGCGCTATGGCTCACCTGGCATGCCTCCACCCATGCCCATCATGCCCATGTTCCCCGGCATCCCCATCGGCATGCCGCCCATGGGGCCCATGCCCATCATGTTGCCACCGCGGCCACCTCGCATGCCACCAGGGCCACCCCGCATGCCGCCTCCCATCATGCCGCCGCGACCGCCCTGGAAGCCGAAGTTGCCGCCACCCATAGGGCCGTTGAATCCGCCGCCCATGTTGTTGTTAAATCCCATGTTGTTGTTGAAGTTGCGGTTGCTGTTGAAGTTGTTCTGGTTCATGCCGCGCCCGCCGCCGTAGCCACCACGGCCGCGGAAGCCACCGCCATAGTTGCCCCGGTCGTTGTACGGCCCTGAAGGGGCGGCGCGGGGCTGCTCCTTGACACGCGCCGGGGCGTCCTTCGGTAGCGTCCTGAACGGATTCATCCCCGGGTTCCAGTATGACGTTGTCAGCTTCTTCTGCTGCCCCGGCTGGGCGCTTTCAGTAGCCGTGTGGTCGATATGGTGCTTGGCCGCCGTGGCCGCTTGCCGGGAGTAGAACTCGATGTACGCTTGGCTGAGAAATCTGTTAGCAATCATGGGTACTTGTCGGTTTGGCGCATTACCACTTACCCCTTGCTCTTTCCATTGACCTTGTGCTCGCTAAAGGTGAGCTCCTTGACCTCGGCCTCACAATCGGCGCCACGGAGCCAGCCACGGATGTCGTCGTCCGTCGTCCACCAGCTGAGCTCAGAAATCATAACGGCAGCGGTGGCGTTTGCATCGACTGGACGGTCGTCCTCTTCCGATTTCCTCTTGACGCCCTGCCGAGATGATGTGTCTTCCGCCTCGCTCGCTCGGCGCTGATGGTCGTCGCCATGCTCCTCTCTGTTGTGCTGGTCGTGGTCTCCGTGGTCGTCATGATGTCCCTGATCCCCGTGATCTACCTTGCCGTGGTCATCGTGGTCGCCCCGGTACTCATTCTCGCCCTCCTTGTGGCCGCCCTCCTGGTGGTTCTGCTGGTCGTTGGCGGCGTCCCCATAAAAGTCGATTTCGAAATCCGCTTCGGCCATCGCGAGTGTGTACCAGCGACTTGCGCGGCTGTGGGGGGAGATGGGGAAGACGGGGCTTGATAAATAGTCCTATTAAGTGTCTTCGAGATACAGGGGCCGGTCCTTGATCTTTGAGACAAGGGGTATCAGCAACGCAACGCTTGATTGCTTCCCAAATGAAAAGGGACACAGGCTGCAGCGGATGAAAAGAACGAAGGTTCGGCGGGGCCGGTCTCCGCACGGAAGAAACGAAGAGAGAAGTCGATGCTTGATAGTACGTACAGGTACCAGAAAAGAATGGGTATCGTATCGTGAAGAGAATTTATGACATCAAGCCAGAAGACGAAGCTCTGTGCTCGCGGTCCTCGGCGCTCCAAGCTCGCTCTTGCTTTTGCTTCTTTCGACCACCCGAAACCTCAGGCAGCGTCGGTACAAGTGGGCCTCGCCGGCCTGACGGTAGAAACAATCTTCCTCGAAGCAACCTCCAATACGCGCGTATCCGGGGGGTGGCTCGTCCGTGCCAGGTTTCGGGGCGGTGCGTTTGCGCGGGCACTGCTGGTTAGCTTCGACAGTCACAGTGCAGCAGCGGAAGTCGAGTCGTGGGAAGGCGATGATAAGGTTACAGGAGCCGGGCTACTCTCCTGGGTGCGTGTTGACCGGAAATCGTGGTGGGAGTTGGCGATCGTCGGACGGTCGGTGACAAGGGCGCGCAAAAGAGAGCTGGTTGACGGGAAGCGGGCACGAGCCAGCACAGCCGTTGTGTTCGTTGGCCCACACGCCGAGCTGGAGGCGCCGCCCGTCGGTGGCGGAGCATCAATGTTCCGACCAACCATTAAACCTGGGGGCCTGGCGCCTCACGAACAGCTAGCATCTCAGTGCTCACAGTGCTTCGTGGCTGGAACACCACGAAGATGACTGGCATTTTCGTTGAACTTACGGCGCAAGTTGCCAATGGATCCTGCGACTGCACCTGGTAACATGTTGCGATGTCGAAGACGCTGCGTAGGGCAGCACGCCAGATGTCGCCTGACCCAACAACCGCTCCGCACCGCGTAACCCCTGGAGCACCGGCGCTTACTGGTCGTTGAAGATTTGACGCCATCTCTACGGGTACCGCTTGCCTCTGAGGTAATGTGTTGCCTCACTCAGCTGTGTTCCTGGCGGAAGCGTACAGTGGTGTTCCCTCAAACGAATCTCGCGCCTCTTATTTTCTGTCATTCACGATGAGACAAGCCCAGTTGCCCGATCGAGGTCTACTCGTCGCCTTCGAAACCAGTGAAAATGCATTTTTGATCACAGCTTGCATACCCATTGATCTCGATCGAGCTCAGAGGCGAACATATCCAATTACCATTGGCAGCGAGAGGTTCAACTCGATCATTGCTTCTTCAACCCCAGAACGATCTGCTGAGGCTATGCCTTGATCATGGTAGAGCGTACACCCGGATTAGAAACACTCTTCACGGCGCCCTGCTCCGTGACCTCAAAGTCAAACTCGTCCACTGGACGGCCCGCGTACCGCCAGGTATCATAGTTGAACCAGTTGGCGCACGCCTCACTCGGCCGCGACGGCGTCGCGACCCTCTTGCCCAGCTTCTCCAGCACCATCCTCCACCGGCCATCCTCCCCGATGGGATATATGCGCGCATCAAGCTCCGCATCCTCAACCCCTTTCTGGTCCGCCAGCACAGCGAGTATGGACTTGCCGCCGCGCGTCCACGACTTAATCCGCAGGCCAGGCCCCTTGTCCACGACAAGTTCCAAGTTCGACGAGTTGCTGCCCGAGTAGCGACCCGCGTAGATCTGTTCAGCTTGGTTCCTCGCCAGGGCGTCCGCCTCGCGCACCACAGCTTCCGTCACCACGTCGAGCAGCGAGAGGCTGGGGCTGTTGGCATCTACCGCGGCGACCATGATGGTCCCGCCGATGTTGTACTCGGGGACGAGAAACACGTAGGAGGCCCAGCCCGGCATGGAGCCGGACTTGGTGTACACGTCGATGGGGCGGCCGTCGGGCGTCAGATGGGCGAGGCGGAAGATTTCCCACGGCGCGCCCACGTGCATGGCGTAGGAGCCGGCAAAGGACGAGGGTTTGAGCCACGTGCGGGTTTGGGCGGGCGTGAGAAGCGTGTTGTTGAGGATGGCGCGCGTGTACGCCGTCAGGTTGCGCGGCGTGGAGAACAGGCCTGCGGTGCTGCTCTGTGTTAGCATCGCTTCCGTGCTGGACCGTCTGGGAGTGGTGTACTGACTAGTTAAAGTTGCCGATGCTCAGGTCAAAGAAGCTGGCTCCGATGCCCACGGGGATGATCCCCCGCGACAGCTCCGGCACCTGGAACCCCGTCGCGGAGAGACCCAGGGGGCCCGTGATGCTGTCGCGAATAATCTGCTCGAACGGCTTGCCCGTGATGTTCTCCATCGCCCAGCCGAGCAGCATGTAAGCCTGGTCCGAGTACGCGGTCTTGTCGCCCGGCATGAACACGAGCTTGTTGCTCTTGAGGACGTCGAGCATTTCTATAGAGTCTCAGAGAAATGACCTTGCAAGACTGGGCAGGGGAGGCGCTGCTATACTTACCCGCGCGGGTGCACGACTTCATGGAGAGGTTGTCGCAGGTCGGTATGTCCTTGGGATCTGGCTTCGGGAAGCCCGCCTTCTCCAGCTCGTCTCCGTAGCGGAGGTACCGATCAAACGCAAAGCCTTGTAAAGTCAGCACTGCCTAGCATTGCGAGCTCTCGACATGATTTGGGATTCACCTTTGTTCGGCACTCCAGCCATCTGGCTGGCCAGCATCCTCAGCGTAACATCCTTGTACGGCTCGAAACCCCTAAGCTCCTCGACATAATCCCCAATCGGGGTGTCGAGCTTATGCGGAGCATTCAGCAGCAAGGCCAGCACGTTGACCGTCTTGGTCACACTCATGACACGATATACCGTATCCGAGTCCACCGTCTTCACGCCGCTCGCGTTCTTGATGGCGGCGGTGTGGTGGTACTCGAACAACGTGGCGTCCGCCGAGGTGAGCTGCACGGAAAAGGATGTCGTGGAGACGTTCCACTTTGTGTCCGGGCTCTTGACCAAGGCGTCGATCTTGGATGAGAGTCTCTGGGGGTCCAGCTTGGTGGGATACTTGGGAGGAGGGAGGACGGGGCCGGTTGGAGGGCACCGGCCGCCGATGGTTGTTGCGAGCGCAGCGGCAGCCCCGACGAGGAGCCCGAAGAGAGTCTTGTTCATTGTGTCGATGTAAACGATTGCGATTCAAGCACTGTACTACTTTTTCACCCGTCATCCCAAACATTTCGTCTTTTGCTGCTCTCTAGGCTTTTTATATATCGTACTCTATTGTCCATGTGGGTGAAGTTGGTGATGCTCTCCGTGTAAGCCAAATGTGGCGTATACGATTTACGAGCCCGAATGCGATCGACGAAACCCCAGCCACGGGCCGCGCAAACTCGCATCGTCAATTATCGTCACCGTCTTGGCTCGGCACTCTCAGCCTTTGGCCTAACCTGTGCTCCGTCAAAACTGCGCATTCAAGAGCTTGGATTTCGGCAGTGAAGCTGGCAACGTCATCGTAGGGTATGGATCATGGGTCGAAACACCCGGAAATTAGCGTCAAGGTATGCTGGAAGTTGTGTTATGGCTGACGCGCGTTTCGCTGGAAATGTGGCTTGTCGCTGAATTAACAGAGCGAATGCGAGAGCGAGTAGCAGCCTGACTTCGGTCGCCATGTAAGACGGGCAGAGATGCCCGACATCGTCCAAGGCATGGGCTCTCCAGCGCACTTTGGTCCATCTACGCAAACACGTACACGCAAGTCGCAGCGCCTTCTGAAGACATTACGGAGTCGTGTCTCTCCAGTTTGGAGAGAAAGGCGGCGCCGAGGTCCTGGTCCAGCTGACCTTCCCAAGGCAGATCCATGTCATTCAACTGGGCCCGAGCAGCAGAGAATCCAGACCGAGTACAAAGCTGTGGTCGCAGGCGTAGAAAATTTAGACCAAATTGAACGATCGAGCACAGGGTCTGACGAATACTGAGGCTTAGCTTTACGGTAAAGCATCAAGTGTCAAAGAAGCTGATGAATTGTGGACGATGCCGTACTCCAAATGGGACCGCTGGTGCCTCCCAGATTCGCCGGCCCGATACGCCGTAGCAGTAGTCCCAATTCAGATCTTCCTTTCCTGCAGGTCCAAAGAACATACATTTGCTGCGATGAGAGCTCCCGTAGCAATGGCAACTCAATAGCCAGAGTCTTGAAACACGTCTGGGTCTTCCCGCAGGTTAGAGTCCACGCTGCGCCGCATTCCTGGCTCGCCCTCGTCGTCTGTCGACTCGTTGAACGCGTGCAGGCTGCAAGTGCCGCGTGCCATGCTGTATCCGTTCCACGCAGAAGCTGGGATCCGTTAGCTTCTTTCTGCTCCTCTAAGTCAGAATGCGAAAGCGACTTACCAACTAGGACTGGAGCGGTCGGGTGCCAGCTCGCGTCACGCACGCAAGTGCCCCAACCGCCCGGCTCGTCGAACCAGTGTCTTGTGTGCCGATCCCTCCGACGGGTTGCCATCGTTGCCTTCTTGACATCAATCGTACCCGCCAGCGTTGCGTCCATGTTCCATATGTACACTTTGCCGTCGGCGCTTCCGGAGTAGACATATCGCGAGTTGGTCGAGGATGGCGGCGAAAAGTGACACCGAATGAGAGTGCGGAGGACTTTGTGACCCCTAAATGTTACCAGCGAGTTGTCCTGCGGGTGCGGATCCCAATCTTCTTCGTCGTATGCTTCTCTGCGGTAGTCGAACGTGCCGCCAATCGTGCGACGCAGCGGTGCTTCTTCCCGGAACTTGGCAGATGATTTGGCCATCCTCAGATCCCACAGCTTCATGCTCTGGTCCTTGCCGTTGCTCAATATGTACCGTCCGTCGCCTTTGCTGTCGATGTACGTCAATCCCTCGACGTGGCCAACGAACGCGCCGGCCTCGCGAGACGTCCCCATGCTCCTTCGATCCCAGACCTTGATAGTGCAGTCATCTGAACCCGAGTAGACGATGTGCGGCGACAGCTTATCGGCGAAGCAGACAGCATTGACATGATCGTCGTGTCCGGTAACGTGGTGGAGCACACGGCGTGATTCGATGTCGTAGACGACGATGGCATCTGAGCTTGTCCCTGCGACGAGCTCTCTGCCGTCACCAGAGAACCTGATAGACCAGATGCCGAAACCCCCTCGCGTCCGCCAGGTGTTGTCGGTGCGTACGGCGGCGTCGTCAAGATCGAGCGTGTATGGGTCGCCGGTATCGTTGGCGTCCGTAGGGGCCATGGACACCATGCTCTGGATCGATGTGTATGCCAACCATCGATTGTCCGGGCTCAAGCTTGCATCTGTCAAGGTCCACTGCCCCCACGGGTAGGAGGCTGTCTTGTAGTACTTCCACTCGTACGGGTTCGACGTGTCGTACATGCGGACTTTGAAGTCTTGACAGCATGAGAAGAAGAAGTTGCCGTCATCCGAGAACTGACCCGAATAGACGGGGTCATCGTAGTGAATAATCTTCTCTGCTCTCGTGCCGGGTATCATGGTCTGAAGACTGTTAGCCGGCGCCAGACGGCGTGGGACGAAGCTCCGAGTGCGAACCTGGGTTACAATGTCACTATTCCGCTTCCTCTGCTCGCGGTCGCCGAGACCGAGTTCTCGCTCGAGCATGCGCCTGGAAATGCGCTTCTTGGCGTGCAGGTCGTAGTCGTTGGCCCCGAAAGCGCCACTCCTCATGAGTTTGATGCCCTCCTCGCTTGGCACCGTGGGAAAGCGATTCGGGTCCTTGGCCTGCCGCCGCCTCCGCGAACCCCACATGCTCATGAAACCTTCCTCGTCGTCTGCGTTGTTAAACAGAGTGTTGCTCAAGTCGCGCTGCCGTAACAGCGCCATGAGTTGGCCGCGCGTCAACAGGCCTGTCCTCTCACCGTCTGGATCAGCTGTCAGTACGCCCAGGTCAGTAGAGAGGTGCTGTTAGAGCGCACCTCGGAATAAACCCATGATCTGCTGGATGGGGTCGTCCTCATCGTCAAAGTCGTCGGCTTCAGCGTCATCCTCGTCAAGGTCCTCCTCCTCGACCTCAAAGTCCTCGTCTTCTTCCTCATCGTCCTGGTCTTCGTCATCATCTCCGTGGACGATGTAAGAGCCCGGCATGCGGTAGAGATATGGCGCATCGTCGTCGCTATCCTCGTCGCTGTCGCCCGTCTCACGGTCCGGTTCGGAGTGCTCGGCAACATCATCATCGTGGTCATCACTTTCCCTCAGATGCTGGGAGCCAGTGGCCCCTTGCTCATTTGGTGCACTCATTGTCAGACTAGTTGTTCGATTCGATAAGCCGTGCCCTGAGCACGGGGCAATGTGAGCTCGTCGATGCTCTTGCACGGTTGGTACGCGGGCCGTAGTGGGCGGGGCGAGGCGCCGTCCGCACGATACTGATATCCGGAGGCGGTTTGTTGCTAGTTGAAAAGCAAGAAGAGAACTCGAGATAGGGCTATGGGAAAACAGTTCTCGGATAGATGCAGCTACGGCGCCGACATCTGTAGGACACAGTATCAGCCGGCAACGTGAAGAATGAAGGTTCCGGGAGCGCAGGTCAGTGACGCCATGACGGTCTGGCGGGGATCGAGAAGCTGTGCTGGATAAGCAGCTTGGGCTTTTAGCTGGCGGAGTTAAGCTCAGCGAGGGTCCAAGTCTCCGAATGGGCCAGCTTCGGGTCGGTGGTGGGCCTGATGGGGACGGATACAGAGCTACAGGAGACTACACGGGGCCTCCGCACGCCGCCAGTGCTGGCGCCCGTCACTGGGAGGTACGGGGTAGCGCCCAGGAGCACTGGCAAACAGCCGCCACGCCCACCTGGGCACCGACCTGGGGAGACCCTAGCTCGGCTCGGCGCGACGACCCAGGTGCTGGTCCAAGGTTCCAAGGTTGGAAGCTGTCCCTGCAGTGGTCTGGTCATACAATGATGCGGCCAAGGCATCACATCACACAGGCATTCGTTATAGCAGCACAGACGCTCGCAGATCACTCGCTGATTGGGGAGCCATGGAATGCGAAGCAGAAGGTTATTGTGCTCTACCTTGAAGAAGATACGGCACCTTTGCATTTGCAGCACGATGGCGAGCTAATCGTGCCCTGCCTCGACGAGGCGCGCGCCGCGAACAGGATCGGCCGCGTGCCGGACGGGACAGGGGAAGATGGACGGAATAAGACATACACATAAAAGGGAATACGAAGCGGTCTAAGCAGAGCATCGCCGCCAGAATAGCCTCGAAGCGACGCCGCAAAGAACGATGCATGCGCCGTCGCAGAGGCAGAAGCACTGCCGGAACGGTGGCATGGCGAAGTGCCACCCACTGGAAGCGGCGACAGTTGGGCCCAAAGCCGCCCCAATGCCCCTCCGTGGCACCTCAATTGATGGCCCTGGAGGCGCCTGCAGCTTTCTGGAACGCCGCGGGCCCCCCAATGCCCCCCTACGTCGCCCCTTCCGGTGGCCCCTTTGCCCCTCCAGCGGCCAAGCCTCCCACCTAGGTGGAGGGCCCACTCGTTCGTCCACTAGGAGCGCGGCCGACGGCGCGCAGGTTACGAATGCCAAACCTACGGTAAGGCAACCCTGTCCGGTACCTCCCCATTACGACGGCGTTCCCTGTGAGGAGAGGAGCGGCGGGTTGGACAGACACCAGACATTCGTCCACTTTTTCCCCCTTGCTCTCGACATTCAACATCGCCATCGCTTCACGACTCTCCTTTTCTCCCGAGTCCCGACCACTCGGCCCTCGCATAGCGTCTTTGCATCCGTTCCTTTTCCTACCATTGCTGCACCCCGTACTCTTTTGCCGCGCGTCGCGACCTAAAAGACGGTCGCGTGCCTTCGATTTACCCGGCGCCGACACGCGCCTCTAGCGAACCCTCGAGGCCACGACAGACCGACCGCCCTGCGCTGTGAGGCCGTCGACGCCGCGTCTGCACCACCATCCCAATCTTCCTTCACGTTGTTCCTCTCCATTCCTGATCAGCAGGCGGCCGAAGCGACTCTCCTGCGAGCAACAGCGCCGAGCAATCGCGCCGCAGCCGCCGCCGCCACCCTCACGTCACCATGAGGTTCCGCACCAAGCATTCGCCTCTCCTGCTCCTGCTGCTGCCGTCGCTGGCTGCTGGTCTCGCGGCCAAGTCTGGCGGCACTACTGCAGAGCGGGAGGATGCGTCCGTTGCGTCCCTGCTCGACTCCGACGATGGCGCGAAATCCCGATCACGCCTCTCCACAAAGGACGCCCCGTTCGATGGCAAGGACGGCAAGCCCCATCTCGGCCCTTTCGTCGAGACGGACGGCACCGCAACCGACTCTGACAACAACGGCCTGCCACCCCTCAAGGGCCGGCCTCACGATCCGACCGTAGTAGACGGCAAGAAGATTCCCGAGTCCAATGACGGCGTAATGTTCGACAAGAACCGCGAGCGCCCGCAAGGCTCAACGGGCACCGAGGGCGGTGTGACGGAGAAGTCGGCCGCTCGAAAGGCCCAAGAGGGCAAGACGGGCGAAAAGACGTTTGCGCAGCCGGAGGCTCCCAAGGAGAAGCCCCCTATGCCACATAGCGAGGAGCAGAAGCTGGGCAAGGACGGCACCAAGGAGAAGGGAAAGGACAAGACCAAGGCCAAGTCGTCGTCAGACAAGGTGGAGGGCAGCACAGACTACACGGGCCTCGACGTATGCCTCTGTTCCCGCAATTACTCTCGCGCCACCGATAGCTAACATTCTAAACAGAAGCCCGAAGACCTTCCAGGCAAGCACCGCGACAAGACACCACTGCCCGACTCTGTCAAAGAATCCCCTCTCGAACCCGAAAAGGTCGCTCCAATCTCAACAGGAAAGACCAAGACCACGCCACAAGATGAGGAAGGCATTATTCAGCCGTTTCACTCTTTCGTCCTGTCGTTTACCATGATCCTCGTCTCTGAGGTAGGCGACAAGACATTCCTGGTGGCGGCGCTCATGGCCATGAAGCACGACCGCATGGTGGTGTTCTCGGCGGCCTTTGGGGCTTTGCTCGTCATGACGGTCCTGTCTGCCGTTCTTGGCCACGCCGTGCCGACATTAATCCCCAAGCGACTGACCAGCTTCCTCGCTGCCGGTCTCTTCCTGATCTTCGGCGCCAAGCTCCTTCGCGAGGGCATGAAGATGGATCCGAACGAAGGCGTCTCGGCGGAGATGCATGAGGTGGAGCAGGAGCTCGCCGAGAAGGAAAAGGAACTCGGTCGCAGCCGCCACGACATGTCGCCGCACGCCCTGGAGATGGGCCTCAACGGCAGGAGCTCGAGGGCCAAGGGTCGCTTCCCTTCGCCCCCACGGTCACCGTCGCAGTCTCCCACGCGCAGCCCAACACGCAGCGGTGGATCCATCCAAAATATTGTTCACGGCGTCAGCAACCTGTGCTCCTTGCTCCTGAGCCCTGCGTGGGTGCAGACCTTTGCCATGACGTTTCTGGGCGAGTGGGGTGACCGAAGCCAGATCGCGACAATTGCCATGGCGGCAGGCCAGGACTACTGGTGGGTGACACTGGGAGCAACTTGCGGCCATGCCATCTGCACGGGAGTGGCTGTCCTCGGCGGCCGCGCCATCGCGGGCCGGGTCAGCCTGAAAGTTGGTAAGTGAATAGCACGGGTCCAGTCGAGTCGAGTCGAAGTGAAGCTAACTCTGTTGCAGTAACTGTGGGCGGCGCTATTGCATTCCTACTCTTCGCCTTTATCTATTTCATCGAGGCCTTGCACGGGTAGCCGGCTTCGTCCCGACTCGCCGACGTCGGGGTCGCTCATTTTTCTTCATGTGGACAAGTTGGCGGGCTACTATCTGTTGTAATTGGGCACACGCGCACACACGGTCGCTTTTCTTTTGGTATCCGCTGCGCATGGGACGAGGAGGAGTCACAGGCCAGAGGTCAATGTATTGGAAAGTGGACAGCGAGCGCAACTGGGGACGCATATCTGTGGCTGGGGTATGTCTGCCCCTTGCTGTTGCGGGCGTCCCAGCGGCGTCGGAGGCCGGGTTATACAGAGTGCGGTGGGAGGCATGGTGCACATTATGGACGCAACACGGGGATAATAAAAGGACGAGCCGAGGCCTGCGGATAGATGGGGGTTGGACTGGCGCAACTATAGGGAAAGGGTTGATTTGACACCGCTCGGACAGACCATATGATGTACACTCGAGAGCCAAAGCGCGTTGACATGTTTATGGCGTGGGGGGGTTCGCTCGGTGAGGTACGCTATGCTACGCTTCCGCCTCTTGCATCCAGCAAGTTGAAAGAGGTTTGTCCGACTGAGACAGTATCGAGCTCAGCCACGACAAGACAAGATGAGGCGGACTGACTTGGGGTCACATCGCTCGCAGCCATGACTGGCGTTCAAGCCACCCCTGCAGGCTGCAGCACCGCGACGCCGCTCCGATCCCACAGACCCACGGGAGCTCGGCAATCGCGCCGACGACATCTCGACGGGGGTGGAGGGAGCGCTTCGCATTGCTAACCCGTCGCGCGTTAGTCACGGATTGCAGTTCCCCCCTGGGGCGAACTATGGCCTGATTTTCCTGCCATCCCGTCACACTGGTCGGGCCAATGGCGGCACCGGGGTTGCCAAACCTGAAAGGATCGAATCAGGGCTGGCTGGCTGGCTCCGCGGAGGAAGCGCGTTTGGAACCTGGCAACCGATGGTGGTGAGAGACATGGAGGAACCCGGGGGGGGTAGGGCAGGGTAGGGCCAGCGTAGACGCGCTCTGGCGCTGTCACAGAGCTGCAGGGCTGGCTACGCGTGGCAGTTACTCTGTGCGTATCCAGTAGTAACGGATGTATGCCTACATGTAGTACAGCAGTGGTGCGAGTCCTGGGGTCTGGGAGGGAAGCAGGCAGCTTCTTCCGCGTGGGACGCTGCGCTGGTAGGGTTGCGTCGCGGGACTGAACCGGACAACGGCGAGCCACCATGCCCCTGTTCCCTTTGATGTTGCTTCTGAGGCTGTGGGGTGCTACCGTACTTACTTTGTACCTCGTAGAGCTCGTAGAGGATGCGTCTATTGCAGTGGATGACTGGCCGCGTGCTGCAGAGGGTAGGGCAGCTTCATATCAGGGCGTGGCTGGATAGACGAAGAGACTTGGTCGGCGTCGTACACAAAACTTGTGTCTTTATCACGGCCCAGATGCTGTCCGGTCAGGGGCCCCAAGGGCAGCATTGACTGACAACACTGATTCGGCATTGGAGTTTAGGTTACGTACTTCGTACTGGCAGGAGAGTTATGCTCTACCTTTTTGTTCCAGGGCAGCACACGGCAAAACGCCAGAGCCCATGTGCACGGAGCTTGCACACGAAGCTTGGACTTGCGCCACAAGGCGGGCGAATGGGCGGGCACGCGGCACGCGGCGTACCGGGTTATGCATCGGGGAGTGTCCGGACGCCCGGGCTTTCGGGGCAGACGGGACCGAGGCGAGGTGGGCGGAAGTTGGACGAGGAGGAGGAGCGGGAAAAGCAGCAAGGGCGGAAGCTCGCTCTCTCGCTCGCCGGATGGGACACTGTGGCTGAATGAACTCACGGTGTGGATTCGTGAGAATGTTTCACTCTGGAGCAAAAGATGCTGCAGCTACGCGCGATGGTGGAGGCTCCATCGATGACGGAGTAAAAGAAGCAGACACTTACACGAGCAGGGGTCCGACTGATCAGAGACCCTTCGCCCAACGACACATTTCTGTTCCAAAGCGTAACTACAGTACATACTTGTAACCAACGATGGCTGCTCTAGATCGGCGTCCTCTCTCCCAGCCCAGGCAGAAGTTTCGCTACGCACATTTCGTTTTTACTTTTTCCGATCCCCGTGTGTGCGTGTGTGTGTCCATCCCAGCTGCGCTTCGCTTCACAGTCGCATTCGTCAGCGGAGAGGCGCGGGAAAGCGCACACCCCTTGTCAGGTGCTGCAGCCGGACGGACTGATTGATGGACGGATGGGAGTCGCTGGGCTGGACTGTTGGGTCGTCTGGCGAGCGAGCGCGCGCGCGCGTGGCGTCTGCAGGGGACGACGGAACAAGGAACTAGTTGGGAGGGCACTGCAGAAACCAGGGTTTTTTCCCTTTTGCTCGCCTCATCTTGCTCCATTGGGGAACATTAGATAGGGACCGCTGCTCTGTAGACGGTAGACACCGCTTCGAGCAAAGAGACATGTGAAGTGGGATTCATTAGGGACCGGCAGGCGGGTCGTTGAATGATTCACACGCCCGGCCGCCGCCCCATGCTGCTGCAGACTGACAGGGCCGATTCCTTCAACTCTATCGGCAAGCTTTGGCACGAGCCGCTGGCGCCAAATCTCGCGGAGACGGGAGGGGGTGACTGGGGAGCTGCCGCGCTCACGCGACACAAGGGGCGCAGCGCGGCTGGACTGGACCCTGCTGGGAATCCTTCCAGGGTTCACCACTCACCACCACCCCCCGGGCATGCAGATCCAGATGTTCGAACTAACTACACTGCTTCGGTACAAGCCCGTTCAAGGTCGTACAGTTCTGCCCATCCAACTACCGGCCTCATCTTCCGCGAAGGTCTGGCAGGGCAGGTCATGTCGCCTCGTGGCTGGGGTTGGCCAGCCCTGTAGCCTGTTTGGTTCCTTCTTTTCTTCAACCTCGTGTTGCGGCGGGTGCTACGAGCTCGTGGTCGAGGCCCGGTAGGGTTTCTGGATGATTCCATCTCGTGGAGGTGTGCCGCTTCGAGAAGGACTGAGAGGAGCTGGGCGCTGGAAGGGCGGGTTCGCGGCGGGCATGTGAGAAGCATTCGCCCGGAGATATCAAATCGCCTGTGCGGCAGTGACACCAGCCGAGCATGGGCCCCCATGGACTGCACAGATGTTTAGAGCTTAGATGCAGTGCCGCGCCCTCCAGTGAGCAAGATATCCGCTGCAGATAGCCATACTCTGTGTGGATGAAGCTGGAGCGACAGAGACGACACGTCGTGCATGGCGGCCTCTCTGGCCAGCAGGAATCCCGATCAATATCGGCCTTGACCGTGCTCGCTTGACGATACTGTAAACCAACGCATCGCCTCGCTTCTCCTACGTATGCCGCAGACGGATCGGACACCCGCCGAGCCCAACGGACAGATCGTCCACACTCCTCGCAAAAAGGCTGACGTAGTATGTACCGTGTGCATGCAAAGCACATGCGCGTCGACGACCAACGACCTCACGCCATGCCCTTACGTTACTCACCTCGCGGCCTTTGCCGCCGCCGCTCGGGACACGACCGTCAACGACGGATGCCCTGCAGACGCAGACGCATACGCAAACCCTGCCCTGACGCCCCCGGCGACGATAGCAACGCGCGAGTGGTCAGCCACCCCCCTTCCCGTCGTGGGCTCGTCTTTCCCGCCCTCTTGCGAATGCCGGACAGATTTGGGAGGGGAGGGGAGGGGGCGGACCAGGGGTTTGTTACGTACCTAGAGAGAGAGAGAGGAGCGCGCACGTACGCACGTCCTGTCCCGTCAGCCTCTTCGCTCTTGCGCAGTTGAACCCCCTGTCGAGCCGGGACGGGGTGCGTCCAGCGTTGTGAGGCAGCAGCAGGTGTAAGCGTAGAGGAGCTCGCCGTTCCTTGTTACTCGTGCGCGCGCGGGAGAGCTGCCGTCCTGGATCCACGCCGAGTTACAGTGATACAGTGCTTCGTACACCACGGCCTCGAGGCGGAGAGGATATAAAAACGGCGCCCGGTGCGGAACCGCGTCATTGAGCCCCTCGAGCAGATAGAGTTCCTCGCGTGACCGCAACGTCGACACGACCGCCTCCGTAGGCGTCGAGCGAACTTGACCGTCTTTGTTTGTTGTTCGAGACAGTATCGTCGACGGGCGCGATTCGCTTGCAGAGACCAGTCACAAATCTCCCGCTCGTCATCCGCCCTCCGACCCCCCGACGTATTAAGGTTGAGACAAGCATGTTCAGCAACGGCAACGACATCATCCGCTGCCCCAGATGCAGCATCCCCGTGTCTACGAGCCAGCCCCTCTCCGAGTGCTTCAACTGCGCCGCGTACGTTTGTCTTTTCCCTTGATTCTGCCTCCTTCCTTCCTATCTACCCTCCTTCCAAGTTACTCCTTTCTCTCCTTCCACTCCGAGGGGAAAATACACACGCGCCTACGCACCCAACGCACAAGATTCTCCTCTTCTCCGCTGGAACCCGGCCCCCCTCCCCCAGGAAGGAGGAATTAGCACGCCAGCATGACGACGAGCCCAAGCCAACACCTGCGATGACCGCGACCACCAGACAAGCGGCGAGAGCCCTCTTCCCTCCTTCGGCATGGAGCCCGTCGACTACGGACGACGAGCGCGAAGACGACCCGCCGCCGGCGTACAACACGTTCGTTAGGCACATCGGCACGCAGATGCCGCTGTCGCGGTCGTGTGCTACCGGACGCCGCGGCGTCGTCAACGAGCCACTTCCGCGCGCCATATCGGATCTCGAGCTTCAGACGAGCGTTCTCGACTATGAAGACTGGGCAGCCGGCGGCAGCGGGTGGTCAGGGGCAAGAGACGCAGCCGTGCGGGGAGATGACGAGAATCTTGAGGCTGCCATCAGGGATAGGAACGGGGGCAACGAGCGTGGCATGAGTATCCAGCCCCTGGACACGAGCACGCAGCTATCGTCTCCGGGGCGGCCAGCGTGGGAGAATGCCAGGGCTCTCGCACTGACGTGCGCTCTGCTCCTGATACTCCTGTCCACGGCCGTTGCGTCCCTCGGGCTGGTCCTTTTGATGGAACAGGAACATCGATCGCCAATCTAAGGGGGGAAACACGGCAATATCAATGGTTATCAGCATTTTGGAATTTAATTTCCTCGTCATCATGGCGGACGCGTCTTCGGGCTGACACCCCCAATGTGCAATCGGCCTCCAGCCCCCCTTGCAGGCGGAAATAACAGAATCATGTAGTTCGCCAGCTGCCCAACAAATCCTCCGCTATCTGCCGGCCATTGCCTTTCCTTTCCCTCCCCCCCCTCTCTCTCCCTCCCTCCCACATGCGTCGGCAAAGGGCCGTTCCTTTAGTCCCCTGCCAAAAAGCTTGATCCGTGAGTGTGTGTGTGTGTCTGTCCAGCCCGTTGGCCAGCGCCGGCCAACGTGCGCACGTTTTTTTTTGATTTTTTTCTTTGCGTCGACACGGTGCGCGCACACTGTTGTTGTTGTTGCTAATGAGGCTGGGGGGGAGTGTGCGTATATATGTGTGCCTTTTTTCTCCCCTGGCAGGACGCCTCACCTGCCGACGTTGCACAAGGCGCCCAGAAGAGACTGGAGGTACGTACGGCGGCTCCCTTCCATGACACAGACTGGGGTTTTGACAGTACATTATGCACGGGTCCGAGATACCGACGTATGCGATACGACGCACGTTGAGAAGCGGTATGTTTGGTACCGGAGACTTGCTGGCACGGTCGCAAGCGACTGCCTCCCCGGAAGACACGTCGTCGAGTGGTTCTCCCCGCCGAGGCGAGGTGGGCTGGTGGGTTGGTGACTGACGGAGCATGCGAGCGCGTCCGTGGTGACTGAGTGACTGACTGACGCAAGCGAGCTGGTTGGCGCTCGTCCTTCTGCTGCCACTGCTGGTCGAGAACGTGCGCCAGGCTGTGTAACCCCAGGCGCAGTGCCTGTGGCGGCCTCGGGTCTGGTCTGGTGGTTGCGCGCTCAAAGGAGAAGCATGGCCGGCTACCCAATACCGGCCCTTGCTTGCTTGACTGTGCCTTGTTCCTCAGTACAGACAACCAGTATGCAAGATTGGCAGCGAGGTCCCATGAAATATGCAGCGAAAGTGCTCGCGAGTGGCACGCCGCCAGTGCATCCTTCCCCCCAGGTATCATCCCACCATCCTTGATGCCAATCATCAAGATGCCCATCCGCTAGTCGGCGACCCTCGCTCACGGCTACGGGGAACGGAGAACCAACGACAGCCCCCGATGAACCCCCTGTCTTGGGCGGAGGGCAAAAGTCGATCTCCCTCTGCCGGCCACCACCCAGGTCCAGACCGTGCCGATGATCCCGGGCAGATGCTCGTCCGCCCAACAACGCCTCGCCCAGTACGGCGTTGCTATTACCCGATAGCAGCATTCTGTAACAAGTACAGTAGGTTCACAGCCTTCAAGATACGCAGGGTTCGCTTCTTTCCTTGACTTCACGCACCTCACCGCTGACTGACGGAAGTCGTCGCGTCGCGCCTCGCTGGCACCCAGAGCAGAAACACCCTGGTATGTTTCTGCACATGTGACAGCGTCGAGCCGCGACCTGCGGCGCAACCTAGCCCACCCCCCTGGGCCAGTTGGGCGCTGTGCTGGGTTGCGCTCGGCGCCCTGCTGTGCGAGAGCAAAGAGACGCGCGCGTAACCGAACCCTGCGTCGGTCAATTCGTAGTCCACCGCCTCGGGCTCCTCCTGCTCGGGGACCTGACGTGCATCAACGCATGTCGTGTCGCCTGCTTTCACCGTGACATGACACTCCCCGTTCCTGCGGGCAAAGTTTCCCATGACAGAGCCAGAGCAGTCGCCGTGTGCGAAAACTGGCAGGGTCTACTCTCGTTGACAGTATGCATACGTGCTTTACTGTATAAACTTATACTAAAATGTACGGTGCGTTAGCAACAACAGCTTTGTTGGCCGCCCTCCTCAGTCACTCGATCGACAACGGCCCCATGCTTACACCGAGCGCGCAGACCTAACCCCCCCGTCCCCCCTCGGTGTCGAAGTGCCGAGTCAGAAATCTCAGATCCCTCGTCCCCAACTGACTCACGGCCCTGAAGGACGTATGTATATGCTCCGTGTACATGGGAGGGGAGCGGATGGGGTCAGGCGTAGAGTCCAGTCTGGAACCCTCCCTCCCATTCGACTCGACGGGCCTGGCCTGAGGGATTCACATGCTTGCTCCGTGGCGCTCGCAACGTACAAGTACATGTACGAATACGTACAGAGAACAGCCTAACAAGATACACAACACGCACGCACATAGCACACAGTCACAACCACGACCACAACCCTGTCAACCCTGCCTCGTCAACACGCCTCCCAATCGTGTCTTTCCATTCTCCCCTCCAGACTCCAGAGTATCTATCGCCTACGTATGTTAGCAAGCCCGGCAGGTCATGTCCGTCTTCTCTTCCCTCCCTGTCCTCCGCTCCCCCCGCCTTCGCCCGTGCCCGCTCTCTCCTCCCCCCCACCGCGTGGGTAGTTAATGCACACATGCATCGCGTGTCCACGAATAGCCACGGCACGAATACCCCCGAGCGCCCGAGTCCGAGGCTACGGCCTCGCTCGTCTTGCACCCATGCGCGCATCCATGCAGGCAGGTCGCCAGGGGGGGTTATGGATGGAGAATGGGGAGGAGTGGAGAGGGTGGACGAAGAAGGACCTGCGCCGTGCAGCCGTCAAAAACGCCACAGGGCGACCAACGGCCCGAGAGCCGGCTCGGTGAGCTGCCGGATGGGACCACTTCTTCCAAGAGGAACAAAGATGGTGGTGGGTTCATCTGTACCCAACTCCCCTTGTCCAATCGAGGCCCCGGCTGCTCGGTTAGTGTCTTTGGTATCGCCATCTGGCAGAGCCAGTTCGTCGCCATCACATGAAGTTGCTCCTCAGGAAACGCCCTGGTCTTGAACCAATCTATTTATCAAGACCCCGGTTTGGGCACGCCTAGCTCGCCCTCCACCGTCAATGCTTCAGTCAGCTCGTCGTCATGCCTCACCCGAGGCGCTACCACACGGGACTCTTGTCCGGTGGGCCTGTTCGTGCGAGTACGAAATGTCTAACTAGATGGTAACCTGTAATGATGCGTATGCACTTGTGCCAGAATGACTCCCAAACGCCTGCCTGGTACTCAAAGCCAGGCGACTTCAATGCCGCTTGATGCCCTCCATTTATCCCGGTACCCAGCCTCCACGCACATCATACGCACAAACGCGGAGGCAGTCAGCACGAAAGTTGTGACCCACCCGATCACTGTGTCGTTGAAGCCACTTTGACATCCTCGGCCTCCTCATGCGCCGCCGCACCCGGCTCGTCCTTCTGGGGCCCGGCCTCCGGATTTCTGTCGGCAACATCCGTCTCGGTCTTCTCGCCGTTGGACTCCTCGTGGCTTGATGCTGTCAAAGGGGTAACCGGAGATGGCTCCTCCGCCAGGCCCTCACTCTTCTTACCCTCCTCCGCCTCACCAAGAGACGATCCTGTCCTCGGGGTCGACTCCATAATGTTAGGCGGGATATCCAGCATGGGATCCTCGAACGACTCCTCCATTGGCGTCATCGGGGGTCTTCTCGTCGGCGTGTGGGTGCCGTGCGAGTCTCGATTGGCGAGGCCGGACAACCGCAGGGAACTGCCGCGAGAGGTTCTGGCGCTGTCTCCTCTGCTCATCTCGGCGTCCCACTGTGCAAAGTCCTTGGAACTCCAAGACGTGCGGTGCGCTCGATTGGGACGGGGGATGCTGGCGACCGAGCAACGCGAGCTTGCGCTATTCGCACGGCTGCGTCGGATGCTAGCGGCGGCACTGGACAGTCCAGGAGGGCCAGGTGGCTCGAGGCCCTCCGGTATGGCAGTCTCATCCTCAATCTTGGGAGCGCGCCGCACGTCCCGAACGTTGAAGTAAGGCTGGATCGGCTCCGGCTGCTTTTCCTCCTCCTTCTTCTTCTTCTCCTTCTTCTTCTTCGGTGGCGGTGGCAAGTCCCCGGCCCGCGCATCGATATGCTCAAAGTATCGGATCCGAGACTGTTCGAGTAGGCCGGGGAACTTCTCCCGGTTGCGCGACAGAGACATCCAGCTTGATATCATGCCGAGCGCAATAAGTATCAAAACGGCCACGGCGAGAAACCCCTGGACGACTATGATGATGACGCCCAGAACCGTGGCGACGATGCGGTTGAGGTTGAAGTCCGGCAGGAAGGCAATGGACAAGCCTGTCGTGACAATCTTGGATATCGACAGCATCCAGATGGCGATAGCGGTGTTTCGGTTGCCCTCGAACGGGTTCATCTTGATGATGACGAGGAGCGCCAGGATTTCAAAGATGAACAGTCCGTACACCTGGGCCAGTGGACTGCGCACGGCGCCCCCAACGAAACATGCTCTGACGAACAGGTAGCCCACGTACACGGCAAAGAACCACCACCTCGAGCGGCGATACCGTGCAGCCAGCCATCCAAATCTCTTGATGAACGCCTCATCTTGGTGTACTGGCGCCCTGTTTGGATCGTTTTCGGTAAACTTGATACGGAAGAAGGGAATCGTGCCGAGCAAGTATCGCCTGTCAGCAGTCTCCTGCTCGCCCAGCTGGCTCGCCCTTGTGGTGGCCACGAACGGCACCTTCTTAAAGATGGTTCCTCGTTCGAGCCGCACCGTGTCGGGCCCGACCTCAAATTTTCCGTCCCGTAGCCTGAAGTAACAGGCGTAGGCGGTGATGCCGCCCAGGCCAGCCAAAAAGATGACAAAGACTATGGCCGCGACTGCAGTCGGTCCCGCCGGGCCTCGTGCTGAGAATTGGAACAGCGCAAGGGTCATCATGGTGAAGAAACCGATCAGGAGCGTTCGGAGCAGGGCTGAGACGAGATACCCACCGAGGTGGGAGCGGAAATAGTCGAAGCCGTCCGTCTTGATAGCCTTGGTCTTGACCAGCAGATCCAAAATGAGCTTGGCTAGCACGATCAGTACTGCCATGCCACCGAAGATGACGAGAAACCAGATCAAGCCAACGAGGAATGCCTCAGCAGGAGGGATGTTGACAGCCGAGAGGGTGCCGCCGAAGCCTGGCCAGGTACCCGGCATAGGCATGCCCGGGATCCGAGGTCCACCGTTCCAAGTGTAGTCATACGGGTCGCTGGCATTGTGCGTCGCCCGGCGCGCAAGAGCCGGCGCGTCGTGCCTCTCAATGGTCATCGGTCCAGGCAGAGACCTGCCGTAGATTTGTTGTGTCAGGCCGCCTCCATTGTTGATGGGAACAGATCCCGCACCGCCGACTTGGCTGATGTCAGCGTTCGTTCCCGTGAAGGAGCTGATGGATCGCACGAGCTGGTCGTTGGCGAACATGCCCGCGGACCAGGCAAAGTTGCTCCACCAGGCCGGTAAGACGCTGGGCCAATTGACAGAGAGGGCGCCAGAGAAGAATATGGACTGGAACGTCTCGAATATGACGAGCACGGCGAATGAGTGAGCATAGTGCATGCGCATATGCGGGATACTGATGCCGTATATTGCCGTCATGAACGAGGCCACCACGGCAAAGAACGTCAGGATGCCCATAACGACGCCAACGGACTGTGGCTGCGAAAACGTGTTCCCGTTGGTGAAGACGGCTTGAAAGCAGCCAATCTCGGTCTGTGTCGAGTTGGCGAAAATTTGTAGGCGTGCAAAGCCTTCGAGGTCGGGGATTCCGAGTGCGATCGAGGGGATGCCGCGAACATCGTTGGGGGATATGGGGATGACGGCGAACGCGGTGACGGGCACAGTGGCATTGAGTGGGCACATGCTAGCGATGTTGGCCTTGCACGGGTCGTACGTCAGGTTAAACCGGTTCTCGCCGTAAGCCTCGACAGAAATGTGAACTGCGATATGGTCAGAAAGAAGACGCTCGGCGTCTGGGCAGGTACCGGAACACGTACGAACGAGGCTCTCCTTGCGGATGTTGGTGGTACCGTCCAGATGGAAAAGGACGGTGAGGTTGTCGGCATAGTAGGCGGCATCGAATTTGGTGACATTGAACAAGCTCTGGCCACCGAGGCAATCGTCAAAGTCGCGAGTGAAGAGCGCAGGGTATCGATTGACGTCGAGCTCGCGTGTCTTGCCATCGATTCCATAGCCCTTGATGTAGACCGTGTCTGCACCTATGACGGTTGAAAGTAGTAGGCACCCCAAGGAGAGGAGCAAAAAGAGAGTCGAGGCCAAGGGCCTCTTTGGCAAAGCCATGGTGCCTCGCGCTGCCGCGGCGGCGGCCGAGGGCGGTGTCAGGATCGAGCGAAAGGATGGCGGAAACGCAGCCGCAGTCTCGTTCGGCGGGTAGTAACTCGCGTCGTGAAAGATTTAGGGGAGGTATTCGATGGCGGAGATGAACAACTTGGTCCGCAGAGCACCGATCGGCAGAGACATAGGGACGACCGGCGTCTCTGTGTGCTAAGAAAAGAAGATGTCTCGGGAGGCTGTCTCAGTGAAGCGACGGATTGTTTGAACGGACAATGGCGGCCGGGCAGGCTCGCGGCTGTCAGTCAGTCAGCGGCGGACGGCGACAGCTGCCGTCGACGGAACGGAGGATGATGAAGCGAGAGTTGGGAAACGAGCGATAGCGATTGCGAAGGTCTGAGACGGAGCGCCGGGAATGATTCGTCGGGCACCGTTGTTTGAGCAGGGCAGCGCAGCGCAATGCACCCTGTCGGTGTGTAAAGCTGAGGGAGGGAGCAGTGGAATCCTGGCCGTGATTTGGTCGAGATGGTGGAGCACTGCGCCGAGACGCAGTAGCAAGCGCTAACAGAAGCGCTCGACCAACCACTGGGACCTGGACAGTGCTGCCCGAGCCGTGCCGCAACGCTGGCGAATTGCTGGAGTGGGTTCCACGCTCCGCTGGGGAACACGGATGGTGTGATGGATGGTTTGAGGAGAGGGCGGGAGCTTGACGGCACGGGTGTGGAGGAAGAGGTTGATTCTGGCGTCAAACAGTGAGCGGCGCCGGAGCCAGGTGCCAACGCCCGGAGCAGCGGGAAGCGCAACTGCTAACGTGCATTAACCCGATCACGGGCACTTTGCACCAATTTCCGTTAACCGTCACGCGGGGGAGCGAGATGGGAGGCCCAGGACTCCAGCACATAATGCAGCGCAGCACAGCCTCGCTGTGCCGTGTCTGGCGGCGCGATGGCATGCTCATCAGTCTATACGAGATGGGTCCAGCTTGGAGATAACGTTTTACCCGACTTTTTTCTTGCCAGCCCTGCTTCGTACAGCACCTATGCCTATTCCCACGCAGAACCGGCGCTTGCACGCCACGCCGGCGCAGCAGGGCAGGGATGCTGTCAGTGGCGCAATGCCGCAGCCCCTGTGCTTTTTGTGCCCGCTTGGCACGTTAGCAGGCGAGTCCACCAATGGTGCCGAAACGTGGAATCAAACCGGCCGCCGGCTGTCTCGGACACCAGGACCGCGCCGCCAACCACCCTTGGCTCGAAGCGGTAGGTGAGAGGACGTGGGTGGCTGGCCCTTGCATCGATGCTGCTGAGCTGCTGGTGCCGTGGCCTGCGATGGCTTCCTTGCCAAGCAAGCGTAAGACCCAGCTGCCTCGTATACGAATTGCCTTCCAGACGGGCCGCGTCGACGTCTCCATCTGCTTCCCCCAGCTTCAGGCGAGGACAGCTGTCGATGAATATGGATCGCGCCGATCTGACGCGGGGTTGCTCGTGCCCGTGGACGCTCCGTGGTACCGGCTCTTTGCCTGCTCGTTTCCCGCCTCAAATGCCGCACTTCGACCAGTGCACCAGCTCAAGCCTCGAAACCGTCTCAGCGCAACGATACCTGACTCGGGAGCCGCATGGCGCCGTGCGTAAACCTTGGCCAAATACGGACTTCGTCGACGGGAATCGGTCTCTGTTGCGTGCAGGCATAATTGCTGGTCGCTGGCAGCTAGTCAAGGCGTCAAGGCGTGGTAAGTGCGGCGCCTGTGCATGCTACTGAGGCCGATGGCGTATGCCACTGCCATTGCCGGCTTCGAATTCAGGATCTCTGGTTCGGATTCACATCCGCATCCTGCCATAGAGCGTGTTCCAATAGCAAGTGTTGGTGCTGTCCAACTGCTAAAGGTGTATTCCAGTCATGCCGCTGGCACATCCAGCATGCTTGGATGGTGCAGTATGCAACAAACCCCCGTACTCTGACGGGAGGGCAAGCAGAGCCAGAAAGTGATCAGTTTTGGACCACGAGCGCCCCCCGTGCCCGATGCATGCCAAGGTTGAAGATGTCATGTGCGACGCATCGTCGAGAGTACTGGTCGCTCCGTTTGCGAGGTCAGAGAATGGACCCCTTTGTCGCCAATAAGCATTCCACTGAGTGCCCGCGTCACTGTGCAAGTTCCATGGCTCCATGGGTTAGATAGTTGCATGAACTCTCTCGGCCGAGTGCCCCCACGTGCTGACTGCACTGCCCTATCTGGAGTATAGGGCTTGGCATAGGAATGTGCGGTGCCAACGGTTTGACGTTGAAGGCGGCAAGGAGGCTGCAGGGCGGTCAGTCCTCTTGCTTTTGTGGACGCTGTCGGAAATCGGCGCGTGTGCAGTAGCCGACAGCCAGCGTCGAAATCGTCCTGGTTTTCCGCCAAGATATCAATGGCACCGAGACTATGTGCGAGCTACTCTTGGTAAATCCCATGCAAGTAGTGCATGTTGAAGATGGCCGTAGCACGCGGTAGAGTCCCGTTGCAGTGTTCTCGTGTACGAGGCAGCGGTACCCACAAAGCTCACTGTAAGATGTACGTGGCTATCCTCGATATGAGAAGGACTCGGGGTCTATTGCGGCCCTTGTGTGCTTCTAGTCGTTGTAGCCCTCGTGTGTATAGTTCCTCGGGCAGCACCAGAATGCCACCTCAGAGGCAGCCCAAGCGCGTTGAGTAGTAGTCCTGCCCATCGCAGCTCTCATTAAAGAGGCTGGGGCAGAGTGGGCTCAAAAGCTGTCTGGGTGAAAAGTCTCCCAGGCGATTCCGCCGTCAATGATCCACGATGGACCGTCCCATTATTCACCGACTGGTTCACCGAAGGAACAACGGGACGTCCCGAGCACAGTCAAGTGTGCGCAGAAACGGCACACTCAAGCCAGAGGATCGGGATCTGCATCGGGTGGGTGACAAAATTCACAGCCACATTGCATGAGTGGGAAACGTGGAGGCACGGAGGGGCTGCGGGGCTGCCGTCTCCAACTTCAAGACTGGGGGCGGCCGACGGCCCGATGGATGCCATCTTCACTCGCTTGATAATCAACCCGACGACGCCGCGGAGAAGGTGGTGAACAGGTCGCAGAAGGGCTAAAATTGATGTTCCGGGCGAGCGAGATGCATGAGGGCCCTTGTGAGGGAGTGACACCATCGCCGGCGCGCGGTTGCAGCTCCCTGTGGACGAGCACGGGGCGTCGGGGGTCCACGGAGCCGACATCCGAGCCGCGTGTCACCTGCCGCGACGACGACGGCAGCGCCTGCCCTTGGACGTGGAAGCGACTTGTCCTCGTACCATGTCAAACGGCAAGTGTGCGACGCTTCAACTTGCCCAAGAGTCGTCTTCAGACATCTTCACCGACGTGGCCGTCGTGCGCCAGACCATCAACGTGGTCCCTTTTAGGGCGCCCGTTTCTGTCGCCATCGATGGCGGTCGCACCGCGGGCGTCGCTTGTACATCCCTCAAGATGATGACATTTCCCGCAGCAGCCCGGCTCGCGCGCGCGCGCATGCAAATTACTCGTGAATGCCCGCGCCAGCGGTCCGGCAGGGCGACGCAAAAGGCTCATTGCCGCCACATCTCATCCTGCTGATTGGCCTCGCCGCCTGCCAAGCGGAACCTCGCCAGCGACGTCCCCGAGCACGTCATCGTCAGGGACTTGGCCCCAGAAAAAAACCTCCATCCCACCCTCTTGCGCCGCAGGTGGAGCCGCCGTCCAGGTCCAGCGCGCGCTTTGCGTCGCTCCCGCGAACGGCACCGAGGGGCAGGACGGACGGAGATGCCAGCCTGCCTGCGATCTAGGTGAAACGACAAAATTGCGTCGGCATTGCGCGGTGCCGCGTTCCCAGCGCAGGTCGCATATAACGTGGCCGTCGCCCTGTGCTCTGGACGTGCCGGCCGTCCCCTTCTCCCATCCCGTCTCTGGTCTGCGACATTCTCATCAAAGTACGACGCCGCGGCCTTCGTCTTCACAAGGTACGGTGGCTGCCCTCCACCCAATCCCACCCCCGACTCCCGGCTGGCTTCCATTGCACGTTCCAGCCACTTGGCTCTGCTTAGCTTTCCCTCCCCCACCATTGCGTGATCGCGCCTGTGGGCCAGCTCCAGGACCAGACCTCCGGCTGCGGACTGAGATATAATATAATATCTAACCCGCCGTCCAGATCTCCCCGGTAGCGATTGGAACTCCGCGACTCCCGTACCTCTCCTCACGCCCAATTTGATACCCCTTCCCTATACTCCATCATGGCCAACACACCCAACGGCGGCGTCCTGAAGGACCTCTTTGCCCGTGACCTGCCCCGACAGGCCGAGCTCGCCGCGGAGGCTGAGGGCCTCCCGGCCGTTGTCCTGACCGATCGCCACCTCTGCGATCTCGAGCTGATCCTCAATGGCGGCTTTTCTCCCCTCGAAGGTTCGTCACGCTGCCCCGCGCCCGGCTGACGTTGATGGCGGGGTTCGGCGCTGACAGGGGTGCCGTTGCAGGTTTCATGACGGAGAAGGACTACAATGGGTGCGTTCCGCCCTCTGGCTCGCAAAAAGAGCGTGCGCAATTGCTAACAGCCGCATAGAGTCGTCGAGAACAACCGTCTGACCGATGGCGCCCTCTTCAGCATGCCCATCACGCTCGACGTCGACCAGGCCCAGATCGAGCAGCTCGGCATCAAGGCCGGTGCCAGGCTTACCCTGCGCGACCACCGTGATGACCGCAACCTGGCCATCCTGACGGTCGAGGACGTCTACCAGCCAGACAAGTACGTTTCGCAGGTCAATTGCCCGTCCGCGGGTACAGGCTACTAACGGCGCATTTAGGGTCAAGGAGGCCAAGCTGGTCTTTGGCAGCGATGACGACACCCACCCTGGCATCAAGCACCTCTTCAGCGTCGCCAAGAACTTTTACGTTGGCGGCAAGCTGCAGGCCATCAACCGCCTGGAGCACTACGACTTCCTGGACCTGCGCTGTGAGTGAACCAACGCCGGCAGCCAAGGCTCCTTTGGGCAGTGTGCTAACTCGCTCAGTCACCCCCGCGGAGCTCCGATCGCACTTCAACAAGCTCGGCTGGCAAAAGGTCGTCGCTTTCCAGACCCGAAACCCCATGCACCGTGCCCACCGTGAGTTGACGGTGCGTGCGGCGCGCTCTCAGCAGGCCAACGTCCTGATCCACCCGGTCGTCGGCATGACGAAGCCGGGTGACATTGACCACTTCACCCGCGTCCGAGTCTACAAGGCGCTGCTGCCCCGATACCCCAACGGCATGGCTGCCCTGGCCCTGCTGCCCCTGGCCATGCGCATGGGTGGCCCCCGCGAGGCGCTTTGGCACGCCGTCATCCGCAAGAACCACGGCGCCACTCACTTCATTGTGGGCCGCGACCACGCCGGCCCCGGCAAGAACAAGAACGGCAAGGACCACTACGGCCCTTACGAGGCTCAGGAGCTGGTCCAGAAGTACCAGGACGAGCTCGGCATCAAGATGGTTGAGTTCCAGGAGATGATTTACATCCCCGACAGGGACGAGTACATGCCTGCCAACGAGATCCCCGAGGGCACCCGCACCATGAACATCTCTGGCACGGAGCTGCGAAACCGCCTCCGCACGGGCAAGGAGATCCCCGCGTGGTTCTCGTACCCCGAGGTCGTCAAGGTGCTGCGCGAGCAGAACCCTCTGCCGGCCGAGAAGGGCTTCACCGTCTTCATGACTGGTTACCAGAACAGCGGCAAGGACCAGATCGCCCGCGCGCTGCAGACGACGCTCAACCAGGGCGGCGGCCGGCCGGTGTCGATGCTGCTGGGCGAGACTGTGCGCCACGAGCTGTCGTCTGAGCTGGGCTTCAGCCGCCAGGACCGCGACCTCAACATCTCTCGCATCGCCTTTGTCGCTTCCGAGCTGACCAAGGCCGGAGCCGCTGTCATTGCCGCCCCCATTGCGCCCTTCGAGGCCGCTCGCCAGCAGGCGAGAGAGCTTGTTGAGAAGTCGGGTCCCTTTTTCCTTGTTCATGTCGCTACTCCTCTCGAGTACTGCGAGAAGAACGACCGCCGGGGCATCTACAAGAAGGCGCGTGCCGGTGAGATCAAGGGCTTCACCGGTGTCGACGACCCGTATGAGAACCCTGCCAAGGCGGATCTTGTCGTCGACCTCGAGAAGCAAAACGTCCGGTCCATCGTGCACGAGATTATCCTTATGCTCGAGAGCCGGGGTCTGCTGGACCGACTGTAAAGCGCGGATCGATCGGGGCGCCGTTTAGCTGGAGGAAGAAGGTCGTGGAAAACGCAAAAAGCTTATCGAGGCATATTGGGCCATGGCGTTGGGAGGGGACATTGATGACGAGGGCTACATGAACATAACGTAGAGAGCATGCTGTTTGGCACTAGATGTGCACTTCGACTTGACGAGGACTGTTGACGAAGACTTTCCGGGCTGTCGTCCTTTGTAAATAGATAGACATGGGATGAATGCAATGCATTGCGCATACACATGGACACCACATTCTCGCCGAGGGGGGCGGCCAGCTCGTTATCTCGCAGATCCGGGGGGATGTTGGTGGTGGTGATGATGTCTACAAAGTACATGAGGCGGTCGGGTGACTTGGGCGCATCCCATTGGTGCCTAACGCGGCAACGTTTCGATGAATGGAGCAGTTCCTCGTGAACGGAAAAGGCGGGCTCTGGAGTCTGGAAGCGCGGCAGTGGGATGCTCGTGTTCGGGCCGCCCGCCCCAGAATATTGGCATCGTGGAGCCGCCTGGGAGCGGAAGCGCACGATGGAGAATCACGGGCGCTCCTCCTTGGCAGCAGCCACACCCCCCAGGCGAAGAGGGGAGCAGGACCCCCGGACGAGCTGATGAGATGAGCCTTTGTTCTGTCTGGACCTCGGTGGTCCCGTCCCACCTTTGCCCCTCAATTGGATTCGCGATGTCAGGTGTCAGAGGCGGTGAACGCGGTTGGGCGGTGGCCTGTCTTGTTCCCACGACGACGACGATAGCAGTGAACCCCTATGCGGTGCCCCGGCGCCTCGGTTTGGGCCCCGCACCTGGCCACGTAGGTAGGTATGTAGGGGACGAGGGGGGTTCGGCGGGAGCGTCTCGGGTCGGATGACCGATAGGTACCAAGGCCACGGGCATGGAAGGAAGCTTCATTGAGTGCCCTGATCATCTATGGGCTGCGGGAAGGCAAAGTGCCTTGTTGACTCTGTGGCATTGTCCATCGCGTGCGGTTTCCAACAATACCTTAGCAGTGGCCGCGCGTGTGCTTGGGAGGCTGATGCGCACGCCAGTGCAGGTCGGCAGGATCAGGATCAGAGTGTCCAGGGCAAGACACCACCAAGGCACCTCACACATCGAAGGGCTGTTTGGGCGCAAGCGTGCAGTGCCATGAGTGCCAACAGGCGACAGAGGCCAATCACCCAGCGCCGGGGAGGTCGGCCCACAGCGGGCTGGCGCAGGGCCCAGCGGCTGTTTGACGCCACCAGACCTGCCTGCCGCCTATGGAGGGGACGGGAAGCTGTCCATTCCAGTGTGGGTGGTGACCTCCAGCGTCTCGACGTCGTCTGCCATTGAATGCCCGTGCCTCAAGAAAACGACCGGCGCGTGCAGCACAGTGATACGGCCTAGCAGCAACCTGGAACCGTTGGACGGGCCATTTGCTCCTCAGTAGATCGGCCGGGCGCTTGCGACGAGGGGTTCCGTCACAGCAGCCAAAAGGAGGGGTCAGGCAAGCTCCCAGTCACGGAAACTCATTGGAAGTCTGGGCCTGTGTTGGCTGGCGGCAAGCTTGAAAGACAGGCCCCACGCCCGCGCCGCCGCCCACAGCGGAGCTCCCATTTCTCAACGCCGCAGGTCGAGGCTCCTCACACCCATCCATCGACAGCCCAGGCGACCCAAACGAGACGGGCGTTTGTGCGACGCATTTTACGAAGGCGGGCAAAAGCATCCCACACTCTTTTGTGAATCGCCCAACTGTGCGGCACAAGCCTGGGCATCACTTCGAAACCGCGTGCCCTCCCCCCCTCCTCCCGTCGGCTCGAATCTCGCTAGATAGCCCATCGGGCACAGCCCTTTTTCTCGTCCACCCTCATCGACAAGGCTCGTCGCAGGCGCCAGCCCAGCCCAACGGCTGCTCCCGTTAGTACAACCAGCTATCCACCGTCAAGGTGCCTTAGCACCTAGGCTGTGAAGTCATCAGTGCCTGAGCCCCCTCGAGCCTCACCACCACCCCTCCCAAAAAAGCTCCCGCCCGACGCCACAACCCCATCAGCCTCGACATCGACCACGACGCACCCTTGCCTCCTTCCCCCATCATCTCGCCCAGACGCCCGCATTTTTTTCCCTTTGCCTCTGGGCCGCCGTTCCTCCGACCCGCCTGCCCGATGGTCTGAAAACCGCAAGAAGATGCCCTCCAAGGATCGTGACGCCGCCGTCGACGCCGCCGCCTCTGCCGCCGGCGCCGATGACGTGCCGCGCGACAAGGCCCGCCGCTCCAAGTCGGAGCGGAAACCCGACAAAGACCGCGAGCACCGCCACCGCTCCTCCAAGTCGCGCAGCAAGCTTGGCGTCGACGGCAGCGACCTGCACTCGCACGTGTCCTCGCCGGCGAAGCGCCACCGCAAGAAGGACAAGGACAAGGACGACGCCCGGGAGCGGTCTGCGTCCACGAGCGATTTGGCCGCCGGCATCTCCAGGGTGTCGCTCGAGCGGCCACGCATCTCGTTGCCGTACCCGACGTTCAGCAAGGCGCACAGCAAAGAGGCCGTACACAGCCGCGAGGACCTCTCCGGCAAGCAGTCGTCGCACCCCTTGACGCCAGAGCCGACCGACGTCGGAGACGAGGAGCGCCGCTCCAAGTCGGCTGAGCTCCCCCGCAAGTCGTCAACCTCGAAGAAGTCGTCTCGGCCGCCGACCCCTCCCGAAACGGACGTGGCGCATAAGAAGAGATCAGAGAAGCGATCCAGGGATGACGACCCGGCTTCGCCCGCCTCCAGGTCTGGTTCGCGCAACGACGACAAGGCCTCAAGGGTCAGCCGCAAGTCTGGCTCGTCCAGTCAGGCCACCTACATAAAATCTCCAAAGCTCAAGGCTCACGAGAAGCTTCGGCCCTCTGGGTCGGTCCGGTCCAGCTCATCGCGGCACTCGACCAAGCGGACGGACTCGACGCGGAGTAGCTCACGGCGGCACGAGCCCAGGGACGACGAATCCTCGCCGTCGAGCGTTCAGGACTCGTCCCCCAAGACGCCGACCCCTTCGACCCAGTTCCCGCTCTATGGCAGCGCCAAGAACGAGCCACCTGCGACACCCGACGTCGGTCAGAATGACTACCCCTCCAAGACGGCAACACCCGCCTCTGCCGCACCTGGGCCGCCTCCTCCCCCTCCGCCACCTCCCGCTGTCGACATCCAAGACATACCCCGGGTCGACTACCTCTTGCAGAACGGCGGCCTGTCCTACCCCGTTCCGAGGCATTTCCTGTCAGTGTTGCCGCCGCAAAATGGCACGCGGCCCTCGAACCCGCCGTTGGCTGGCGCCGAGACGTTATTCGCGCCTTTCTTCAACCTTCTCGAGCAGTATTCGACTGTCCTAACGAAACAGGGCTCCATCGCGGTCGCCACAGGCCATCGCTCTGTAGCGCGGCGTCTACTCGACCGGCTCGAGAACGTCTTCTCGCGCGACCTGCCCCCCCACGGCTGTGCCTGTGTCATGTGCGATCGGTCCCATGAGATTCATAGGGGTTTGACCTGGGGTGACGTTCTGGAGTGGGTGAGCGGCCGGATCGAGCTGCCAGAGTGGCCACCGTTCGACCTTGCCGAGATCAGCCTCAAAGCGGCCGAAATTTCCGCAGAGGCGCCCCCGCGCCCGTCGTCGCCGGTGCAGATGGATCCCGATATCGCGGAAGAGTTCAGAGAGCATTATCTGCGTCAGTCCAAGAAAGTGCGGTCTGCCGTCGACAAGTGGCTCAACAAGACGGGCGAGGCTCCCGTCCCTCCACCTCAGGAGGTGGACGACGAGACGCTTGCCTTTGCCATCTTGACCAACTTGGACGCGGAGGACCGACCGTATTTCAACGCCCTGTTGACGGGGTCCCGAGAACTCAAGTCTTCGACACGCGCCCCGACGCCCGGAAACCGCCCTCGGAGCGACTTTGTCGTCAAGTGCGGTCTGTCTCTCCAGAGACTATATCGCCTGCAACAGGCTCCTCGAGACGCCGAATGCGTCACATTCCTCGTCAAGAACCCGCACACGCATGACCTGCTCGTGACCATTTCCAACATTAACAAGTCGGAGTGGGAGATTCTGACATCCGGACGGTTCGACGGCTTCCTGTGGTCGGGCGCAGATGCCGACGACTTTGCCGCTGGAGCCGAGTCGAGAGGAGGGACGCCGGTGTTTGGGCGCTCGGCGATGAGCCCAGGTCCGCGGGGCTCGTCGGCCATGGGGTCGAGAAATGCGACGCCGTTTTCTCCGTACTCCAGGGGCACCACGCCCGCATCGTTCATCAGTCTCGCGTCTTCGGGTCTCCCTGGCGGAAGACAGCCCGTTTCAAACGACGAGGAGATGGAGATGGCCGCCGCCGCGGAGATCGAGAGGGAGATTTACGCAGGCATGGAGATTCTCGAGGACGCTTTCGAGAAGCTCCATCACAAGGCGGAGATGGTTCGCACGGCTCTGCGACAGCGGGGCGCCGGACTCATGCAAAACTTCCAGAGCCGCCAGCGAATTGACGTGCTCCCGAACCCGGGCTCCGCCAACTCGCAGGGCTCCGGATACGAGCGGCCGGCGTGGGCCACGGCCGGGGCCGCCGCCGGGAGCGAGGCGGATGGCGCCAACAGCGACGAGGAGTGGTTCGATGATGTGGACATCATGCCGGACGACTCGGCCAGCAACATCAGCAGCTCCCGCCACAGACGGCCCAAGAGACGCACCGAGAGGCGGACCCCCGCGCCCATCGAGGAGGACGACGAGGAGTAGTAGCGATTGATGACCGGCGATTGGTCCCCTGGCACATTGCACGGGCGACATTGCGCAGCGCCATGGGCAGATGGCTGCATGCATGAATGACATGCCCGCACGAAAGTGCCTCTTCGCATGTTGCGGGCAGGGTGGGCATTTGGTGTTTTCCAATGACGACCGTGAAACGACGAATTACGAGGGCGCGACACGCATGTCCGTCGTGCAGATACCACTTCTTGTTATTGTTTTGTCTTGTCTTGTCATGTCCTGTCTATCTGTCTTGTTCTGCTTCCCCTCTCCTTCTCTTCTTTTTTTCTTCTTCACAAATTTGCAAAGTCGGCATGATGTGTTTTTCCGAGCATACGTTGGCCAAATGGGGGGGCATGGGGAGACAGACGACCGACCGGTCGGTCCCAACCAAGCATTGAGTTGCGGGAGTCCTTTGCTTATAGTGTTTTGGGCAACAACAATTTGTGGGCGCCAGGCCTTGCAAGGTCTTGGTCTTGGTCTTGGTCTTTTGAGCATCTGTGGAGAGAGCGAGAGAGGAGGAGCAAGGAATGGCATGTTTGGATGGGGGGGTTGGCTGGTTTGAACCTGGTGATGTTAAACTCTTGTGCCTGGACATTTGTTTCAGAGAACGACGACACGCCGGAAACGAGCAGCTTGGGACCTGACTTGGGACTTGGCTGGTATAGGCAAGGAAGGGTGGCCTGTGGCCACTGAAGTTGAGCAATGCATGGCTATGGAGTTAGGGTAGCACAATGCCCCGAGATGGGGTTGAATGGTTGTCTATATATGACCTTGTATCATCCATGTCTGCCAAACGCCTTGGTCTTGCTTGTCTATCCTGAATTGTATATGGCATAGTCTCGTTCCTTAACTCTTGTGGCCTGTATGCGGGCTCCGCCCCGCCTCCTGTCTGTCCCGGATGTCAATGACAGCGTGTGGGCTCTTCAGTGACTCCGCGGCCCAGACTTGACCAGCTTCGCCACGTTGGCAAAGTACCCCTCCACGCCGCCATACTTGCGCAGCACGGCCTCCACGTCCACCTCGGAGGCGTCCCTCGTCCGCCTCCTCCCCAGGAGGCACGTGTTGCGCGTGCTCGGTATGCGCAGGTGCTCCGTCTCAACCTCCCAGCCGCAGTCCTCGGCGATCTGCGTCACCCAGTCGACGAGGGACGCGTACGTCGACTTGGGCTTGGCCTTGTCGCGGGGCGGGGGCGCGCGGAACCGCTCGCCGGTGAGGCTGTGGCTGCAGCAGGGTATCATGATGAAGGGGCACCGCGACAGGGCGCCGAGGATGGGGGTCCAGGGCGTCAGCTCGTCGGCGTGGTTGGAGACGATGAAGGTGCCCGGCGGGAACGTCCCGTCCTGGATGGCGTCGGCGTCGAGCTGGGGCGTCTCCGAGTCTGCGTCGGGGCGGGGCACCACGCTGGGCAGAAGGAGGCGCTGCTCGAGGGACGACTGGGCGGAGGGCGGCGCGCAACCAACGGCCTCGGTGCGATACTGCGCCCAGGACTTGCGCGCTCTCGCGTCGAAGCCCCAGCCCGCGTACCCCTCCTTGTTGAGGATGTACACGAGCAGGCCGTTTCCGCAGCCAATGTCGACGAAGCCGGGGAACTCGACGTCCTTGTACATGACCTCCCAGAGCTCGATGAGAAAGGACGCGATGCCGAGATCCTCAAAGACGTGTTTGCCGGGGTCCGTGGACTCGGCCCACGTGTCGACGAGCTGGCGCGCGTACCTGTTCTTGAGCGCCATGTAGCGGTCCTGGAACCTGGGCTGGGGGATGACCACGTCGTGGTGCACGCGCTTGACGTAGCCCGAGGCGCCGCCCTGGCCATGCTTGTGGAGGATCTCGAGCAGGTGGTAGGCCATGCGCCGCAGCTTCTGGTTGTCGTCGAGGTCGCCCTGCTGGAAGGGGAGGAAGTGAGCTGATATCGAGCCCAGCCCCTGCGCGGGGTCCCACTCGTGTAAGTGGGCGATGCCCCGGACCTTGGGGTGGTAAAAGGGGAGCTCGGCTGCCGCGGCGGCGTGCGGCATGTAGAGCACCAAGGAGCGGATCTGGCCGTCGTCGTCGGCGGGAGGATCGGAGCGGTGGAACGTGCAGGTCTGCTCCATGGGCTGGTCCCGGCGGTCGTTGCGCGGGATGAGCTTGCGGACCAAGGTCCGCCGGCGGGGGATGCCCTTGACATCGCGCGGCACGGGCTGGGCGGCACTCGCCGGAGCCGTCTCCGCCTCCCCGTCGCAGCAGGGCTCCTCGTCGTCGTCGTAGAGGATGTCGGCCCGGAACAGCCAGCTGGAGTTGAGGTTGGGGTTCCGGACCATGTTCATCATCTTCTCGACGAACAGGTCGGGCCCAAAGGTGCAGCCATGGCGGTAGAGCGGGACCCAGGCATCGCCGGCCGTGTCCTCGAAGAGCGGCGGCGTGGACGGCGGCAGCTCCTCGGGCTCAAAGAGCATGCTGTTGACGGTGCTGCAGGGCGGCCGGCGGTGGCTCTCGGGTGGCTCCTCCGATGGTCAATGTCTCTGAGAGGGAACGACGGACGGCCGGTCACAGACGGAGCAGGTGGTTTTTTTTAGGTGGTGGGGGCGCCGTGACGCTGGCGAGCTGCTGCGAGGCTCGTCGCTTGTCTGTCGGCTGCCGAGTGCTGCGAGACCCGCACAGGCTGCATCGCGAAAATAGCAACAAATGAAGAAGGCGTGCACCTCAATGGACGGTAACGACGGGACAAGGCTCATCCATGGCCATGGCCATCCTGACCCTGCATATCGAGGGAGGGTGACAATGTTGCAGGGCCAGACAAGACGACGGCAGCGCTGTCAGGTTGGTGACGACAGGGCAGAGCGGCGGGGCAGCCGCTGATGAGCGAATGAGGGGCAGCGCTGGAGGGGCAGGTGGGCATCCGTGGATCACTCGCTGTCACGGTGAGAGCAGCCCCCACGGTCGCACAGCAGCACAGGCACCTCACAGTCCCGAAAGAGTGATGGAAGGTACCTGTCACGGCGCGGTCCGCCACGCCAACGCGCAGGTACTCCCACACCATGAGGTGCTGTAGGTTGGCAGCACAGGCGGACGACGGGTCACCGGACCGCCTCCCTGCAGCCGCACGCCTCCGACACGGCGATTTGACGGCGTCATCTCATGCACGGCAGAGCCATGTGCTCTTATTGTCCTGCTCACGAGGCCGGGCGACCGGGCCAGTCTGTGTGCGTCTGTCTGTGAAAGGGGAGAGAGGAGCCGCACAAAGCGCGCGGATGCATGCATGCAAGCTCGCTACTTACTACCTGGTGCACGACGAGCACGACGGGCGCCCGTGGCCCCATCCGGCGCATTTCGGCGACGGCGACGGCGAAGGCGACGGTGGCGGCGATAGATAAGTAGGCGATAGCGATAGCGACCTCTGCGCCGCCGACGACGACGTCGACGCCTCCGCGCGCGCGCGCATCATGTCACTCCGCATCATCAAAAATCATTCAAGCGATGGCGTGGTCTCCCCGGTGAGCACCAGAGCCAGCCAGCGGCGCACGCCACATGGCCGCGTTCAGCTTGGCCTCAGCATGCAGGGCAAAACGGACATGGCCGCCACAACAGAGTTTTGACGCAGGACCACACCGTATTATATTTCCGTACCTTATTTCGTGCATGCCTACGTCCCTCCCTTCTCGTCCACGCCACGAGCGTGGCGACCCAGACGGTGAAAGTTGAGTCAGAGTGAGCGAGTGAGTGACAGCAGCAGCGACGCAAGCCAAGGCAGGCCAAGCCGGAACGGAAATCTGGGATGGACAGCCGCGGAACGGAGATGGAGTGTGTGCAAGCGGCGCATCCATACTGACATCCCACGCAGGGCCTGCCTGTGAGGTGGCTGCTGTGAAACGGCGGTGGGTGGCGCGCCGCCCTGCCTCGGCTGCGATTGGCCTGTGGCCACGGGCTTTGGGGGGTGCTGCAGGTAAAAGTGAGTAGGTGCTGTGTGAGTCCGCTGACGGTGTGTGCCGCCCCCGTCGCCGCCGCCGCTCTTGGTGTGAGGCCCAGTGTGCGTGATTGTGTGCGTGCGTCCGCGCGTGTGTGTACCTAACTTTTCAGGCAGAACCACACACCTACCAAAGAAAGCCTGCCCTCGCCTCGCCTCGCCTAGTCTCGTGGGGCGGGTCCCGCTGCGCTTGCTGCGCTGCCTGCGCTGGACTGGCCGCAACTGGCTGGGAAGTGAGTGACTGGGCTGGGCTGGGCTGGGCTGGGCCACTCTCTCTGCTCTTTGGCCACCCACCTGCCTGCCTGTGACCCTCCCCCCCCCGGCTGCCCGCCCGCTCGCTCCTCGCACTGCCCCTCGCTCTCTTTTAACTGGGCATTCCGTTTCCTTCCATTTTACCGCCCCTCACCTTCACCTCCAACCCCAGCAGACGCAGCAGCAACAACACTCTCCCGGTCGCATACGTCCATCAAACGCTCTCGCACGCAAAGACAAATCTTCGCAAAACATCTCTCTGCTCGACAGACCACCGCTCTCCCCCCCGCTCTCCATCGTCGTCGGCGTCGTCTTCTCCCGCTCCCAGCGCAGAACCCGCCCCCCCGAAAAGACAGTCACACACAAACCCAGCGAGGCGATTCTTCAGGCCTTTCGCTGCGAACCAACTGTCCACCCTTTACAAAACCCATTTCCCACCGACACCCCGTTACCTCCGAGTTTATGTCCATCGAAAATCTCAAGACCTACGGTACGCCCTCCCTTTGGTCCCCTTGGTTGCTCCCCTTTGCCCTCGTTTCCCCCCCGTTCGTCGCGGCCGCAGGCTCTGCGCGCCCGCCAGCCCGCCCTCGCCCCCCCTGGGGCTCGTTTTGATTAATCGCGCCAAGCCCGCCCGTGGGATGGGACCCCGCCTCACAGCCCGCAGCGCATCACGCATCACGCCGCCCACTCACGCAGACGTCATTTCGAGCTCGAAATGAAATGTGCTAACGTTGCATGCCTCTAGACCCCTTCGCCGAAGCCGACGAAGACACCGGAGAAACCAAGCAGACGCAGAATTACATCCATATACGCATTCAGCGTACGTCCCTCGCTCCCCGCCCCCGCACCGGCCGACCTCACGTGAGGTCGAGCTTCCGGCCGCCCGATGCGCCTGTCACGCGCTGCCTCGCACGCATGCTAACGTGTCGTTCCCTGCAGAGCGTAATGGACGTAAAACTTTGACCACTGTCCAGGGTCTCCCAAAGAAATTCGACCAGAAGAAGATTCTCAAGGTCATCAAGAAGAAGTTTGGTACGGCTGCCCCTGGCCCCAGATGCTGCCAACGCTCCGGTCCCCGGCCCCCCCTCCGAACCCCTCACTAACTCGCACGTGCAGCCTGCAATGGCACCATCGTCAACGACACCGAAATGGGCGAGGTGATCCAGCTCCAGGGAGACCAGCGCAAAGATGTCCAGGAATTTCTTGTCGACAAGAAGGAAGGCCTTGAGCTAGACCCCAAGACCATCAAGGTCCACGGCTTCTAAGCTCGCAATGCGCCGTCGCCCTGTCAGCAGCAGCCTGCGTCCCCGCGGCACGCTGATGGCGAGAACGGTTGGGACGAGAGGGCCCCCCGGCATATTGCGCCTCCTCCAGATGTATCGATACTACCAGGGGTCAACTCGGCTCCGAGCGTTCAGGGACGACGGGCACCCATTCCAACGGCGCGAGATTTTTTTCATCATTGATGATGAGGGGATTATCGGCCTGCGCTCCCGTCGCCGCGAAGCAGACCAAGACCATGGTCAGCCGTCCTGCTTATCCCACACGAGAGTCAGGCTACGGGCCAAGTATCAACATGGCTTGTCGGTCGCTCGTTATATATTCTCAGGCAAGCCCAGCCGTAGCCTGGGGCAATAAATCGAAAAGAAGATGGCAAAACGCGGGAGCACCCTCCTTATATGTGACTGCGTGCGCCAGAAAACGCCGTGACATCGTGATGCGTACTAGTAAAAGATACAACAACAATCCACTCCAAGCCCAACGCCGGCCGGCCATGTATCCAAAGAAGCAGAAGTGAACCCTTCAAGGCGCTGTGTCGATGCACAGGACGGAAGCAGTACTCAGTACGACGGTCGCCAAGATGGAAAGGGGAAGAAGAAGATATGACAGGCCCAAGTATGAAGTGAAAAAATACGCCTCTAACTCTCGTCTCGCCGCCTATAGCTCGGAGCGCTCAATGGCGCCTTTGACTCTCGCCCACATGCCCCGCCCGTCGTTGAGCAGCTGTCTCCCGCGCGCCACGAAGGGCATGGTCGGGTAGTCGACGAGGTTGGAGTGCATGTGCACGAGCAGCGTGACCATGGTGATGTAGCTGGCGATGGAGAAGACGTTGACCGACGTGGACGTCTCCTTGCGAATGTTGATTTTCTGGTGCGTGATGTGGTAGCACACGGTGAGGGTCTACGGAGGCTTTGGAGTTAGCATCGTGTTCCCCTTCGCAGCATGCAATAAGCTTGAATGGATTGTTAGAGGGAACGGGAGGGGGATAGAGAAGCACGTACCGTTGCGATGCCGATCCAGCCGGGCAGGAGGAGGCGCTGGTCGTGGAAGCCGCCGGTGAGGGAGAGGACGGAGAGGGTGAGGTAGGCGTTGACGGCGTTGATGGTGAGGAGGCGCACGATGGTGGCTTGCGGGGTGTAGTTGATGAGCCTGCGCCGGAGGGTCAGTCTTTTGTCTGTTTCGCTATATAAGCAGGAGCTTTCTCGTGATCGAAGCACGTACCATCTGGACATGAGGCAGTCGGTGAAGAAGAAGGCGAGGTATCCGCACGCAAAGCACTAGGAGCATCGTCAGCGGTGACCTCTCGCGAGCCAGAACAGACATGTATTGGGGGTCAGCACGCACCCATATCGTCGCAAGCGCCCCCTCGGTGAGGGCAAAAGGCACGGCGTCATCGTCGCCGGCGGGACGGTTCGCGCCGCGGGGAGCCCGCCCGGGCCCATTGTTGGGCAGCAGGCGGAGGAGCAGCTCGAGGGCGCAGGGCAGCCCCCACCACAGCGCGGGCAGGATGGAGCACAGGCGCAGGGCGAAGAGCCACGGGTGCCATGGCGGGGGCACGTTGAGGACGACGGCGACGCGGGGCTGGAGGATGGACGGGTGGACGGACGGCGGCGGCGTTGCGTCTGGATGCTGTTGCTGTCGTTGTTGCTGGTGTGATCGCTGCTGCTGCTGTTGCGCGGGTATCGTCGTCGTCGCGTGGGTATCGGGGGGAGAGGTCGCGGAGGCGGGGATCGGGGAGGAGGCGGCCGCGGCGGCGGCGACAAAGGACGAGGGCGCGAGGGGGGAGAGCTTGTCGGAGGAGGTGGACGAGGCAATGGACGAGGCCCTGTGGTGAGGGCGGGCCGTCGTCGCCATGTGCGCGGCTAGGCCATGGAGCGGGACGGGACGGACGCGAGCTGCAGAGGGAGAGAGAGGAGAGAGGCCGAGTCGGGGGTCGAAGCGGGAGGGGCGGGCGGAAGTCGTCACCGGATGGAGGACGGCGCAGCGCAGCGAGGAACAGGCGAAGCGGCCCGGAGCCGGAGCCGTAGCGGTGGAGGAGGGCAGCGGTGACGGGATTGCGTATGCGCGGTCGATAGCGGGGGAGAGGCGAAAGCTCGAGCGGCGGCGACGACGACGACGTCGTGGTACAGTCGAGTGTCGAGTGGAACAGACAAGGTAGGTATCAATGCACCAGCATCCCAGGAGGTCCGTGTGAGGGGCTATGCGTGCAGCGAACAGAGAAATCCGTATGTGAGGGCGGGAAAGAAAGCGTGCACAACAGGTCGAATTGGAAAGTTCCGAGAGCTTTGGCCGAGTCGAGAGACGGGAGAGAGAGTGGTTGTTCAGGTAATGAGGTAACGGTGCTGCGCGGGCGTGGAGCTGGAGATGGGGATGGAGGTTCCAGTGTGGGCACGAGACGGACAACCAGGACGGGCGGGCTGCCAGGGAAGCTGCGCACTGAGAGGGCGCCGCCGCGCGCGAGTAATACAATAGGGGTCCCGCAAATTGACAGCCCAGCCCGCCACAAGCACCAGCAGCAGCAGCGTCCCGCCAGCGAGCTTCCGCCACGGACGCCCCCCATGCCCCCTCCCATCTCCCGTCCTGTCCAGGGCTTATTAGGTACCTACTCTTCCGGGGGTGGGTGGCCCCGATGGGTTAGGTGAGGTGAGCGTGCAGGCTACCTTAAGTACCTTATGCAGGCTGGATGGAGGCTGCTAGACTGCGCGGGACCTCGTGCACCTCTGCGGGCAGGCTGTCAAGGCGAGTATCCGGAGGTACCTCTACCTACCTTGGGGCCTTTTTTCCAGAATCGCCATTGGGGTTTCCCTTCGACGTCCCGGAAAGCCATGACCTGCAGGAACAAAGCCTCCCTGCGTCACTAGACACGATTGCGTGCTCGGGACACACGACGCGTGGTGTATGCCTCTGCGTCTCTCTCTGTCTCTCTCTCTCTCGACAGCGCGAGAAGCACAGCTGCCTGGCCAACTATCGACATGATCTGGCCGCGTGTGGACAAGCCAACCATCAGGGCCACAAGGATATTGGGGCTCCTCGCACAACACGGAGCATATCTTGTTCTATTCCGGCTAGCACGGGTTCGACGACCGCTGCCAGCCTTTGCCGTTGCCTCCCTCCATGTAGGAATGCTTGTAGAAGCGGTAGGGCATTCGGCATCTCGCTAGCACAGTCAGACTCCCAGACACACGATACATTTCACAGAATGGATACATTATTACATTCTCCTCTATCAAGGGGTGCCTATGCTACCAGCCCAAAACCTCTCATCGTCCTCTGACCTCACCCCATACCTCATGTTTCTTTGTACGTACATCTCGAGTAGAAGCATCATCGACTCAGCCGGCTAGCTACCAAGTAGCTCCTCGCCCTCTCACATCAGGGCCACGGCGCCCATCGCCGCTCCGGCAACCACCATCAGCGACCCCCCCTGGACGACGGCTCCCGCGTTCGTCGTCGTCGCGCCCGCCGCGCTGCCACTTGCGCTGCCGCTTCCACTTCCACTCGCCGAACCAGAACTCTTCACCGCCGTCGTCAGCGTCGCCGGCTCCGTCGTGGACGGGGCCTCCCCACTGGCCGACCCCGAGGCAGACGCAGACACGCCGCCCGCCTTTGTCGTCGGCGTCGTCGTCGTCACAGCACCGCTGCCGCTTCCCTCATCACCCGCCGCCGACGACGAAGCCTCCGCCGCAGCCGTAGTCGTCGCCGCGGGACTGTTCCCCCCCTCCGCGGAAGTGCTCTTGCCCCCCACGCCCACCATGGTCGTCCTCCCGCCCGGCGGCGTCCAGCACGACAGGTACGACGCCTCGGTGCGGCGCGTCTCCGTCCCCGTGTAGGCCGCGCACCCGGGCACGTCCTTCTTGGGCGGCGCCCGCCCGCCGCCGCAGTCGAGCGGGTCGCAGATCTCGCCCGTGTTGGGGTCGAACCAGTGCGTGATGCCGTCGTCGCACGTCGTGTAGCTGTGCGTGCCGCACACGGCCGACGCCGCGCCCGCGAGGGCCAGCGCCGCGAGGACCGACTTGCCGAGCATTTTTTTTTTTTCTTCTTATCGTCTGATCCCGTCTTGGCCGTAGAACTTTTGTCGGTTTTGATTCTCAGAAAGGATAGACAAGTGGCTGTGTAAACGAGCGTCTTGGACTCCAAAAGAATGCCAATATCAGGAAATGACCGTCGTCAATCTCTCTCCAGTATCTCTCACACAAGTGACCGGAGAGCAAGAAGGCAAGAAAGGAGCCGCACAGGGATGGATGGATGGCAACATCCACAAGTTATACAAAAATCTCCCCTCAAACCCGCGTAGCCACACCGGGAACAGCCCCGGCCCTTCGCGCGCCGGCAATAATACTACTAGGACCAGGTTTCTATTCCTGTCAGGGGCCGAGAGGCCGAGAGAAAAAAGCGAAGAAAAGGCCCATGATTTCGGCGCCTTCCCAAACGAGGCTCGCCCGCTCCCTCCCCCCCCGCCAAGTCTGGGCCCGTCTGCTTCCCCCTTTTGCTCCAGTATTTGCCACGGGCATTAGCCGGCGCTAACGAAGCCAGAGTGCCTGAGACTCTGATGAGAGTGTCCATGACCATGGGCAATGGCAGCAAGGCCCGCGCACACATTAGGCTTCCTATCACCCTGAGTGGACGTCGATGTCGTGCCCAACACCCGTGGCCAACTGCATGGATGTTGATGACTGGAGCAAACTTGGCGTCCCGTCCTGACGGATCTCGCTCTCTGCTGCCTCTCAAGAGCCAAAGCCGACATCCGGTGTGGAGCTCGCTTTGCCACGATCGATGCCCTACCCCATCTCGACTCCACGCCTCATGCAGGTGGGCTCCAGTCGTTGCCGTGTAAACCTCGCAGTCCGCGCACCCCACGGCTACGTTTTAATCAATTACAAAGGGGACAGCATATTTACTATACTGTGGTATCAAGTGTGATTTGAGGCCATGAGACAAGCGCCCGGTGCCTGCTCCCCGGCCCAGAGGCCAGGAGGTCAGGCCCGACGAGCCTGCTCACGGCTATACTGAAAGCAAGAATAACACCTATCATGCAAACGTTTCCGCAAACATGGCTCCGTGTCTCGATGCAAGGTTCCTCTCCTCCTCGGCCGACCTTCCGCGCATTGCCACCAAGATCCATCCAACCAATCCGAAACCAATCTTCCATAATGCAAATCCACTGCATCGACGTCGACCCAAAACGAGTCGGCATCACACCTCACTCGGCTTCCACCTCGGTATAGGCATCCGAGGCGGTCTTTCCAACGCACACCTTTCCATCATACTTCCTGTCCTGTTCTTCCGCCCACTTGTAGAATTCGGTGCTGAGCTTTCCTTCCTCGACAGCCTGGAGTAGAGAACCATACATCATGCGCAGCAGCGGCTCCGCATGCTCGGGCGTCGTGATGCGGTTCGCCTCCTCGACCGAGATGCGTGGGTACTCCTTCTTCTTACCCGAGGGCTTGGGGCGCCCGTCTCCAATTGCGCCAAAGGCGCAGCGTCGCCTGCGATAGTTGTTCTCCGCAATAATCTCGTTCATTCCCTTTCCCAGAAGGTGGGAGCCGGCGTACCAGCCGCGCCTGATAATCTCCTCTCGATCGTTCCAGACCGAGGCGCTGTGGCTGCACATGCCCGGAACATACGAGTAATAGCCATTTCCATAGAACGACTGGGATTGCGTGTAGCAGTCACCGCAATTGATGTCCTGGTCCCAAGCGGGACCGTCAACATACGGAGACATACCCGTGTTGATGCGAACGGGTGGGCCATCAGGCTCCGACGTCTCGACAAGCTGAAGGAGGAGACTCTTCTCCTTGGTTCCAGTTTGCTCGTCTTGTTCAAGACGCTCAGCAGAGGGAGGGGGCGTCTGAATCAGCGACGCCGTGTTGAAGCTCTCGCGGAGAGTGTAGGCACGAGGGATGTTGGTTCCGGGGCCGTTGGAGAACATCTCCGTACCCATGCTGGCGTTGTTGGAATTGCCATTTCCGTCCGCATACTCCAGTGGCTGCTCCAGTGTCTCGAAGGCGGACTGGAAACCCTTCGCCATGGAGTCATAGGCAAATGGGCGATACTGCCGCTGGCCTGGTGGTCCGGCAGTCAAGGGAGCCGGGCCAGAGCGTGTGCTAGACGCTGAACTAGACGACGGCGGGGTCATTGCCCTCTCGAGACCCGATGCCGGGCTAGGGGATCGAGTGGTCGGAAGTGAAAACAGCCCTTGCTGGGTAGAACCAATGTTGCCGGTGGCATCAAAAAGCGAAGAACGCAGCAGGTTGAGTCCCGGGACTCCTCGCATGCCCGTCGCCTCGTCCTGAGGGGGTACCTTCTGAATACCCGTGACAGGGAACCCCAGGACAGGAGTGGTCGAGGCCTTTGTCGCAGCCAGATCAACAGAGGGCTTGAGAAGCTTCTGTGCATCTTTCTGGCAAGGGTTCGGGTACGATGCCAGGCTCTTCAGTCCATTGATGCTCATGCTGAGCAAGTGCGCTGGGGGCGCAGTGTTGTCGTCATCGACCCCGTCTCCATGCTGCTCAGAAACATGTCCAGCGAAATCATGTCCGCCGCTGTCGGTGGTGTTGTCCGAATTCTCGTTGGCTGCCTCAGAGGCGATGACGTTCTCCTTGTGTGCAAGCGAGTGCGACTGAGTGGAGAGGTTGCCAGCATGCAGGCGCGGAGTCTGGGAGACCAGGGCGATGCCCATGGAGCCGTGCTCAGAAATGCTCAGGGGGCTGACGGCACGATCCGAATTCTGCTGCAGCGGAGCATACTGCTGCATGCCGGTAGTGCGTCCGTTGGCGGCCGCCTTCATGGTCAGTCCAGCGAGGACGGCCTTGGGGAACAGGCAAAGGTCCGTTTGGTTATTGCCAACGTTCCACTTGGTGGCGCGTCCGCGACGTGCAGGTGGCTGAAGCGGCTGCGACGAGTTTGGATTGTATATAGTGCCAGCGGTGGTGTAGGTCGGCTGCTGCTGGGGCGCGGGCGACGACGCAGCAGACGCAGCAGACGCGGGCGAAGGCGACGAGGCGATGTTAGGTCCAGACGAGGGCAGGGCCGCCATGGTCGATACCGATGCCAAGTCACGGCCCGGGTGATGGATACAGCTTCCACGCGGGAAGACGGAATATCTAGAGGAAAGTTCATGTTAATTGTCGAGCCGCGCTGCCTTACGGGGAGGCGGCACCAACGAATGGGGAAGCCGACGGCAGTGAAGAGCCGCCGTGGGGAACAGCGACGAGAGCCGCCGTATCGATGACGGTGGATGTAGGCAAACGAGTCGGCGGACTCGACAGGTGTCCGAGGAAAGAAGAGACTGAAATTCGCCAAAGAGGGAGTGCAAGATTTTCTCCCGATGCCGGGGAGAGTGTGCAAGGTCAGGTATATCCCGTGACGAAAGACCAGCTGCGCGCAGGCTCAGTACGAGATGAAGCAGGCGCAGAAAGGAAGACGACGGGATTAAGAAGGCGGGCTGCTGCACGATGAAGGGGGAGAAGAACAGGCCGCTCTGGGGTTGCGGGTGGGAGGAGAAGGTAAAGGCACCTGAGCGGGAGGGAAGGAGGGAAGGGGAGTGGGCAGAGGGCAAGAGCTGGTGCTGCTGGTGCTGCTGGGGGGGGGGGGCGGCTGCTGCTGCTGCTCTGGGCTGGAGGCACTGCGCGGGCACTCGAGCGCAGGACCGCCCGGGACGAGGGCTGCCATCTGTCAGATCGTCCTCCCGCCCTCTTTCTCCGGCTCGATTATTTTCAGGGAAACCATGGACAGCAGTCGAGCACACGACCGCGGCGGCAAAGTATCGACTCACCTTTCCCCACACCCGCACGAGACGTAGCAACCTCGCCGTACCAGTTCTACGAGGCTATCTAACCTTCTCAACGTCGTGAACCCGGCCCTGGGAGCTTCTGCCAGCGCATGGCAGCGAGCCGTTTCCCGTGGATGATTCTAACTTGCAAACATGTTTGGAGATAGACGGTCACTCCTCGCGCAGAGCCGCCAGTCTCGCACACGCCCCGAGCCACACCCCCACACCCCCTTCCCGCACGCCCGAGCAGCAACTCGTCCGCCTCGGGACAGCTCTGCGCTTTGATGCTCTGCCTTTTTCTCTGTTCAAGAGATCTTTCAAGCGCCCGGCTGCTGGCCCTTTTTTTTTTCTGATCTAGCTCAAAATCGGCGGTGTACGAACTAATTCGACCCAAACGCCCGGGGGGCATGAGGGGGACGAACGACGTCGAGGTCGCAGCTGGTGGGGTGCGGTTAGCGTGCGTCCCTGATTCTATGAAGCACCCCACCCTGTCATGCTGTCACTCACTCACTCACTCACGCACTTGGGTGCCTGAGGTCAGTCTCTCTCTCGCAGCAAACCCTTTGCTCCCGTCCGATGCCCCCCTCCTCTTTCGCTCTCCATGCTCCCAGTCTCTAGAGATTTAGTTTGGCCGACGCTTGGCTCCATTCTTGCGTAGTGAAAAGCCGCCTGACAAGCCCCGTCGTCACCCACACGGCGTCATCCAAGTGCTAGGCGCGCCACACCCGCGCCCCAGCAACCGATCACGTACATCTGAGGCAGCTTCGCTCATGTTTCCTGCATGCATCGCATTGGCTACCTAAGTACTAATAGTAGGAGTGCAATGTCCATCTACATGCCGTGTCTGTCCACAGGCCGTGCCTACGAAGAAACACTACTCGTAGGCAGGTAGTTCACCCATGCAGCTGTGCGTCCGTGCCCATGCTCTGTCACTCGCGGCGACAGCCCGACATGCCCACCACATCTGGCTTCCTGCTGCGGGAAACCAGCCCATCAGAATAAACTACCCATCCAGAAGTGCCATCCACGCCTCATGGCACTTGTCCCGTGCTCACAGTGCAGAGTTTGGCGTCCGTCCTCCCACACCTAACCCTCCGCACGCCGCAGAACGGGGCCAGACATCATTATGCAACCCACGTGAACAAAATCTCCTGTGTATCCTCAAAGCTGTCCGCGTCCGATATATGTGTAAGAAATGAGTGGCTGCCAAAGCAGGCCGAGTCCGTCCAGGTCAGGGAAAGGGGGCCCCGCGGGCAAGTTGGAGTTGAAAGGATCGTGTCGAAGAGGAGGCAAGGTTTTACCAAACGAGTACTAGTCGAAACATTTTACCGAGGATATCTTGCCCGCGTTCGGGGCCCCTAGTGTTTTGCCTGTGATTGACGGTGAAGGATCGTGTAAAAGAAGAAATCGAACCGGTGTCTATGTACGTCGCGCGCCGCCTGGAACGTTATTCCTGGCTATTTTCACATCGCACCAGTGGGGTAGGCGCTGCCGGGAATCATGCCTGGTCCGGCTCCCCTGCTGCCTGCCCTCGCGCGGTTCCCTGGCAGCTGGAAGTCCGGATTATTCAGGAGCACGTCCTGGCGCTGCTGCTGTTGCTGCACCTGGCGGCGCTGCTGCGGCATCGGCGGGTGGTTCGGGTTCCAGCGCGGGTTAACTCCCCGCTGCGAGATGGAGGTGAAGTTGGACCGCTCGGACTCTGCAGGGCTTCGCGACCCACCAGCTGCAGCGCGAACGTCATCATAGTCGGGCTCGGCTGGCGGCGGCGGGATGTTGTTGGGGCGCGCCGGGGCAGCGAATCGCGGGTCGACGTCCTCGTAGTAGTTGGCATTCTGCGGCGCATTTACAGGCGGCGTGCTTCGCCCAGGGAGCTCGGCATGCGACCGGAGCTGTGAGCCACCTGGTGAGGCGGCCCGAGGGGACGAGCGGCCATTGTTGGCGGCCCACGCGGCTCGTGGCGGGACGTAGGCGCTGCATATCCGCGTTTAGCTACAATGCTTTCTTAGCAAGGGGGTGTTCGGTGACTCACTCATCCGTGCTGTACTTGCTCCCATCGCTCAAGACGGTGTCATGGCGATTCGGAGGGCGGCCTTGCTGCAGTCCGACCATGCCAGCGACGTCTGTGTCGCTGTCACGAATGCTCCCGCCGTACTGGCCGTACGCGTTGGGCGCCGCTATGGGCGTAGAATCCATCTCCACAGGCCGGTCCATTGCTCGCGCATTTGCGGTGCCCGGAAGAGGTGGCGGCGACTCAGCCCTGGGCAGGTCACCCGAGCTAGGGTTGTATGGCGCATAGCCAGTGGTGCCACTGCTGAGACTGGGCGCAGAGGCATTGCTGTGCGCGTTCCAGCCATTGTCCAGCCCGTCGGACTGCTGCCCATAGTACTGGCCCTGTCCATTCATAGGTGGCGGGCTGCGGCCGCCTCCTCTTGGTCCGTAGCCACCTCGTGGCGGTGGCCCATATCCCCGTCCACCGCGAGAGCCTCCTCTGGGAGGAGGTCCGTATCCTCCCCGACTTCTCGTAGAGGCGCCGTAAGGGTCAAATCCACCCCGGCCATACCCTCCGCCGCGGCCCCTCTGGCCTCCAACGCCACCCATATCACCCCTCCGGTTCATGCGGTCAGCGGACGGCACACGTGGCACGCCATATGCGTCAGGCGGTCCAGTGGGGTTGCCGTAAGGGTCTCGCGAGGGGGTTCGTCTCGCGGCGTTATATGCAGCCACCTCTCCAGGGTTGGCCATGTCGTTGTGGAAGGCATTTGGCGACGTCTGCGTAGGGCTTCGCTGGGTCAGGGGAATGCGCTCATCGCTAGTCTGGTCTTCCTTCCGGCTCTCGAAAGTCGCAAACGTAGGCAAGCTGTCGGCGGGTCCGGAATTCCCTCCGCTCACCATGGGCATGGTAGGCTCGACAGCGGTTGCGAGAGATGGCTTCGACTGTCCCTCCCTATTATAATAGTTCTCTCCGCTCATTTCGGCGTTCTCGGCGATGCGCTTCTGGCGCGCCTTTCTGCCGACGACCGTTCTGCGCATAGCGCAAGAGACGACGGCGCTCAGGGCGATCAGGATCGTAGCAGCCAAGACCAGGTACGAGCCCCAAGCCATGTGCGGGATGAACAGGAGCACGTCAATCAGGAACGCAAGCAGGGTGACGAGGAAGGTAATGAGCATGAGAATGAAGAGGACGAGGAGATATCTCGCGGAATGAGACGGCGAGTGCAAATGGGAGACGACGGCCATGACAAACATGGCGAGCGTTAGCGCCGCGGCGATGGGGTGGACGATGAGGACCGCCGACAGGCTGTCGCGGACGCCGGTCGGCAAGTCGAAGGCCTGATTCTCATTGTCAAGGAGTTTCCCTTGGAGGGTGTCAGTCTAAAGGTACCCCGTTACAGTGCACGGGAGGTTGTAGACATACCAGTGTCGTATCCTATACCGATGGCACTACACTTGCCGCCACTCCTGCAGTAGCCAAAAACGCCAAACGTGACGTCTTTGAACTTGCCCAGCGGGACAAACTGGGTGACCGGGACGGAGATGACGGCGAGGAGAAGCAGGACAAAGGCGGCGAAGAGCAAGACCGACAAGGGCGTGGCTGGCCGTAGCATCCCCATGGTGAGGCGGCGCTATGCCAGCGGCGTCAAAATGACGCGCACGAGGTTATCGTGGGACCGGCGGCGCCAAGCGGAGCGAGGGAGAGCGCAGTCGTCGGTTCATGGGAGAAAGAAAGATGGGTGCGGCAAGAATGAGCGAAGGGAGCGGTCGTCGAGGCGAGAAGCAGGGCCAGCTGTCGTGTTCACAGGCTCATTGGGGCACCCAGCATTGAGAGCTGTCAGATTTCCCAAGCGACAGGCGACGGGCGCACGGGGCGGGCGGGACGATGAGGCGACCGGCCGGCGAGCAATCTATCGTCTGCCACGGAGGTCGCGAGAGCCCGTCCGAACTCTCAGGGGGTGAAGCGAAGTGAGGCGAAGTGAAGCAGCGGGACGATGACGGGCGGCGGCGGCGGCGGCGGCGTCGGCGCTCGCAGAGCAGGCAATCAGTCGTCGGCCTCGTCGTCGACGTCGTCACGGCAGGCCAGTCCGCTGATGTCGGAGGTGCGAGGGCAGAGACGAGCGTCGAGACTGTTGACGACCAAGAACGAGGGCCGGGCCAGCAGGTTCCAGCGGTTGGCTGGACTGGGCTTGTCTGAGACGAGGGGGTGGAGCGGAACCCCCATCGGCGACGGGCGACTGGGGTTGCTAGGGGGGGGGGGTCGGTCGCGAGGTGGTGGACGAGGCACCAAAGAAGTGCGGTGGTTGATTGTGTGGTGCGGCTAATAAGCTCCAGGTACTTTGTACGGTACTACTGTAGCGGCACAGGCAGGATGGAAGCCAGCCAACCTGCTACTAACCTAACAGCAGCCCGTGCAGTGGGCGATAGCGCCAAGTCGACAATGGAAGCTCGCCGCGCCGACGGGACCGGGCTGCAGGCAGGTACCTTGGGCACAGCGTTCAGCAGGAACAGTACCTGTACGACACGAGGCGGGAACAACGCCACGGCTCGTAAAGTGGCCTGGCGCGGCGCCGTGGATGAGTGGCTTCGACGATGCAGGCTGCGGCCTGGGGGCAAGCGACAGCCACCGGGGGGGCACTCGGGGCACTAGCAGCCAGGCAGTGTGCCATTGGCGCGTCCCAACGCAATTGGAAGTCTTGACGGGATGGACGCATGAGATGATGGCAGCACCGCCCTCGATGGCACCCTATCCCGGGGGCGGGACGGCGGCTTGCTTTGGCCCTGGACGGTGGCAGGGGCACAGCTCCACCCTCGCTGTGGGCCGGACGCCCAGTGGACCCATGGATCCCCATCTGCCCTGATGGCTCGATGCTTGGTGAGGTGGTGGCCCTGCAAGCCCTCGTCGCCCTTGGTCCCGTCGCCTTCTGGATGCGCGGCCCGCCCGCCCAGTCCAACCCAATTGCGCATTGTCATGCAGCGCGGCCATGCGGGCATGCAGCCCATGCACGGGCTCGTCTTGGCTCATTGTGTTGTCACTGCGAGACCCATGTGTTACCTGCATCTGCGTCTGCGTCTGCGACTCTGCGTGGAAGCAAGCTGGCGCCACCAGAGCTGCTGTTCCGCGCCGGTTCCTGCAGCCCCCGAGCCAGTCCATCCCGTCGCCGTAGAAAGAAGAGGCCCGACGGGCGGACGGGGCCGAGACACGCAGTGCAGCGAAACGCGTGATCGGCGACGACGACATTGATTGCGTCGCTCCCGCGTCCAGACTCAATCCGTCCTGACAGTTGACACTGCCCGCAGCATCGCAAACTCATGTACTTGCCTGTTCCAGCAGGTGGCCTCTCCCCCCCTCCCCACCGCGAGCGCGTGGAATTGGCTGCCAAGTCAGGGTGTTGGGTCGATGGGCTCCGCCTCGACCCCGTTAATAAGGCCCATACTTCGCACCAGCGCAGAGCACAGGGCCCGGAGCCAATGCTGGAGGGCCGCGTCGAGTCGAGTCGCGGTTGTTTGCTGCATCGTCCCTCGCTCGCGAACCCTCGTGTACGAGTATGTAGGACCGCAGTACGAGGTCGGACACATGCAGCTCGAATCGCATCGGCGGTATTGCGACTCATCGTGTCCGAGAGGCACCACGACCCCTCTTTCACCGCTGACCCTCCGCTCCCTCAATTTCTCCCTCACTATCTTTCTCTAGCCCGTCAGCCCAGGCACCAGGAACGAGACTCGTCTTGGGCGAGCCGTGGTGGAGAGACAAGCCACCAGTGAGTGGTGCGGTGTGACGGACGGGGGCCCTGGATGTGGCTCCGGAAATTGAGGCGCCACGGTTTCCTCATGCTGGGGTCGTTGCGCCATTCTCTGACAATCGGCCGCGTAATAGCTCTTCCTCTTGGACATGGCCATCGCATCCACTGACGATTGTTCGAAGTAAAGTCCATAATCGGGCGAGCGATCGCCTTCACACGAGACTGTACCTACTCCCTACACCTCGCGCTGGGGGTAGGATGCGCCTGCGGGGTCTGCATCCCTCCCGCAACTCACGAAAGCCCAACAATGGACTCGTCCAGCCCTGGCTCACCAACGACCACACACATGAGGGACCATGAGAGAGCGCCGGGTTACGGCTCCGGCTGAGACACCGCTGGGACTGAGGGTCACGTTCGGCGACGGCACTGTGCCAAATTTAGTAACGTCTAACGTGCAAGCTGCCGCGCTCTTGGATCTGCACGTGCATTATTCACCATCGGTGGCTGTGGTGTTTCGGCTCTTTACTTCATACTCCATATGTACATAGGTACGGCTGGCCCACGATTCGTGTACGAGTACAGTAGCCATGGCAAATGTACTGTGCTCGTACGGGTACAAAGAGCCTCGCTCGTATGGCCATAACGCGTGGGCCTTTTGCACCTGGATCCTCGACTTTTCGGTTGGGTTTCCGACTCATAAACTCGATGTGTCGCATTTGTGTCCGGGAAGCTCTCGCGTCGTGCTGTCCTGTGGGCTACCCTAGACGAGCCACATCTCGGCGGCGGCGGCCAGGCATTGGCCGCAGCTGGATGACAGCTTGATCGTGTCGTCCCATATGGTGCGCGGCTTTGGGGTCCGGTCATGCTTTCGGCACGCCTTGTTGTCTGCGGAGGTGGACCTTGAGCTGGGCATGATGAGTTCAAGCTGGAGACAGTACAGTCGCCGCAGGTAACCGCCTGAACGACCACGTTGCGCCCAGGCGTGACTCTTCGAAAAACATTAGCAATTGCCCTGGATAAGAGCAAGACGGTTTATTACGAGATATTTTCAGCGCGGGGCCGGATGCCCATTGAGTTTGAAGGATTCGCAACAAGCCGAGCCCGTTCGGCGCAATGGGTCGTGCAATAGCCCGATTTCCAGGGTCCAGGGCGGTCGCGCACTTTAGCTTGTCCGGGCGGCGCCGGCGATAGCGCGTCTCGGCGATTGCGATTTCCCGGAGTCGAGCCGTCATGACTTCCCTCGCGGCTCCCACCTCCCACGACATCCCGCCGCTCCTCCAAACGAGGTCTCCTTGTCCATGCAGACGCACGCAAGGGCCTCGCGATGATGTCCCGCACGCTCCGACGCAGCATACTGGGGGCCTCGAGGGGTGCGGCCCCCGTGCTGCCGGGCTGTCGCGTGCCTCGAGCTTTTCTGCCTCGCCATGACGTCGTCGCCGGTCCCGCCATCACGAAGCGCCACGTCCAGTCGTCGGGGCCGTTCAAGCCGTTGCGACCGCCTTCGCCCGACGAGCTCGGAGCTCCAAAGGCCGCCAAACAGTACCGCCGGGGCCGGAGATGGACGCGCTGGGCGGTCGTCGCTCTCGCGGTCGGCGGCACCATCTACGTCGTGGACCGCCAGGTCTACGCCTCGGGCTTCGGGCGCACCCTCCGCACGTTCGGCACGACGCTCCTCGTCGCCATCGACTACAAGATAAATTTCCGCCCGGAGCCGATCACGGCGGGCTCTGTCCCGGACCTGCACACGCGCAACGCCGAGCGGCTCTTTGACCTGCTGCGCGCCAACGGCGGCCTGTACCTCAAGATCGGGCAGGCCATCGCGATGCAGAGCGCCGTCCTGCCGCCCGAGTTTCAAAAGATGTTCAGCCGCATGTTCGACGACGCGCCGCAAGACGAGTGGAAAGACGTTGAAAAGGTCATCAAGCAGGACTTTGGCAAGAGCGTCGAGGAGGTGTTTGGCGTCAGCTTCACCGGCAAGCCCGGCATGGGACTGATGGAGCGCAAGGCGAGGGCGAGCGCAAGCGTCGCGCAGGTCCACTGGGCCAAGCTTCCGGACGGACGTGAGGTGGCCATCAAGATCCAGAAGCGGGAGATTGCCAAGCAAATCGCCTGGGATCTGTGGGCGTTCAAGTGAGTTTCCTCGTTCATCGTCTCGCCCGACTCAGCACTGACAGCGTCAACAGGACCGTGACCTGGATATACTCAAAGTGGTTCGACCTGCCCTTCTACAGTCTGGTGCCGTACATCACCGAGCGCCTCGAGCTCGAGACGGACTTTGAAGCCGAGGCGAAGAACTCGGAGAATATGCGGGAACTGGTCAACTCGGAGAAGCGCCTGAAAGGCCGCGTGTATATCCCCACAGTGTACCCAGAGTTCACAACAAAGCGGGTTCTCACGACCGAGTGGATAGAGGGCATCAGGCTCTGGGATAAGAAGGCCATGACGTCGAGATGGCTCGGCGGCCACGGCAAGGGGTCGCCGGGTGCGAAGAGCCCGCTACCGCCCATCGACATGGATGCTGCCCGTCAGGAAATCCGCACCAAACCCTACCACGAGAAGATCAAGCCTGAGCGTCAGGAGTGGAAGGGCAAACGCGGCCGAGGCGGCCTTGGTCTCTCGACGAAGGAGGTCATGACCACCATGATCGATCTCTTCTCGGCGCAGATCTTCAAGTGGGGAGTCGTGCACTGCGACCCTCATCCCGGAAACATCTTTGTCCGCAGGTTGCCCAATGGCAAGGCCGAGCTGGTGCTCATCGACCATGGCCTTTACGTCTACATGTCACAAAAGTTTCGCCACCAGTACGGCACGTTCTGGAAGGCGCTCATGACATTCGACAATGAGACGATTGTCAAGGTCACCGAAGCTTGGGGCATCAAGGGCGCGGACCTGTTTGCTAGCGCGACGCTGATGCGCCCGTACGAGGGCGGCGACTCCTCGACCAAGTCGGACCTGATGAAGGACCTGGAGGGCAAGACGCCGGCGGAGCGACACTACGCGATGCAAGAGCGCATGAAGCAGGGCATCCGCGACGTGCTCTCGGACGAGGACAAGTGGCCCAAGGAGCTCATCTTCATCGGGCGCAACATGCGCATCGTGCAGGGCAACAACCAGTACCTGGGCTCGCCCGTCAACCGGGTCAAGATGATGGGCGAGTGGGCAAGCCGCAGCCTGTTCGAGGACCCGAACCTGCCGCTGCGGCAGCGGCTGCAGAACGCGTGGCGGCACATCATGTTCAAGGCGGTGCTGACGGCGACGGACGTGGCCTTTTACTTCTTCAAGGTCCGGCAGTGGCTGGGCATCGGCGGCGGCATGGAGGACGAGATGGAGAAGAGGATGAAGGACGTGGCGCAGGACTTTGGCATCGAGCTGCAGCACGAGGTGTTTGAGGGATAGCCTGGGGAAGGGGGAGCTTGCGTGATCGCGTTGTGAGGAGCGGCGAGCACGTGCGAGGTGATGATATCCCACTCTGTGATCTGTGTTGACTACATGGCATCGGGCATCGGCCACGGCGTTGGGGGCGGCTTTCATAGAGGGAAGAGGCACAGCGGATTGACACGAATGGGGTTTTAGAAGAGACGGGAACAGGTCAGGCAGGAAGAATGCCACTCCTCACTTTTCCGCCGCCATGATGCTTCGTAGTACAATTAGGCTTGCAGATGTTCATTCGCATCACGCGGATAAGGCCTCCGACCGAGCGGGCCCTGCAGCATCAAAACCGCAAACGAGAAGGTCCGTCCGCCACGCGAGAAAACGGATGCCGCTGCTGCAGCCCTTGCCGCCGGCGGGCCGCCCGGGGGCACAGAGACCTAAGGAGAGGGGCTTTCATTTCCAGAGAAAGGCCGAAAGGCGCCTCGATCGGCAGCCCGAGTGCGGAGCGGATATCCCGCATCCACCGGGTTTTGTTCGCCGCCGCCGCCGTTGCGGCCGGGGTGCCATGCCTGGCCCGCCCCTATTATTTTAACGGGTACGGAGCAATTGTGGCTGGATGGATGGATGGATGCTCTACTCGTACTATTACGGACTGCACCGCGTGGGCTTGACGCGCCACCTCCCAGTTTCAAGTTGCTACACTGTGATTGACGCGCGCGGGCGATGTCGAGGGCAAATGAGGCAGCCCGCCCTGCAATCTTAGCCGGGTAGGCTGCTACGCGTGATGCCCTGCGGCGAGGGAACTTACGTGCCGCTGCTGCTACATACATACGTGCCCTCCTCATATTACCACTCGGCAGATGTCTATTTTCTGCGAAGGGAGGGGGGAGGGAGGGACGTGAGCAGCGTGGTCCGTATGACCCCGCGGCCATGGGGTGGTGGTTTCGGTGATTTCGTCTTTTCGTGCCTGGACGACTTTCCGAGATGGGCGGATGGACGGACGGAACAGGGGGGGGGATGGAAGGGGGAGGGGGGTTCCCGCAAGAGCCGGGCCCAGCAGCCACGGGAGGAGGACAGAGGAGGACGGATGGGGACGGGTTCGGCGGACGGGACGAGCAAGGTGGTCGTTTCGGGACGACGGTCTGTGAGACGGACCCTGGTGCTGCTGGCCCTGCTCACTCACTGCTGATTGACGCTGTCTGCCCATTGATGCCCATCAACCGAGACGAAGCACTGTACGAGCGCCATCAAGGTCAAACTGTGCAGCCGATGGCGAGAATTCGCCAGTCTCAGCGCCCGAGTAATCATCACGATCCCCGACCCCTCATCATGACGATTTCTTCGTTCTTCGGCGCGACGCCAACAAGGGAGAGAAAGTCTGCGTCTGCGTCTGCGCCCGCTCCGGCGGGCTGGGTGCCAACAGAGTGAGACACGGTGACGAACACCCGCGTGTTGGGTCCCGCCCGTCTGCCCTCCCCTCCGCCAGATTCCCTCGCGGGGCCGGGGAAAGGGGACGAATGTCTCTTCTTTGTCTTGTCTTGTCCTTGTCTTGGACGATCAGATGACTCTGCAGGAAGAATAACCCCGCGTGGCGAAAAAGCAAAGAGGCAGCTGGCAGCGCAGCAAAAGGGAGACAGACAGCGGGACGAGACAAGAGACACACCGTTGACAACGGGACGACTCGCGCTGACGACTTGCTGGAGATGAACCAGGCAGGACAGGGACAAGAAAAATGTGGGTGGGTGGGATTGGGGGCACGTTCAAGACGTTTATGCGGACACGGAAGCGAGAGGACCGGCTGAGCCTGAAATACATTCGGTGCGCAAGGTAATAAGGCACAGCGCTGGCAGAGAGCTTGAAAACCCCCATGCTCTCGGCCTGTCGCGGACGGGCAGGGGCGCGTCATCCTCACTCATCCTGATCATCAACCTCGAGCTTTCAACGGGGCTTGATGACAGACGGGGAGAGCTTGCCCACTGTTCAGTAGGCGCACCGAGCTCAGTTGGTACGTGCGTGCAAAAAGAACCGTCCACTTGATGCACACGCAGCAGCGTGTCGTCGACTGGCACGCGGGACGAGTCCCGAGGGTCATTCCTCATTCCTTCCTCATCGGAGGAGGTGCGCCGGGGGACCTCACTCACTCCCCATTTTCTCCTTCAATATCTCCGGCCCGCCGGACCCTGCAGTTTGGAAAGGGAGGAGGGGTGGGCAGGCAGGCGCTACGTCTGTTGGGTTTTTATTTCTTGCTTGCTGCTCACTGCCGCTGCAGATTAGGTAGCACTGAGGTGTGTGTGCACATCGTCTGGGCGGGCGAGATCAAGGCGCTGCCCGTCCAAGTGAAGGGCAACACACGTGGTAACGTTAGGAAGTGCACCGCGCAAAATACCTTATCCACAGCTCGCTCACCTTGGCTCTCTCATGCGACCCCTTTTTCTCTCCCACGGAGCTTGTTAGCGCCGTCAGCTTCAATCCCAATTGCTCTGGCGGGGGAGGGACTTGGGAAAAAAAGAACGTTCTGCTGCAGCACCGGGGGCCAGACATGGGGGGAGTGGGTTCCATGCTAGCGCCGCCTCCAGCTCTCCTCGGGCACGCTAACACCAACGCGCTGGGAGGTAGGTCCCCACTTGCTTCACCTCCCAGCTCGCGCAGGTACCTTGCCTTTGGGGCCAAGCTCACCAGCTTGGACAACTGGAGAGATACCAAGTGTAAGCTAAACTGCAGGCCTGGCCATTTAGCCTCGGCCCTCAGCTGGGCTGCAGAAGATTAAAAGAAGGCATCAAGAAGAGTCCGGCCCGTTGGGGCTGAAACGGCGCAAAGGGGCGCGCGGGGACCTCGAGGCGGGCAGCTGCGTTGCGTTGCGTTGCGTTGCGAGGCGTGGCATGGCGTGCACTGGCCTTGTCGATGACTTTTGACGACTGCTGCTCGGATGCCGTTGCAGCGGCAGCAGCAGCGGCCAGCACAACACCTACTCAGCTCGGGCCCCCTTTGCGCTGTGCACTCTTCGGGTGCGAAATGGCCCTGCGGAATGGGAATCGTCGGCGCCCGATTCGCTGCGGAGCTTGGACTGCCGCTCGTGCCACCCCGTCTGTGCCAGCCATCGTGGCGGCCGCCCATCCATCCATCCATCCATTCGTTCTGGGTGTCTGCCTGCCTGCCGGCCGGTCCATGCCTCGTCCCGTCGCGTCGTGCCGCGTTCGTGTCTGTGTCGTGGTGTCGCGTCCGTCGTGTGGTGGTTAGCTGCGCCCTGCGCTGCGCTGTCCGATCCGGGCGACGGAACGATCCCGGGCGGGCCATGCAATTGCCATGCCATGCGTGCCTTAGGTACCATGTCCTGCAGGTACGGGCAGCGGGCAGTTGTTACGCGGCGGCGCGACAGTGGACTGGCCTCAGTAACGTGCCTTGGCTTGGAGGTTCGAGGTGGTGGAGTCTCAGCAGCCCGCAGCAGGGTCCTTCCCATTTTATTACCGCCTCGCAGCGCAGAACAGAACCTGGAGCGAAGAAGCACGCCCGCGTCGAATTGATTCATTTGAACCTGCGAGCTCCACCACGATGCACTGTGCCTGGCCCCAGGCCCCAGGGACAAGCACTGGGAGCCCAGGCACGCACTAGCCCGCCGCCGCCACGGCCAATCGAGCCCGCTAGCCGCCGTTGTCCAGCATCAACCTGGAAAGCCACGGGCCCGCCTCCACCATCCATCCACCACCCCGTCCATCGGGACCCCTGTCCGCAGGTACACGCCCACCTCGCTGGACCTCACAGGCACCCATGCCCTTCATGGATCATCGAGGTCGCGGCCGTCCATTCACCCACCACCAGCTCTTACCACCGCCTCCTCGTCTTGTTGCGCAGCGAGCGCCCCCGGGTCGCTGGGCGCCGGGTCTGGCGTCTGACTGGCCCGTCTTCGGGGCCGTTGTCGACTCTGCCTGTTGGCCCCCTTTTCCCTTTCGTCTGGTGCGTTACACAGTGCAGTGCCGTGCCTGGCCCGCCGTCGTCATTCGACTTCTCACCACCACCTGCTTGGCGTGCGTGCCCGTCGCCCTCTCTTCTCCCACACCATTCATTCTTCGCTTCTCCTTCTCGATCCATTCCCCATCCTCCCTGCTCTCGGCCGATCCCGCCTGTTGCGTGGTGTCCCTTCGTTTTGGCCCTTTTTTCCATCTTGTTCTTTTTCTTGGCCTGGTCCATCCCCAGGTGGCTCTCTTCATCAAGGGCCCCCGAGCGGCGAGCATCCATCTCCACGCGCCGCGCAGCTGCCATCGCGCAAGCAACAGAAACCCGCGGCTCCAAACCACGGCAGAGGCTCCTTTCTCATCGCCCTGCCCTGCCCAGCCGGCGTTTCACCTTTACACCCAACCAACAAGGCTGATTGATCTGACGTCTGGCCACCCCCCCTGGCGGTCCTTGGGCCCAGTGGCGCTCCCGTACATTCCACAGCCTGCACTTGCGCCGTCCTCGACGTAACCGCCCGCTTCCTTCAAATCGACGCCTGCCCAACCTCTCACGACCTCGTCCGTTTTTGTCATGACCAGCCCCCAGCCGCGTCGCTCCAGCTTCGGAATGTTGCTCAAGCGTAGCAAGAGCGGCGACTTTGGCAAAGGCAAGAAGGCTCAGGCTCTTAAAGAGGCCGAGCTCGAGCGCCAGCGCCAGGCCGCTGCATCGCGCGTGCCCCCCAAGCTGCCCGAGTTCTCCAACCACTCCGAGCAGCTCTCCAAGTCTCTCGGCCCGGACCTGCAGTCGTCCGAGCCCGCCTACAGCCTCTCTCCCGGCCATCACGGTGTCAGTCGCGGCTCTGCCGAGGCCCCTCGCTCCTACTCTGCCGCCAACCACCCGCCCGTCCCGCCCGTTCCCTTCGACCCCTATGCCCGAACCGAGAGCATGACGCACCGCGGTCGTTACAGCTACGCCAGCAGTGCCATCAGCACTATCAACAGCCCGCGGAGGGTCCGCAGAAGAAAGGATCCCACTCCGTTCAAGTGAGTAGCCTCGTCTCGTCTCGTCTCATGCACCCGGCGACTATTTTATTACGGCAAGAGCTAACCTCATCTCCTCAGCATCCTCGTCATCGGAACCCGGGGCTCGGGCAAGACTTCCTTCATCGAATTCCTAAAGACGGCCTTCGCATTGCCCGCGCACAAGCGTCCTACTCGCAAGCCCGAAGAGGATGACTTCAAGGTCCACGCTCCCGCCAGCGGCAACTTTGTGCCCCACTACCTCGAAACCGAGATCGACAGTGAGCGCATTGGCTTGACCCTATGGGACTCGGAAGGCGTTGAGAAGAATCTGGTGGATTTGCAGCTGAGGGAGATGTCGGGCTTCCTCGAGAGCAAGTTTGAGGAGACGTTTGCCGAGGAGATGAAAGTTGTCCGCTCACCAGGCGTCCAAGACACTCACATTCACGCCGTCTTCTTTGTGCTGGACCCGGCGGCGCTCGACCGCAACATTGCCTCCGCTCGCAAGGCCGCAGGCTATCAGAACGGCGGCGTCAACGGACTCAACCACCGCACCTTTGGCGGCCTTGACCACGACGTGGACCTCCAGATCCTGCGTGCCCTCTCTGGGAAGACGACTGTCATTCCTGTCATCGCCAAAGCCGACACCGTCACGACCAAGCACATGAATGTCCTCAAGAAGGCTGTCTGGGACAGCATTAAGAAGGCCAACCTCGACCCGCTCGAGGCTCTGGGCTTGGATGACGAGGGCGACGACCTGTCCGGCCGGATCGACGAGGAGGATGAAGAAGCCATCGACGACGAGCCGCATATGATGCCGTCGCCGCCGACGTCTCCCAATTCAAAGCGTCTTTCGAGCCAGTCGATTCGCAAACACAAGGCGCAGCCGGAGACCAAGGAGGACGATACGCCATTCCTACCACTGTCGATCATCAGCCCCGACCTCTACGAGCCTGGTGTCGCCGGCCGACAGTTCCCCTGGGGCTTCGCTGACCCATACAACGAGACCCACTGCGACTTCCAGCGCCTCAAGGAGGCCGTTTTCAGCGAGTGGCGTGCCGAGCTGCGTGAGGCGAGCCGCGAGCAGTGGTACGAGGGCTGGCGGACCAACAAGCTTAACCGCGGCACCGGAGCGTCATTCCGCGCCCGGTAGACGCGCCCGGCTTGTTACGAAGATGTGAAAGTAAAACGAGGGGCGTGATGTTTTCTGATTTGGCCTCATCAGCACCGAGTGTGCTCGACCACAAAACAACTGGACATTTGGCGTTGAAATCGCACCCGGGAGCTTCTCTTTTTTATACTTCCTCTCACCTTTCTCGACGTTGCGTCCTAGTTCCGAATACCTCTTGCGACATTGTTTTTTCTGTACGGCCTGTGGCATACCCCCTTTTATTTGTCTCCGTCTGAACCCCATTTGGCGCCAGGAGGAGACGGCACTTTCTGAATCGTCTGGCCCAGGTTGGTCGCTTGAATAGAGCACCGCTGGGCGGAGTCTTTGGGATCAGGATTCCTCTTGGATCGATTCGCCAACCACTCTCTGGTCTTTTCTCGATCCCGCTTTCACCCACGCAGAGGCGACGGCCGCAATGACGTGCATCGCCTATTTCGACCAAGGCGGCGTGCGTTACGACTGGCAAGCTCGCCCTCTGGACGCACTGCGTTTTCTTACGACACTACCTTTTTTCTTCTACTCTCGATGCCTTGTTCTCAAGCTTGGATCTTGACTAAAAGCACACGACAACGAGAAGAGCACGGACACGACGCGGCGGGCTGTGGTCCAGGCTGGCGGCGGGAAACCTTTACGGCCAGCATGGCATGAGAATTGTACCAACTGGGCTTGGGTTGCGGACCGGCGATTCCCTTGGACAGGGACTGGTGGCCCCTTCACGAGGACGTGGTCCCGATTGCCGGCGTCTGGCCCGCTGGCCGCAAGAACGGCCGGCTCTGGGGCCGAGGGATCAGTTGTACCGTGGGACCCGACGAGACTGCTTGTAGATGACTCGATAGGTAGTTTGTTGTCTGTGGGTGTCTGGCCCTGAATTCGAGTGTGCTTCTTTTTTCCTCACGGGTCGTGCGAGCGGTTTCACGTGAGTTCAGTCATGTGTAGGGACCCCACGCCCCAATCCAACGTTGCTTTATCGAACGGTACAGCACATGTGGTGCTCACGAAAACTTCCCATCTGTTTCAACTACCCTGGGGCTATGAATGCGTGGTAAACGATACATGCTTCTCCTCCACTATGTGTCGGCAACCGCCCTCTCAGCCCTGGGTGGGGGGCAGCGAGAGCAACATCCCCCCACCCCCCCGGGCGATGCCTTTGCGAAAATTGTCAATCAGATGGTGGTGTTCCCTTCGTCGTGCGCGCCGGAGCCAGCGACGCCGAAGACGGTAGCAATGCTGGCTGGCCCATGGCATAGTCCATACAGCGCGTCCCCGGTAGGAATGACTTGTCGGCAAAGAGCTCATGGACATGGAGTGCGAGTAGGTTGGAGCAAACAAGGGCCGAAGGGAGATATCCGCGCCGCGACGGGTCTGTAAATCTCGTACTCATCGTCTCAAGAAGGAATACTTGTTCGTAGGCTGCCTGTTCTCGTCGAGTTCATCCTCCCTGCGATGCGGGTTCCTCCCCGCGTCCTCGACGCGCCGCACTTCCTTGCTACTGAGGGCGACGAGGTCGAAGCACGGCGGGAGGGGCATGTCCGCGAGGAGGAAGTCGACCTTGAGGTTGCGGGCCTTGTCGCGGAGCCCCTGCTGGCCGCGCTTCTCCTTGTCGCGGTCCCAGCGTGCCGTCTCGTCCTTGGCGATGGCGGACCACGCGGCGCGGTGCTTGGCCACGAGGCGGATGAGCTGGTCCACGTCGTGCGCGGACCAGGGCGTGCGGCGGCCCAGCTCGGTGCGCTGCTGGAGGCGCGCCTGCGAGGACGTGGCCAGGCCTCGGCCTCGGACGGCGTCCATCTCGATCTGGGAGTGGGCGGGGTTCGAGGAGGAGGTGGACGTGGGCGGAAGGCCGGCTGTTGACGCGGGGGCGGCGGACGGTGTGATGCGCCGCCGCTTCGCTGGAGGGGGGGCCCGCGAGTCCGTCTCGAAGTCGTCGTCGCCGTCGTCGTTTCCTCCCGACTCGGTAGCCACAGGGCGCGCCGGCGATGGCCTTTTGGATCCTTGATTCCGAGCGGGCGTCGGGGGCGGAGGCATGTTGATCGCCGCCTCCGCCTCCGCCTGCTGCTGGTTGGAGGGCGGCGCGTTGAGCTCCGTCAAGGAACTGCGCCCAGCGTAGAGGCTGGTTCCGCAGCATAGTTAGCAACATGGCCTTTCTTGTCCCCGAGCTCCAAAAGCTTCATCAGGTCCTGGGGGTTGAGGAGCGGGGAGCGATTTCCCGCTCGGTCGACGAAACATACCTAGATTGCGGCATGGGGGCGCGTCGGACAACCGGAGTGTCGGGCTCGCTCGACTCGCGTGCGCCTTGCCTGGCGTCGTGGAAGACGTCCTCCTGAGAGTCCGCGTCTTGCACCTTCGCGTACTCGTCAAGCGCCCACTTCTCCAGGTCGCCGAGGAGCTTGATGAGCGGGAAACTGCTCTTCAGAATCTCCACGCCGTGCGTCTTCTTGTTCGCATTCATGACGGTTTCCAGTTTGCGCGTGCGCTTCGACGAGACCTCGGCGGCGCCCTTGTCGTCTTTCCCACCCAAGGCCCTGAAGGGTCCGTTCTCTAGCATAGACGGAAAGTCAACGCTATTCGTCTTTTTGCAGAAGACCGATGCGATGAACTCGGCGGTCCGCAGCCTTCCCTTCTGGCGAGCCAGGTGCTCGACAAAGTGGGCGGTGCGAATGCGCAGTGCCAGGGCCGGGTCGGTTCCACCCTCGCCAAAGAGTCCGTCTTCGTAGGCGGCATCGAGCGCCCTGAGAAACGACAAGGCATCGCCTTTCTTGTCGATTTGGATGAGGCGAAGACTGTCCAGGACAGAGACGAGGTTGGCTCGCACGATGGTGTTGGTGATGTTTGCCTGGCTGTCGTCATCGACCTTCCAAAGCCAGGAGACGAATGGCGCCATAGTCTTGGAGACTTCGTAGTTTTCGCGCACCGAGTGGAACTGCTTTCTCTTGGTCGCTGTGATTTTCCTGAAAACCTTGTCCCGATAGTCGCCTTCCTTGAGCCGCTGCATCAAATCGTCCGCGGCCAGTTTCAGAGCGGGAAGGAGGCTGTTCATGAGCTGCTGGGACTCCATGTCGTCCAGTTGTTCATCCTGGCCGTTACTCAACGAGCTTGCGGGTTCCGTCCCGTCCACAACTTCCACCACCGCCTCTTCCTCCTCCTCATCGCTCCCTCGGCGAGTTGAGATGCTCAGTTCGCTTGATGCTCTGTTCGGCGCGCCGCGGCGAGGGGGAGGGTCCTTTGTCAACAGGCCACCCCCAGCTGGACCCGAAATAGCAGCGGTCCGCTGACGCGTGACTCGACGGGTGCTCATTGTGTTTGCTGTTCGGCTTTGTTGAGGAACGGGCGGGTTGGCCAACGGGGGGCTAACAATGCGGCCACCCTTGCTGAAAGAGCCGAGCTCCCTCGGTGCGTACCGTCGAGCGGTCGACTACGGTCGTCAAGGCGACCTTGACGCGGTGTTGAAGCGACGTTGATGCAGTGTCTCGACGATCGCTGTCAACCCTAACCCTTGAAATCGCCACGTTGTGGAACTTGGGGTGGCCAGCCAGCTGTGGTTTGTTGACGCCGCAACTGACGCGCCACATGCAATTAGCGGGGTCCCGCGACCTCTGCCACAAGCAGCCCCAGCACGCCAGGCAGACACAAACAACCCAGAGGCCCGGGACGCTGGCAAGCAGTGGGGGCGTGTGCTGGCGGCGCCCAAAGCAGTCATTTTTGTCACCTCCCTGCTCGTCGAGTCGGCACTTCAGCGCGGCGCCCATCGCCGAACGGGATCCTTGGCAGGGCGATCCACCCAGCGGCTCTTGGTCTTGTCCTCCGTCACATGCAAATCTCGACGGGCGGACAGGCTCCGCGTGGCGCATGATGAGACGTCGGTGCATGCACGTATCAAGGAGGCTGCCCGGGAAGGCTCTAGGATTGACATGCTATATCTACGTCTGATATATCCGTGCCGTGCCTGAGATAGCGCTAGAGACGTCGGCGCGCACAGCTTCCGTGCGCCTCGAGGGAGTGCTGCTGCACATCCTGGCCGCCGCGACGCCGTCCGTCGCTCAGGCTGCCTTCTTTGCACGAGGCACCGTCGCCTTGTCGGGGCCGAAGGCGCCAAGGAAGTATGCAGAGCGCATAGAGAGCAGGAAGAGCTGCGGCGCCGTCGAGGCGGAGGGCGTCAGCATGTGGGAAAACGAGAAGATGCGCGCACGCGTACGAGGCACGAGGGTGTACACGCTCGCGGGTTAGCATGTGAAGTCACTGACCGTCATGGCGATGTTGCCCCAAGCCATGGCGTTCCACCCGGCGGGATCCATCATGCGCTCCCTGCCTAGGCCGTAGCAGCTGAAGGCGATGTGTCCGACGTCGCCAACCCACAGGGCTGCGAGGTAGCGGCGCACGACCCTGACCTCGGACGTGGAGAGCAGGACGGCGAGGCCGACGAGCCCCATAAGCAGGTAAAGGTTCCCCAGCTGCCAGGCCAGGACGATGCTGTTCTCGGTGACGGGGGCCGGGGCTTTTTGCGGCACCTGCTCCGCAACAAACCACGCGGGATCGGTCACGGCGCCGAGGAAGCCCGCAACGCTGGTAGGTTCCGTCGAATTAGCTATCGCTCGCGGCACCAGCAGGTGGCTTCACCGGGCCGGCGCAGCAGCGCAGAGGTGGGCTCACAGCGATATTGGCTCGATAACGGTAAAGGTAACCCGCGGAAGGGTCGGCAGCGATGAGGCCATGGCTCTTTGCTTCGTGTTGCGCCGTGTGCTTCGTCAGGGAACTCGTACGAAAGCATGCGCACAGTGACCAACTCGTGCAGAGGAGAGCAGCGACGGGCAGCGGTCCCGCCTGATTCCCTTGCAAAGGTGGCACGACAGAGCGCCCGCACGTCAAGGGGGCGGGGGATGAGGGCGGATCAGACTTCGGAGGGAGGGGGGCCCCCCTTTTTCGCCAGTCAATGCCTTGAGTTCGAGGGCCCGGCGGGTGAGGTCTGAAAAGAGGGACCACGGCCGAAGCTACCCTGGTGTGTCGTAGTCGCAGCGACCGGGGCCGGAGCTTTGTGGCAGACTCAATCGCCGGCTCCGTGTCTTTCTCTTCCGGCGTTACATGTGCCGCGCGCGCTGCAGCAGAGGGAGGCCCGTGGGGTGCCTTATGGCGGCCCGCGTCGATGCAGCCGGTGCGTTTCGATGCAGAGGAGGCTCGCGATGGTTCCCGGGTACTGCCGAGTCAAGGCGGGCGATTGGCGATGGCAGTTGTCGAGCGACGGGATGCCTTGGGGGACGGGACATGGATTTCGTGGATGCGCCCGCCGGCGGAAGGGGTGGTGATTAGAGGTGGCGTGCAGGTGGTGCGTGTGTGGGCGGGGAGGCACCTCACCTCTCCAGGCTGGGCGGGCAGTCCTGGCAGTGGTGGCGCTAGGCGGGCAGGGCCCCCAAAACTCACTCTACCCACCGCTGGAAAGGGTGGGAAGTGTCAACCCCACCCCCCCCTTCCAGGGCTCCAGACACTCCAGACCCCCCATGTGACTCTCCGATAGCACGTGAAATCGGGCCCCCAGGGCAGTGGAGGAGGCCCCAGGTGCCCGCTGCCCAGGCGCTGCCCAGGTGGGCGCTGGGACGGACGGGCGGGCGCCCACCACAGCGCCGCTACCACCTGGAAGGGTACGTACGAACGGCGCCGGGAGCACACTTTGTCTGCCGGCTCCGGCATGCATCCTCGCTCCTCCTCCACCTCCCTGACCTCATTCATGGACGCCATTTGCTCCACGCACGCCTCGCTCGATGCCGCCGCCGCGAGGCAAGGCAAGGCAAGGTACCAGGTCGACTGACTCCACCAGCCCGGCGCAACGCAGCACTGCTCCGAGCACAGCACGGCACAGCATAGCACTCTGCACAGCCGATGGATGACACGACTCGGCACTCGTTCGCTTTCATGCCCGCCCTCGCCGCGCGCCCAGCTGCTCTTAAACCCACTTCGACTCCCGAGGACATGACGAGCTCCATCCCGCTGCGCTTTCGCCTTTCCCACGCCCCTCGTTCCCTCTCCTGCTCCGTCTTGCCTTAAGTCGGGCCCTCCCTCCCTCGTCTCGCCTCGTCTTGTCTTGTCTCGTCTCGTCCTCGACTTGACCTGCGCCCAATGCCCCAGCACCCAACATCCACGACTCGCCCAAGATGGCCACCATCGAGCCACGCCTCATCCACCTGCTGAATGAGTCCACGACGCCTCACATCCAGCACGCCGACCTCCCGCCTCTCTACGCTCTGCCGCTGCCCACCTCGTCCGACCGGCCTCTCCCGCCCATCGAGCCAGATGCCGCCCACCGATATGGGACCGACGGAGCCATCTTTGGCTCGGCCAGCCTCCTCTCGAGCGATGATGTAAACCCGTCCTATCGCAAGGACGACGCCCGATGGGACGGCCGCCCGTCCGGCACGTCGTCCCACCCCCTCCGGATGCTCCTTGGCGAGCCTGACATCCACGAGGGGTCCTCGTCCTACTCCCACTCCAAGATCCTCAACGACGCCGCAGAGACGTCAGACGACTCCTACACCAAGAAGCGGCCGCGGAATATCAACGTCAAGGACGACTTTGTCCAGCTGCCACAGCCCATGAAGAAGCAAAAGTCGGCCCAGCAGTCGCTGGCTATGCCACCCATCATCAACGGCTTACATGAGCCGCCCCCTCACGCCGCCCTATTTCCTCCGATTGCCTCGACCTCGTTCAACGAGAACGAGGCGAGCCAAGTCAAGATGATGCACGACTTTGGCCGCAACGCCGCAGACAGCGGCAACGTTGCTTCGTCTCCCGAAGCCGACAAGACCGCCGCTGGCAAGGCAAGGAAACGAGCCGCAAAGCCCAGGCGGAAGTGGTCCGAGGAGGAAACAAAACATCTTCTCCTCGGCGTGAACCGACACGGCGTCGGCAAATGGACCACCATTCTTGAAGATCCGGACTTCACCTTCAACGACCGAACAGCTGGAGATCTCAAGGACAGGTTCAGGACCTGCTGCCCAGTCGAGCTTCGTGGCCCGTCCAAGAGCTCGTCACAGCCGAACTCTCCACCCCCCAGCTCACGCGACCCGAAACCAAGGGCCAAAAAGGGCCTCCACTCGGAGAATATTCTCATCGAAGACAGCCCGTCGCCCCAGGACCCGGCATCCAGCCCCCAGGAATCCTCCGCGCCGCCCAAGCAGAAGAAGAGCCGAGCACACCGCAAAAAGCTCGAAGACCTCGCCGAACTCGGGATCCACGGTCCGTTCAAGAAGTCTCTGAGGCGTGAGAGGCGCCCCTTTACGGAGCAAGACGACCGAGAGATCCTGGAGGGCCTGGATATCTACGGCCCGGCCTGGACCAAGATCCAGCGAGACTCCCGCTTCCACCTTTCAAGTCGGCAACCCACCGACTTGCGCGATCGAGTGCGCAACAAGTACCCCGGAGTCTACCAACGCATCGAAAAGGGGACTTTCCAAGCCAAGGACGATGCCCGTGGCAACGACACCATGGAGCCGTCCATCAACATGTCTATTGATGACTCGTTGAAGCGTTCAAAGGCTACATCTGGCGGCCACCGGGCCAGCTACGGACACTCAAAGGACGAGTTGCATTCGTGGCCGATGCAAATGCTTGAGTCGGCAAACTACATGCACCCGCCTCACAGCTTCGAGTTTGGCGAGAGTGCTCCTCACTTTATGGGTGGCGAGATGGACATCTCTCGCCTCTTACTTGACGACTCACGGCTGTCTCAACTGCCTACGCGGCAGGGCTACGATGGCATGTCTGGCCCATCGTCTCCGTCCGCATTTGCGGTGGAACACCGGAGGGACAGACACGGCCCTCACCCTGTGAAATGCTGAACAGTACGAGTACATGCCAACCTTAAAACGGCGCCTTTCGCAGGGCACTGCATAATGATTCTGGGATCGGAGTTGGAGCAGGGAAAGTGGGCTGGTGGGACATGGCGCAAGAGGAACGGGACTCGCGGAACCACAAGGTTCGGCCGCGGATTCGCAACGACTTTGATTATGGATACCTCGGTGATTTTCTGCCGCAGCGAAGCCTGTGCTTTTCAGGAGGATGAGCGATACGCTCGAATAGATACCACTTTGATAAAAATGTAATTGCACAATTTTGGAGCCAAAAGGCAGACGTCACAAGCACATGTCACTCATACAGGCAGGTCGTCCAAGAATAGCACGATAGTCTGGCCAGAAAGATACGTAGTGACGCCAGGCAAGGCCAGGGTTCGAGCTCTTGGGGAGGGCCACGGCAGACATGTGAAAGTGACCCTGGCTTGTCTGGCAAGCCTGGGACCCTGGCGGTGGAGCCTCATGAGAGAAAAGAGATCCAGGTGTGCGGTGCGGGATCGCCAAGGCCCTGCGACGGATTTGCATGTGAAAGATTGCCTGACCGGGTAGTTCCGAAGGTCCAGATCACGTGTTTGTCTCACGTGCCAGTGCACCTGACGACGGTGAGCCAATTTTCCCTTGGGGTTCGTCCCCACTTGTGGTGTGGGTAGGGCATGAAACCCCTCGACGACTGGCGCTAAACGAGGGCAGCGAGAAAAAAAGCTGTGGCCCTGGCCATTTTCAACACCACCTCGATCTACGCTCCGCCCGTCTTGTCTTTTCCTCATCACCGCCAGCACAACAGCCAGTCGTCACCATGGCCCGAGGAATGTGAGTACACACTGCAGCAACGACATACCCCAAGCCTGTCCCCGTCCGGCGAAGCACCCCGAGAAGCAATACACAAAAGAGTCGAATTGGCAGCATCTTCTTGTGCTCGGGGGACGATCCTGCTGCCGCGTTTTTACCCGTCAAATGGGCGCGTGCGGCGGAGAGCCAAGCCAACGGCGATGGAGGACGGGGATGAGAAACAGTCGGTGATGGAACGGATTGGGCTGACCCTTCTTCCCTCCACAGCAAGAAGCACCAGAAGCGCCTCAGCGCGCCGTCGCACTGGCTGCTGGACAAGCTGTCCGGCACCTACGCGCCCAAGCCGTCGGCCGGTCCCCACAAGCTCCGCGACTGCATGCCGCTCATCGTCTTCATCCGCAACCGCCTCAAGTACGCGCTCAACTACCGCGAGACCAAGGCCATCCTCATGCAGCGCCTGGTCAAGGTCGACGGCAAGGTCCGCACCGACATGACCTACCCTGCCGGCTTCATGGACGTCATCACCATCGAGAAGACGGGCGAGAACTTCCGCCTCATCTACGACACCAAGGGCCGCTTCACCGTCCACCGGATCCAGGCCGAGGAGGCCGAGTACAAGCTCGGCAAGGTCAAGCGCGTCCAGCTCGGCCGCGGTGGAATCCCATTCTTGGTCACGCACGATGCGAGAACGTGAGTTCTGTCAGACATCATTCAGCCGTTGGATCAAGCTTTGGTAGATTTTCCGCTTCAGTCATTCATCCGACCGGAACGCACAATCCACGGAAGCATTGCTCTCCGACGGCTGTAATGTATCCCCTTTTGACCTCCCCCCGTCGCTGACCTTGTGTGTTCTCGCAGCATCCGCTACCCTGACCCCGCCATCAAGGTCAACGACACCGTCAAGATCGACCTGAGCACCGGCAAGATCTCCGACTTCATCAAGTTCGACACTGGCGCTGTCGCCATGGTCACTGGTGGTCGTAACATGGGCCGTGTTGGTGTCATCACCCACCGTGAGCGCCACGACGGTGGCTTCAACATCGTCCACATCAAGGACGCCATCGACAACAGCTTCGCCACCCGTGAGAGCAACGTCTTCGTCATCGGCCAGGACAAGCCCTGGATCTCCCTGCCCAAGGGCAAGGGTGTCAAGCTGTCCATTGCTGAGGAGCGTGACCGCCGCCGTGCCTACGCCACCTCCCACTAAAGTGGCAACTCGCTTCATCGGAAAAAATGGCATGTGGACTGGAGTCTCGGGTTTTTGACGTTTTCGTTTTTATGAGGGTCCCAATGACTACCCTGGAGATAGCCAGCCCTCGAGGCTAATGACAAAGACTAAAAAGAAATTTGAGCCAAAAGCTGCAGCCTGCCGACGTCGAAAGTCCCGTTTCCCAACCCCAGTCTAATGATGTCGTCGTGTGATCAGTCTTGTCTATAATTGATGGCTCGTACAGTCTACCTTTTCCCGACCCCAATGGAAACCTTGTTGTTCGCCGAGACGACAATCTTACCGACTCTGCCTCCAGAAGAAGCTCTCATCAACGTTCATCGAATGCCCGCCAATAGCAACACCACATCCATCGTCGTAGAGTTGCGGATGGGTACCGGCGTATGATGCTGCGCCCACTCCAGAGACCGACATTGACGTCGCCATGTTCATGCTGGAATCTATGGCCGACCGGCTGGAGAAGTCGGCGATCCACGCGCATCCATGGTAGCAAGGCCCGCAGCAGCATGCACCACCGAGTGCCGCCGCCGCCGTCACCTGCTGCCTTTGGCCAAGATCAAACGCGGTGTCCATTTGCGGATCGTTGGCCGTCGCAAAGTCCGTCTTCCGGCACGCGATCCGCGACGCTGTCTGGTTACCCGACCGCTGCTGGGCCAAGGCCGCCGTCACCACCGCCGCAGACTGCAGTGCAGGCGACGTTCCGCAGCGGGCATCAGTCCCGGATCCATTACGTGCTCGCGCCTTGCCTGCTGATGACGACGACGCCGCTCGAGCGTGTGCCCCCCTCCTGCCGCTGCCGCTGCTCCCCTTTAGACTCCCTCCGGGGCGGTCATACGCGCAGACAGAGCCGCTGACGGCACACCTGTCGCATCGGTCTCTGCGGCCGCTGCACTTGAGCTGTACGCACTCGTCAGTAAAAGTTTCCCCAGAGGCAATGGGCGGAGTAGCTGTGTGCTTGGCGTGTGGGTGGGTGCATATACGGGTAGGCGTGTGGGCGTGTAAGTCGTGTGTTTATGAGACTGAAGCGCTCCGCACCTTTTTCTCGTGACACCGGTTACACGCCTGGTGCTGCCACGAGCGCGCCGTGATGGGGTCGTACGCGCGGCGCAGATTCCTCATCTGGTCCGTCTCTGGGTCGTACTTCCATGTCCCGAACATTGCTCGCCCGAATGTCGCGTCGTGTCTCGTCGTGTTTCGCCGTGCGAGCGAGGGCCGTCGTGTAGCCGACGGTGTGCAGCTGCGAGGACGATACAGCTATGTGTTTGCTCGCTATGTGTCCCGCAACGAGAAATTGTGTGGTAACGGTGCCGTCCCTGGGCCGCAAATAGTCGAGGTGTGCTTTTAGAGTTGTGTCGTGTGATCATCACCGCTCCCAAGCCGTCGCCTTATATACTTGCAAGCATAGGCACCCGTCCTCGACGACACAGGAGCCTCATAAAGGCGACCTCGCAAGGCAAGCAGGCATGTCAGATTCGCCCGGCGCGTCCAATCCGCCGCGTCCATCCCGCAGCACAGCCTGTGCTACGCAGAAGTCCCGGCAGAGGGCGCTCTGGGGAGGGGGTCGGCGGCGCCATTGGCTCGGGCGGCCATTTACGAAGTAGCATCGCAGGGACATGCTGAGACCCTGGGCTTACTCTGCTGGTCGGGCAAGGCCGAGTGATGTTGGGGAGCCATGCACCCGTGGCACCTTTTCTGGTACGAGGTCAGTTGGCAGGGCTGAACCGTCGCACCGGACCCGCATGGGGATCGACGGGTTGGGGGAAGAGACAAACAAGAAAGCTGTGTGGGTCGAAGCCGAAGCATCAGGGTCTCAGACGGACCGATCCAGAGTCCCGGCCGCCGTTAAGAAGCCTGCGCGGCCGACTGTCCGACGGGCTGAGCCATGGCGCGGTGCAGCCTGTTCGCTGCCCGGTCGTCACATTTCTTTGCAGTTATACATCATGTCCTTCTGTGCTACTCTGCACACCGAGTCTGACCATCATCAACCGTAACGTATCATCCCATCGACCACTCGGCAATGGCTATCGTAGTTCCATCCAGCACTCGTGAGGCTCCATGGCACCGGTCGAGCTATGCAAGTGGAGAAGAATCTTCCTGCGGCCGATCGGCGTGCCGTCTTCGGCTGTCGAGAGTTCCACGTCGCCTTGCATGAAGAATAGACCAACACGCCGTCTGTCAGCCGGCAGTGCGAGCTCGTCGTCGTCGCCGTTATCGACCGCCACAGACAGCTCTCTGACTTTGTCGGGCGTCAGCTCGATGCCGTGCTCGACCTCGATTATCTTCTTCGCCAGACCGTGCAACATGGCACGGTCCCAGGCCGTCTCGCGTGCCCAGCAAAGCGTCTCGAACAAGTTCAGCGCAGAAACACGGAGCCTGAGGAAGCGGCACTTATGTGCGGCCCAGAAGAGGAGTGGGCAGAAGCCCATGACGAAGGCGAACTTTCGGCTTGTCCATCCGGATAGCTTCTCGGCCGCTCGCGCCTGTCGGCCGATGTCGACAAGACGGCGGAATCGGTCCAGCTGGGAGTCCCAGATGGTCTCGGAGACATCGAGCTGCGTCGCTACCCGCATCTTGGCGGAAAGCCACCTCGCTTCCAAGAGAAGCAGGGTGGTTCGGTGCCGGTCGTCCTGGCGCCACTCATCTTGCAGCGGAGCAAAGGCGGACCACCACCTGTCGAGATCTGCGTCGAGGACCGGTGCGGCTTGTACAACGTACTCGAGGCTATGTACCTCGGGCAGCCCAAGGCGGTGCTGGTTGGCCATACGCACCAGCCGAACGGTTCGCAGCAACAGCGGGTCGAGCCAGAAGTGGGCGTCGTTCAGGCTCAAGCTGTCAGGGCAAGGCCCGCAGTCCACCTCTCGCAGAAGCGGGAAGTCGGTGACGCCCTCGATGAAAAAGTAGGGGAAAATGCTGAGGTGGAGGAAGGTGCGGGCAATATCCTCCCTGGCGTTATATGAGTTGAGCAGCGTGATGCCGTGGCGGATGTGAGTCGTGGCACTCTCATTGTCGCCTCGCATAAACTCGATGTATATGAAGAGGATACAAACAAGCATCACCGTGTCCTTGGAGCTCGACCCGGCTGGCGAGACGAGATGCCTGATGGCGGCATTGTAGTGCGTCACGGCAAGCTGACGGTCCTCATATGGTATGGCGGGCCCGTCGCTGAGGCCGAGACTGCTGCGTTCATAAAGAGAGCTGATGGCCTGGATTGCGTGCCGCGCAGCGGGCTCTCTGTGCATCAGCTCGGCCACCGTCTCGGTCCAAAAGGTGCTCTTAAATGGCCCGCCCACGGACGGCGCCACGACGTGGCGGTAGAATGCCATGTTCCGGAGCTCAAGTGAGCCAGCCTCGGGCACGGCAGGCAGGGCTGGCCGGAGGCCGGCGGAGAGCAGGTCGTCCCAGGTGAAATAGCCGACGGGCGGGGGCTGATATCCCTGGCACTTCTTGCCGGCATTTTTGCACCTGGAGCACTCGGGACGGCCCTCGTCGCATTTGACCTTGCGGGCCCTGCACGCTTGTTAGTGTTAGGGACGTGGACCAGCATCAGCAGTGAGGGTAGAGAGCTCCAGCGCCCAGGGTACGCCGTTCTCACTCCTGAGGCGCCTGTTGTGGTTAGACCGGGTAACACACTTGCAGGTCAGGCAGCCTGTCCGGACTTTTGAGATGCCCTTGCGAGGCATAATGCTCCGCTAGTCATATGGGGGCTTGGCTTTCGGGCAGCTATTGAACTGCGAACGGGAGGGAGAGGAGGAGTCGCGTCGTCGAGATGCCGCCAAACCGGTGCCGATGGAGATGTTGCATCTGAGGTGGGGCAAGTGCGAGCTCCAAGGAAGGGGCGATCGGCGCAACTGCCAAGACAGCTTGCAACTGAAATCCTTCGCATCTCCGTACAACGGCAGCCATCTTGCGCATCAGTCAATGCTATAAGGAAACGGCCCATCGCCGACCATTGCCGGCGTCGCACTGACATCTGCGCCATGCCAAGCCCGCAGCCGTCCGACCCAGGATCTAATTCATCTGGTTGTCTTTCCTCGTTTACAACATCAGCCGCTGGAAAACGATGGCCTTGGTCCCCGCGAGCTTCGGCGCACCCAATGTAATGGCAAACGATGACATGTATTTCCTAAACTATACAGTACCATTCCTGTGATGGACTATTGAAAAGCCCTTTCTTGAGTAGACACAATGCTCAAGAGGGCTTGTCACTCTTGGGCTCGGGTCGCCTACATCGCTCCACACTACCCTAGGCAGTCCCAGCAACTCACCATCTCACATCTCTACGCCCCTCCTCCATGGCCAAGCTTCCGCATCCCTCGCGGCCTCAGTTCTTCCTCCCGAACTTGGGACGGCCCTCCCAGACTTTCTTGTGCTTGCAAATAGTACACCCGCCATCGCGAGCGTAATAGTACCTGTGGTGAAAGACGCAGTATACCTTTCCCTCCCCCTGTGGCTGCTTGCTGCCGCCACCACCTCCTCCGCTTGGTCTTGGAGGGTTCTTCTTACCGCAGTTTTGCGGACTCATGTTGGAAAGCCTGCTTGGTGAGTGTCTAGTAGCTCAGCTGTTGCGTTGTAGCGGTGACGGCGTCTCTACGGAGCTGGTGGTGGACTACGCGGGATGGGCTTGGAGAGAGCTTGCCATGGGAAAAGACAGAAGTGCCAATACCATGCCCTTTTCGAGCGAATTTTACACTACCTTGGAAATTGAGGACTGATTCAAGGGACTAAAGGCGGCGCTACCGACTCGTCGCCGGTGTCTTGTCAGAGGCAGCGACGACGTGTGAAGCAGAATCATGCTTGTCGTCTGCCAGAACAGGGTTCCTAGAACCTCGCAGCATGCACATAAACGTCCGTGGCAGTGAATGAACGGCAGAGTGGCCCTATAAGGCGCCGGCCGCGGACGTGATGCACGACCAGCTTCTACCTTGTATATGCTTAACCGCCTGGCCGGATGTCCCCTCGTCAGGTCGTTGAATCCCCTCCTGTCGGCATTCTCGGGGGTCGAGTCACGACACGGGCCCGCATCGCCCTTCGTAGTTACGAGTTCCACGCATCACAAGATGCCCAGCAACAGCTCGGTTAGAAGGTTTCCCGTGCCAATACCTTGCGCGCGCGGTCACACGTACGATGTGCCGTCGACCACGTCATGCCCTCTCCGCCCGGGGCGTCGACATCCGCGTCGGCCCAAAACCCACCTGAGGTACTCGCCCGGATGTCATTCGCACGGCATCCGTGTCGGTGTCCGAGCCGGACGGCGAGCGGCAGGCGACGGGGGCGTTGAAGGCGGGGGGAGGGCTCCCGTGAAGCGCGCGGCCGGTGCGTCTGCGGCCGAGTCACGGCGGTACGCCAGGACAGGAGGTCTGTCTGTTTGGTGGACACGGAGGGGGTTACCAATAGAGAGCTGTTGGGCATTTTGTTGGCTGGGGCCCATCAGGGTCCACGATTGAGCTGGACGGGAGGTACCTACCCGTGTCTGGCTCAGCAGACAGCTTCGTACCTGTACTCGTACTTGGCCCGGGGAGCAACGGGCACTGCTCAATTGACGCTTGAAAAGACCAACGTGATACTTGCTGCAACCGATTGTCTTCTCTAAATTGCAATGCCGGTCCAGCGCCGCCTCTCGTGCATTTGTGGAAAGCCGCCGTTTGGACAGCAAAGCCAACGCAGCCACACCGCCGTGCGTGCCGCCCGCCGGCGCCGGCCTGGTCCGAGTCTCGGCTCCCCCTTGCAGCCACCCCCGGGCCAAGGTAGGTACTAGGTAGCCACCGCCGCTGGCACTGGTCCTGGTCGAGTCCTGCTGCGGACTGCTCACCAAGCAGCACCAGCAGCAGGACCCCGCCGGTGGCCGCCGTCGCCTGGTGGTGACATCAACCAACCCCGCTGCCACCCACCATTCCACCCAAAAAGGGCCAAGGTGTTGCTGCTGCTGCTGCTGCTGCTGCTACTGCCGCGGCGTTCCTAGGTGCTCGTCAATGGCGGCGGGCCCGTCTCTCTCTCGGCCCCGAGGTACGGGCGGCGTTTCCATGATAAATTAGCGGCGTCCATTGCGCCTTATTCCAAATAGGTACAGTACCGTACCTGCCGCCTTGGGACTTTCGCATCAAGGCGTATATAACCTCCTCCGAGACCCGGATTCGCACCGCTAGCTTTCAGTGCCATCTGCCATCTGCCATCTGTAATCTGCCGCCGCTCAACACCCCGAAGCTTGCTTGCCCTCACCGACGACAACCCACCCACAACACAACACACACAACACTACACATCGTCAACCATGTCTGCCCTCAAGGTCGGAGACTCGTTCCCCGAGGACGTCGCCTTCACCTACGTCCCGCCCGCGCCCGAGAGCGACATCAAGGTCTGCGGCATCCCGCAAAAGTTTGACGCCAGCAAGGGTTCGTCGTGTTTCCCCCAGAACCCCGTCGCCGCTCATGATCGAGTTGCCACCGCGGGCGCTTCTCCTCGCCATGTCCTGTCGACAGCCCTGCTGACCCTCGTTTGTGCGTGTGTTCCCCCGACACAGAGTTCAAGAACAAGAAAGTCGTCCTCGTCTCCGTCCCCGGCGCCTTCACGCCCACCTGCCAGGCCTCCCACCTGCCCTCGTACCTCAACAACCGCGACGCCCTCAAGCAAAAGGGCGTCGACCAGGTCGTCGTCATCGCCTTCAACGACGCCTTCGTCATGTCCGCGTGGGGCAAGGCCAACGGCGTGACTGATGACTATGTGGTGAGCTAGATTGCCCTCCCGCTCCCCTCCGCTCGAGCGCCCCTCTCCGGCGGAGTGTGCCGGTTTTGACGCGAGACGGCCGCGTGCTGACGCAATTCCAACCGCGCTCCATAGATCTTCGCCTCCGACGCCGACGCCAAGTTCAGCAAGAGCATTGGCTGGACCATTGGTGAGCGCACCTCGCGCTACGCCATCGCCGTCGACCACGGCAAGGTCGTCTACGCCAGCCAGGAGGACAACACCAAGTCCATTGACCAGTCTGGCGCCGAGGCCGTCCTGGCCAAGCTGTAATTTCGCCTCGGGCAACCAGGCTGACGCGACCAAGATCCGAGACCAGTACGAGTAGACGAGGTTTGAGTACATAGATTCTACAAAAATTTAGACAAGACGAGCTTGAGTCTCCCCACTACGCTTGTATCCGTCGTACACTCTGTTCATCTCGAAAGATGCACTGCGAGGGAATGTCGTCACTTGTAGAGGAGAACACAAGGCTTCCGCCTGCCCTGCCAAGCCGCGCCCGAAGGACATCAATGCTTTGACCATTGCATCGGTTTGTCATTTGCTGTCAACTACCAATGCGCCCTATGGCATTCCATGCACCCGAGATGAAGAACCGGCCGGAAAGACACAAGAACCACGGACTCCCACCACTTTCTCCTTTCCGATTTTGCCCCATCGCAATCGCATACAGCCTCTCGCTCGCTCGGCGCCCGCCCCTCGGGACAGGACTTAGCGAGTCCGGGCAGCGACCTTGACGGGCGCGCCCTTGGCACCCTGCTTGCTGACACCCCGCTGGGTCTGGCCCTTGGACGCCAGGGAGGCGTTCTTGGCCTTCTCAGCCTTCTTGGCGGCGGCGGCCTCGTTCTTCTTCTCCTTGGACTCCTTGATGGCCTGGGCGCGGGCGGCGGACCGGGCCTCGGGCCGCATGCTGCGGCGCTCCTTGATCACATCGAGCGAGGCACCAACGATGGCACGCTGGGCCTTGACGGTTCGGCGCGTGCGCTTCTTGGCGACCTCCTGCGGGGGGTGTTAGTCCTCTGCCTCTATTATCCAGGCGCAGTCCTTCGACACGTATAGCTCCCTGGTCCGAATATCCGGCTCTGCGATGGCTCGCAGCTTCGACATCCCCGGCCGGGAGCTATCGTGACGAAGGGAAGGGCGTTCGATCGTACCTCAGAGATACCCTTGCGGTGCTGGCGGCGGTACAGGACGGTCCATGCGATGCGGCGGGGGTTCTTTCGTTGCAGGAAGAGCGACTCCGACTTGCCGTTCTGGAATCGGAACACCTTGCTGTCGCCGCGGACGTAGATCTTACCCTGCAAGACGATGCGGGTTAGCCAGCCTGCTCATTGATCCCGAGTATTCCATCCTCCGTCGTTTCGGCAGCCCGAGATGCGTCCTCCTCTTCCTTTCCATGAGCCCCGGGGGGCAGGGCATCCATCGTCGACCCTCATCTCGAACCCCAATCCAATGACGAAACCGCCACAAACGCGCCTCAGGGAAGGAAAAGGCAGCCGTACCTTGCCGGGGTAGATTCTCTGGCCCGAGAAGGTATCGTCGTAGGTACGCATCTTGTCGCTGTTGTCGGGTTAATCGGGCGACAAGGTGTTGTGTGTCGGTTGACCGTAGGGGGGGCGGGGATTTGGCGGGTTGTTCAGAAAAGTTGAACGGCTGCGCTGGCCGGCGCCATTCACAATTTCCTCGAATTGGAGGTGTGTGGCAATGACTAAGCGGTCTAGGGCAGGCAAGACGCTAGTCCCTCGGGAAAGCGTGCGCACGTGACGTCGCACATGCTCCACTCCTGGTCTGGGTGGGGCCGGCTTGCACGGCACCTGGCTCGAGCTCGCCAATCAGACAGACGCACGGCACTGCATTTACCATTGACGACGTGCACTGCTGCGACGACGACGACGGGTGAGGTTCAACGGCTTGGAGTTGGACGTTAGCTCGTTGGAGTCAAAAGGATACTTGGTGTGACTTTGCCTCGTCACCCAGCGGACATGAGTGTCGACGCGCTTAAATGACATCCCGAGCCGACCTCATCGCAGATGTCGTCATCAACCAATTTAACAAGCTACCGACCAAGCGAAAGCCAGGCATCCGCGACAATGGTTTTCACGAATGGGTGCCCCTGAGCGGCATCGTCGCCGAGGAAGATGGACATCTCACTTGCATCGCTCTTGCGTAAGCTCCACGCCCGTCTCAATGAGAATTGGATGATGTCTAAGTAAAACGTCCAGGACTGGCATGAAATGCCTCCCCACGTCAAAGCTGCCCGAGGCCAATGGCAATGGAATCCACGATTGGCACGCAGAGATACTTGCCATACGGACGTTCAACAGGTTTCTATTGGACGAGTGCAGGGCGCTGAGCGCAGGCAAAGCTGGGAATGGCTTCGGAGTGCTCGAAAGCTGCGCGTCTAAGCCTGACGCGCGTGTGTCTACATCGCGGGCTCCGTTTCGCGTCAGGGATGGAATCTTGCTTCACATGTACTGCTCCGAAGCTCCCTGTAAGTGCCAAGACTCACGCATTTGGCCTCCTTCCCAGCTCACAGCTCCCAGGCGGCGATGCAAGCATGGAGCTCACCATGGCCGCGCAAGACGACGCCTCCCCCTGGCCGACTCCAGACTACGCGCCCGCATCCGCCGCCGCCAGCAGCGACGCCACGCTCCCCGGGCGTGCCTACTTCTCGCAGCTCGGCATCGTGCGGCGCAAGCCCGCCCGCGGAGACGCCCCTCCCACGCTCTCCAAGTCGTGCTCCGACAAGATTGCGCTGAAGCAGTGCACGTCGCTGCTCTCCTCGCTAGCCGCGCTGCTCGTCGATCCGAAGGGCGCGTACATCGACAGCCTCGTGCTGCCCCTGTCGCAGTACTCGAGCACCGCGTGTGAGCGCGCGTTCGCGGCCAGTGGGCGGATGGGGGCGGTCGCTGGGGAGAAGGGCTGGTCGGGCGGGTACGGGTTCAGGCCCTTTGCGGTGGAGACGACGACGAGAGAGTTTGGCTTCTCTCGGCGGGCGGTGCAGGCTCGCGCGGATAAGATCTCGCCGAGCAACCTCGCCGCGGCGTGGTCGCTCTCGGGCTTCGAGGAATCGATCCTGGGTGGCGTGGTGCAGGGGAGGCGGCCTTTTGACCCGCGGGGGGCGAGTCGCATGTCACGACGGCAAATGTGGGTACTGGCTAGAGAAGTCGCCAGCCAGCTGCGCGACCACGACGACATCAAGCACTGTCTAGATGGCAGATCATATCAGGAGGTAAAGCACGGGCCGCTCCTGGCCACGAGGAGGGCCGTCAAAGCCGAACTCCGTGGCACCGCACTGGCCGGCTGGGTGATCAATGACGGAGACTCCGGCTTCGGCATAGACGTCGGCGTATGACGAAAGGGGTTCAACATCTGAAGAGATTAATTCGTTTTCTCTTGATGGAGTTCCTCGATTTTGTACAAAGCAATCAACCGAGACAGTTTGTTTTGGCGGCGCTGTTCCGCCGTACTCCGAGCCGTGACCTTGAACCCTTCCCCAGCGAAGCAACGCAACCGCGGGGACCCCCCGTGGCTGGAGAAGCACGCCGCCCAGTAATTTGGGCAGTGTCCCCGTCGGCCGGACGCAGGTCATTTTCCATGGACCCTCCAGCCGACCGCCTCACGAAAGCCGAGCCCGGTCAGCCTTACTCGACCTTGCTCTCGAAGTTCTCGCCCTCGACCAGGTCGGGGATCTCATCATCGTCCTCGCCCTTCTCGCCCTTCTGCATGTTCTGGTAGCTCTCGGCAAGCTTGCGGAGCGAAGCGAGCGAGTCGGGGCCAAGCTGGTTAAGGATGCCGGGAACAAGCTCGGTAAGCTCCTTGTCCTCGCCGTTGCCGTAGATGGCAAAGGTGTTGGAGGGAACGGCGGCGTGGACTGGAGCGCGTCAGTAGAGAGACCTCCAAAGCAACAGTATGCGCCAAGGGATGGCATGTACGCACCCTTGGGGGCAGCAAAGTGAATGACGTTGCCGTCCGACTTGAACATGTTGACCTCCTCGATGGCCTGGATAGGCTGGGTGTTGAGCTTCTTAAGCGTCTGCTGGAGCTTCTTGTCGTCGGCGCCGGACCGGGCGGGAGCGCGCTTGACCTTTCTCCGGGGGGTGCCCTTGCCACTGCGCAGGGCGTTAGCAATCAGATGCTCGGTGGGGATCGGTTCGGGGTTGTTGGATTCGGGGGGTGCGCATCGTACCCTGATTAACCACGTTAGCTTCGCAATCTACGCCATGCGTCCTGCGATGGCATCGCCGACTCACCAATGCGGGCTCCCTGGCCGAGCTTCTTGAGGCGCTCCTGGATAGCGTCGGACATGATGGGCAGACGAGAGGGGGGTGTCGGAGAGAGCTGCGGCGTCCGGTCGCGTTAGCCAGAGTTCGAGGGTCCGGGAGGCACCGGAGGGACGGAAGGCTCAGCAGGCGGAGGGGCGCATGCAATGGCCGTAGCCGCAACACGTACCGGGAGATGAGGGGTTGTCGTTGAGAAGGCTGATTTGACGCCGTCGGCTCGGATTGGTGATGGAGCAAACGCAGAGCGTAGTTTTGTGCGTGCCAAGACTTTTCGCAACTGGAATTTGTGTTTTGCCGAGGGGGTCCCGCCCCTCGTCCCAGAACGGCCAAGCACTCCACCAGCCCACCTTGCTCAAGCTGGGGTAGCAACCCGGCAGGGCAAGCTTGCAATCCGACCTCAACTCAACCTCTTTCCCAGCTCTCACTCTCACCTGCGGCCTGTCCATTAACATAGCGCAACGACGTGTGCATGACGCATTAGGACAACAAAATGCCTTGAGTTGTTGATCCTCTGCCAACTTAATCTCACACAGGACACATGCGACTGCTCATTCGGAGGCCTCGAGCTACAAAATCAACCAGGGCGATATGCGTATCAAGACTCCTCGCAGACAGCCCCATTCCCCTGTCTTTTCCTCGAACCCGCGAGCCATGATGCCCCCCGCCCTGACGCAGTGAACCTGGGCTTGCAGGCCCTCATGTTGGAGACCCCATCCGCGACACTCGACTACGCCCTCCTACACACCAGCAAGGTCTCGCCGCGCGACCGCGCCGTTGGTACTCGTGCTACTCAACATAAGGCCAACCACCTACATCACGCAAGACTCTCATCCTCGTCGCAGCGATTTCTTACGCCACTCTCTTGCGTGCATGTGGGTTCTGCTTGCCTGTCGTGTCGGCTGGCAGCTCGCCACGTATGCCAACTGCTGCTACCTCTCTAGAACAGGACATGCATTCCGCGGAAAGTGACGTGGCACAGCATCCGTGAAAAGGGTGTCGCATCACCACGACTTAAGCATATCACGGGGTGACAAATTCATTGACAGTGCACGCGTTTAGCAATTAATTCGTAAATGTTAAGCAAGCCAAGGTAGCGTGCAAGACAGTACAAAATATTCGTGACCCGTCTTCGCCGTGCCTTCGTAATGAGCAAGATGAAGACCGACATGCGATTACATCCTTCAATCGGCCGCGCTCAGCAACACTACCAGGTGGAAGGCCCAAGTGGCTCTGTCACGTTCGGAATGAATATCTTGGTGCGAGCCGCGGCGTTGGCATCCAAAGTAGAATCCAGGACCTCGAACCCCCACCATGTTGGGAAGTTTGTCTCGGACAGGCCGAGAGCCAGTCCCGAGATCACGACGCAGAGGGCCGTTCCGATGTCGAGAGCACCGGACAGGACGTAGTTGTACCGCGCTGTAAGTCGGTTAGTCAACTCAAAGCATTGCGATGGCACCGGGACTGAGCCCGGATGAAAGACAAAAACTTACACCACCAGCCAAAGTATCGCCTGCGAATGAACCCGTTGAATATGAGCCCGACAATGACCCACTGGAGAAGGAAGTAGAGGGTGGCGGGTGGCATCATGCCGGCAGCGCCGAACAACGCCGGGCTGACAAGATATCGAAGCCACGAACGAGGGTAACGGCGGGCAAGCAGGTACTGGGCCGTAGGCACAGCTGCACCGATAAGCCAGAACCAGTTTGTCCAGGCGTAGATGGCGCCAGGGCCAAAGACCTTTCTGGGGCCAATGACACCCCAGATCACACTGGCGTTGTAGAAGGTCTTCGCATTGGGGCACGTGAGGCCCTGAGGTTGGTCGTCGGTGCAGATATCCTTGAAATTTCCGATGATGAAATTGTAGCTCGAGATCTGGACGATAGAGAGCCAGAAAACTGCAAAAGCCTGCGCGGCAAACATGCTTCGAGGAGGGATCTTCATGTAGTGACCAATCTTCATGTCGGAGATGTAGTTGAGGCCGTTGGCCGAGATCATATAACCCCATGACTTAAAGAGCATCATGGCAACCGGGCGTCCGGGCATGATATACCCAATAATCATCTCGGTAATGACGTTGAGTCCGGTTTGTTGGTTTGTGATCGCCTGAACCATGCCAATAGGAATAAACAAGACAACACCAATCAAGATGCAAAGGATGTACGCCCACCAGGGGAGGAATGTCTTCCAAACCTGGCACGCAATCATACCAAAAGCGAAGCTTACGGCAAACACCGCGATGAACCACCACTCAGGGGCCTCTTTATACTTCTTCATGAGCTTCATGTGAATGTCGGCTTCCTCGGACTTGGCGTTTCGGGCTCGCCTCCATATATCAGGGCCGTAGAAGAGGGCGACGTGCATAACGGTAGATATCAACGTCGCGAAGGATAGGCCATAGGAGAGGGAGAACGTTGGGCCGAGCAGGATTGGCGAGTATGCTTTATATGCGGTCTCGTTGACCGTAAATTCGGGGGTAAGAATACGGGAAACATTGTACTTCTTAGCATACCGATCGAAATTGGCGTTGGCGCTGAGCGGAAGGTAGCGATAGAATTCAGGACCGCCCCAGGCGAGGCCAATTGCGCAGATGGTCGTGAAGAAGATGCCGGCGGCGACGTTGTAGATGGCAAAGGATGGGGTCTGCAAAGGGGAGTTCAGAAAGCCGGTAACGGTGCCCCAGTCGAACGACATGGGCATAAGTCCCAGGCCCGTGTTTCCACCGAAGACCTGGTTGACGACAACATTGTTCGGGGCAATCCAGGTAGGCCACATAAATGTCGAAAGAAATGGGGCCATCACAAGGGGAAACCACTCCCAGCACCAAGTGCCTAGGGCCACAAACAGGAAGAACTTATACCTGCCGATTCGCCAGCCGTTAGTAGCTAACGGGTCCGAGGGACTATGGTCGTGTAGCGAGTACATGACTGTGCATGTAATGAGCGTTGCCGGCCACACCATGGACGAGGGCCAGATAAGGAAGCGGCGGGCGACGCCTGCAACTCCAAAACCCATGGCCTGGGTGGAAATCATGAGCAGGATCTGGAAACCCCACCTGAAGAACTGTTTGTAGAAAACCTCCTGGGCAAGAAGAATATCAATGGAGTAACTGACGCTCGAGCCGGCCGCCGTCATGATGGTGATGATGGTGTGCTCCTTGATATTGAAAGGCCCCGGGTTCAGTTCAAAGGTGCGTCCAAATACTTTGAAGGTTGCAGCAGGCATGTATTTGGCCCAGCCAGTTCCCAAACTGTGAGACTCCTGTCAGCACCCAGCTTTCCAGATGGATCGCAACAAGGGGCCGTTCAAACTCACGGGTAGGCGATCAGCTGCACCACGGTGGAGCCGATGGAAATAGGACTCCTGCGAAGAGTGAGGAGGATGTTGCAACCTGCGACGATGGTGCACAGGAGGGCACCAATGGTCCATGAACGAATAGTGTTGCAAGGAACATCGACATCAATGGGGGGAATCTATCAGGCTGTCTGTTAGCAACTTTCGTTTGTTCTTTGCCGGAGTATTCGGAGTCTGGATCATACCGAGGAGCGGACTTCGGGATACGGAGAATCCTCCTGGATCAAGGATTCGTCAATAGCAGCCTCTTTTTCGGCGTTGCCTGAGGCGAGGGCATCGTCGATATTGTCAAGCTTGTCGATGTCGAGAAACGGATCCCATGTGTGTTGCTTGCGGAAGTTGCGAAGCTCACGCTCAGGGTTGTGACTCTGCTCGGGCAGGACGTCGGCGCCAGTCGCTTCGCCCCCCTCAACAGGCTCCTCGCGGGCCCTGAAGCGATCCTTGAAGCCCATGATGGCGGGTCTTGTGCGGTCAAAACTCCGCTCTGGGGAAGGATAGGAGGAAAGACGTGGTCTGGATGGTGGAAGCAGAGGGCCTGGAAACCAAAGGCGGCGCGAGGGGGGGTTTATATCTTGAGAAGGGCCTCAGAAGCAGAAACAGCCAAACAGGGCCATGAACAGGCATGATAGTCATGGCCGCAGGTAAGACAAGGGGCCGAGGGGACGTGCTCTGCATGCGCCGGGGTGGGATGTCTTCGACTGGCGGCTGCAAGCCATGTGCCAGAGACAACCTTGCGAACGCCGCCAACTCGGGCAAAAGGTCGCAACGGGAATGGCCGACTTGTGGGTGGCCGAATCGCCGTGGGCCCGGACGCAGAGTATGGGCTCGTGCGTGCCTGGCAGCTGGCGACAGCCTGACGAGGCTCCGCGCCGCGGCTTGCTGCGGTGCACATGGCCCTGAGCCAAGCAACATCATCCTGCGTTGCACAGACTAAGGAACTGTACTGTACGGTACGGTACGGTACGGGTAGTGCGGTGCCCCGGGACATTCGCGAGGCAGGGCCTTGGCTCGGCCTGAAAACGGAGCCGTCGACTGCTCCAGGGACCCGGGCATACTGTGCCAACTTGAAGGGATCGAGGAGCAATCGCATACTGTACACCCCCTCCCAGCCCGGGACCCCGGTCGTCGTCCTCAGTGAACGCACGGCGCAGCTCCTACACATCAGCAAGCCTCACAGTATGGAGTAGGAAGTGATGCGCCAGGCTCTTGCGACGATGCCATCAATGCCCCCTCGTCGAAACATGGCCGTGTGAGTGGGCCAGAGCAGGGCCTGGGCTGGGCCGCGCTGGGCCGGCGGGCACCTGGCGGTGGCAGGACGTGCGCCTCGTGGGAGAGGTTGACGTTGGACAGGAGTGTTGGCGGGTGGAGGATGGAGGAGGGACGAGGGAGGAGGGTCGAAGCGTGGCAGCCACCCGCGCGGGCACGCCAGGGGCAGCTCCTCGCCATGAGATGGGTAAGTATGGACTATGGTGCTGAACATTCACCCACCTGCCTATTGAAGCCGGCAACGAGGTCACTTTGCAGCCGCAGGAATGCCGTCCTAGCCGTATTGGAGGCCATGCCTGTGTGAGGTACGGAGTATGCGAAGCTGGCTGAAGCTGGCGATGTTGTACGGAGTACAATGTGTAATGTCCATTACCTTGCGATCTTTCTGGCTCTTGTTGCATGGTTCGTACGATGCAGATGCCGTATCGAGTTTCTGGGCTGCTGAAGAGAACTCGACGGAGATTTGGCTGTGGAAAGAGTCCCGCCAGCGTTGCAAGCGTCAGTTGCGAGCTGGATGAGGCCGAGGGCGAGAATCCAAGCTCCCAGCGCCAAGTGCCATGCAAGCTACCGAGGAGATACGTACCGGCAGGAGAGTGGTCTGGGCGCTCTTGCCATGGAAGTTTCGATCCACGCGCACATGCCCGTCCGGGCGAGTACTCGGTACTTTGGTACCTCTGGTGCCATGTACACGATCATCGCTACCGGCTGCGTCGCACCCACCGCAGCATCGTGTCTTGCTCAGGCTCCGATGCCTCAGCTACTGCCCCTGTTGCTCCGACAAGCAGACAAAGGGTCTCGAGCCTGCGTATATCGTACTGTACACTGCTGATGACACTTCTCAACGAAGATGGAGGTGCAACTACCTTAGGCACCTACTAGATGGTGGTATGATAGTACCTGCCCCGAGTAGTACCCTGGGAGCCTCCCAACACGTCGTGAGCATTGCACAAGTTCCCAGTCGCACCTGCCCGGGCGAGCACGCCTCGTGCGAGGGTCCCTCTCGCCTCGGGCCTCCGTCACCTCCATCGCCTCCACAGCCTGCATCGCCTGTCTCGCCGGTTCGCAGGCCCAGGCTGGTCTCGTGGCGGGCTCTTTTGTTGACTTGCAGGTCCCGACCGGGCCAGTACGAGGGGGAGCTCGCGACCAACAGCATCACATACACCATACACGATGTGTACTACGTACACTGCACTACTGTACCGCCGCCACCACCGGCGGACGAGCCACGCAGCAGCAAACACGACACGGCGCGGGGCAGCCGAGCCGACACGGCCAAGGTGCGGTATCAAGCCGAGCGCAGCGCGTTGCGTCCTGGACACGAGGCCATGATTCGTCGAGAAGGCTTCCTGAGCCCGCCACCGACGGGACACGAGCCAGCATCAGGAATCGTGGAGTCGAGCGTCACGGCCAACCGCCAACACCATGGCGCAGGCCGCCGCAGATACTGTGGAATCTCTGTCAGGCACCTTTGCCACCTATTCGTCCAGCCCGCAGTCCACCGCATATTCTCATCTCCCGCGATCAGCTCCGAGCCAGCTCAAGAGACAATGCAAGAGGAGGCGGGATCTTGACTCTTGACCGTGATGAGGGTGGCGCCGGCAACGGCAAGACAAGTCGTTGGCCCGCGTAGCGCCATGCAGCAGCCAACCTGGGAGGTTGAGGCCCGCAGTGCCGCGAGCTGGGACTGTCAAACAGTGTCAGGCCGTCTCGTCCAACGACCAGTCCGCAACAGCCCGACACAAGCGTGTGGGGTCGACGGCGTCTTGCGGCCCAGGGCTCCCTTGTCGGTTGTGCCCACCTGCATTGTTAGCGCCTGCTTTATCTTGGAGGGCCTTTTGAGAGTCGGCCGCTGGCCCGGGACAAACGCCACTGCCACCAACGACAATGCCTTTTCTTCGGTTGTCTGCGTCAGTGTCTGGCGGCGGATGCGGTCGGTGTCGCCCAGGCACATTCTCTCATGGTGACAAGTGGCAACCCCCCCTGTGACCCCAGAGATGGACGACCCGGCGAGACTCCGACCGCCTGGGCCTCTGGATGGAGTACAGTACTGTACTGTACTCGGCTTACAGTGGCTGTATGGACGGGAGCTCTCCACACGCAGACACTGGCTTGCATTGACGGCCCAACCCTGTCTGCTTCTCCTCAACGCAAGCCTTGACAGACGGTTCATGAGCGGCACGGTGCCTCCCCCTCGACCGCCGTCCATCCCCTCCGCTGTGCTGTCGAATGTTGACGCTGCTGTCTCGGGTTTTCTGCACTCGTCTGCATCGCGGCTCGCCACAGTGAGGTCGCAGAAGGGGCGAGACAAGCGTCGTGCCACTGCGCAAGCGCTCGCCGATGCGATCCCCCTTCGGCCGCGGTCTCGCCCGCAAACGCACAAGGGCCGCCGTTAATGTGCATCGCACCCCGCACACGAGGCTCGTCCAGCAAACCAAGTCGCGTCGCGTTGACGCAGCGACGCGGCTCCGAACCCGCTGCTGAGCGACAATTATGACAACTACCATGACACCTCATCCCTCAATCACCACTGGGGCGGTCTATCCCGTGTCCCACAGCATCGGACCCTTAATATTAAGGGCAGGGATCGCGGTTGCGGTTGCGGCTGCCAGTGTAAGCGCCCGTGCCGTGGCAGCCTCCACGGCTGCCCTGAGGTGGCCGAGCCAATGGCTCGCTGCGCCTCCTCCGTCAGTTGTCGCACGGCAGTTTGTCCTATCCCGCAAGTGGCAGGAAATATCCCGTCGAGGCGTTTTTTGCGGCTTGACAAAGGGGCGGTTGGACGGACGCCATGAAAGATACCCGTTTCCGGACGCGGGGCCGGGTCACCTCCGCATACCTGCACCGAAGCCACCAGTCCAGTCTCCTTGAAGCCATTTTGCCGACAAGCACCCACCACTTGCGTGATGCGATCACAGGGGTCCCCGGCGGCCCGGCAAGCAGCACGTTCACATCGTGGTGGTTGGGGAGTTGGGGCCACGAATCCCCGGATGCTGCTGAGTGTGGTCTCCCAGCATCACTCACTCACCTACAGGCCAAGGCCTCGAGCTCCCCGTTGGACCGTCTGGTGAACTTTTGTTTTGTTCGAGGTGAGTGACGCAACACGGCATGTGACTGGGCACCTGTCGCGTGCGTAGCGCTACGCGTTGCACGAACGTTCATGTTGCGCGCCACGGATGGAATCGCACAAAGCCTTGTTCAACCTTGCTTCGATTGTGTCGCATCGCGTCTCTACTATCTTTTCGCCAGCGCCAACAGCACGTTTTCAGCGTGGAGCGCCCTTCGCTCAGGCCTTCTACATCATACCGCAGAGGGGCCTTGTGCTTATGCTTATCGGCAACGTTCTGTGACAGCTCAGTTCATCGCCTTGATAGCCTGGACGTCGTCACAAAGGTCAATGGAAGCACATGGCACAGAGGCCGAGCAACCTGCGTTGGCCCGCCGCTCATAGACTCCACCTGGTGATGGATATCAAACCTCACGAAGCGAATCGATGCTGTCTACGTACAGTACAGTACAGTACAGGAACTCTCGTCAGCATGGACCCAATACTGAGGTGGAGGCGACGGGGCATCGCCAAGTCATCGCCAAGTCGGCCCAACGGTGGTGGCGGCGGCGGCCGTGATGGCCAAGCGCCTCGTTCCCGGCGCGTTTGGGTACTTGGCGAGAATGCTCCGTACGGTAGGTGGCGTGCAGCTTGCAGCATTCGACCAAGATCGACCGCCGCCGAAGCGACGGAGACAGTGGTTGGCGGTTTGCACCTTCTTTCAAGGAAAACGGACCAATGGCAGGGGCATTGGTCGGCAGCCCCCATCTGGTACAGTACTCACTCAGAACATGCTCGGATTTGGGAGAGACGAGGTCGACGGCAAGTACGGAGTACGTCGCCCGGGATCCCAAGCTCGTTACATGCACAACGCTCAAGGACCGTTCCGGCTTCTCTCCGCGCCCAAAGAACCGGCGTTGGACTGTATACAGTATGACTGAGGTTGCCCGGAGCACACCGCAGGTCTCAGGCGTTGTCACACGCGCCCAGGGGTCTGTCTGTTCAAGTAGACAGCAGTGGCATGATGGCCTTCAGATATTCTGCTGTAGTGATGACCCTTGCGAAGGACGGCTTTTCAGGATCGAGATAAGGCGTCTTGAGCCTGCCTGCGCCTTGGGGCGCAAAGACGCAAGCTCGAGTTCGCGTCTTCCCTTGGTGAAGCGCAGCTCGCTTGCTAAACAAGAGCCGAAAACCATGCGCTTTTTCAGGAATAGGTTGATGCGCCTGTGCATCGAGAGGTCTGGCGGGCACCGTTGTGTCGCCGGATCCAGGAATGCGAGAGAGCACGCCCCAAGCTCGCGATGAGCTGCACCACGCGCGCCCAACACCTTGTTTGGATGCGGAGATGCCGGCAATGGGTCTTTTTGTCGCCCGCCAAGACAACCGCCACCGCGGATGGGAGGCGGGAGACGGGAGGATGGGGAAATTGGAGCGATATCCGAAGGCGCTGAAGAGATGGAGGCCTGCCCGCCTGCCTCTTTCACTGATGCCCCCCGAAATGAAATGAGGTTGGCTGGGATGCAGCCCTCGGTCCTACTATTGGGAAGCTGAGGGTGTGGTGTTGGCGCGAGCGCGCGCAGTCTTGTTGGGTCGGGGCTGGGTGGGTGGACTCTGGCACACTTGGGTTGGTACTGTACAGTACAGCACAGAAGACCGGCCGGCTCGACTGACAGATGGTCCCATTCGATTGTCGACGGTGGGCGGCTGCGAAGCACTGTGCAGCCAAGGCCTCGTGCCAGTCGTCGACGCATCTACTATGGGCGAATGCGAGGGATGTGGGCGGGTCGGCAGGTGGCCGGCTTGACAAAGGTGCCACGGTCGCGCGATAACGAGCCTCGACGGCAGAAAACCGTGACAATTCCTACGGGCCATCAGCCAAACACTAAGCAATACGTGGTTGTCCCAACTCCGTCTCCTGCCACGCCTGGGGGAGTCCCGGACATGGGTGAGGATCCATGACTGGGTTGATTTCGCGAGTGGCCGGCTCTGTGACCGCATTGCGCCCCAGAGAGAGCTCCAGGCTGGTTCGACCTGCCAACCATCGACCTACCGCCGCACCTTGTCGTACATACTCATCGCCGTACGAAGTACTCGTCGTCAACGTCGTCGTTTGAGCCGCAGTGAGAGAGATTTCGAGTGCACGCGTCGCCGTTATGGGTTGAAATGGTATTGATTTTGATAAATTCCCCGCTGGAAACTTATCCGGGGAAAGCCAGGAACTGAGAGCTTACCTGACAATAATGGTACAGTGGTCAATCCTCCCGGCCCGAAGGTGCCGTCGTGATGCCCTCCGACGGGGCCGCTCCCGCGCTCGTTACTTTGACCCCAGGCCGGCCTCGCGCCTCATCTCCTCTCTCTGCGCCTCGGCCTCCCGCTGCTGCGCCTTGCCCGCCCGAAGCGCCGCCTTTCGTTTCCGCTCCTCCTCTTCCTTGACCACGATCCAGACTGCGACCACCGGCGCTGTCAGCCCAAGAGCACGTCCACGGTGATGAGTGTTCTTTCGTAGGCGCGGGCGCCCACCGCGATATAGGCTTCCGATGGAAGCGGAGAGGGAAAGGGAAGGGGATAGGGGGGGAGGGAACGGAAGGGGAGCTGGGGGGGAGAAACGCACTGGGCTTGTCCGACTTGGAGTACTCCTTGAGCTTCGTCACGAACTCGTCAAACTCTTGCTCGCGCTCCTCGCGCTGCTCGATGCTCTTCTTGAGGAGGTCGGGGTTGTACCGCGCGCGCAGCTGCTCCTCCGTCGGGGTGAGCCACCAGGTGAGCGCCGGTCCGCCGATGCTGACGGCCGCGCCGCTGTGAAGTGTGATACCAAGTCAGCGCCGGGCTTCTTTTCTCTCTTCTCTCTACTGTCTCTTTTCTCTCTCCAGCGTCCCCGTCGTATTTTTGACACCTCTCCATCTTTCGTACGGCCTCGCGGGGCGGTGCGCGAGCGCGAGCGCTGCACCCGACGCAGCGGGGAGAGGGCGGGTTCGCGAAACGTACCCGATCAGGACCTTTGTCCACAGCCGCCAGTTGACGGGCTTCTTCGGAGGCATGCTTGCTGTGATGGGAGTGCGGGAGGGCGGGTGCTGCCCTGCGGGGTGTTTTGCGCACGCGCGAATAGAGAGGGTGTCGGCCGGCGTTGCGTGCCTCGTTTCTGCCGTCCGTCCGTCCGTCTGTCTGGTCGAGGTGCGCCTGTTCCAATTGTACAGCCGCCGCTGCGATTCTCGTGTTTTGCTGTGGCGTCGTTGACCTTCTTTCTCGTTTCTGTCTGGTCTTCGTCGTCGAGTTTGTGACCGTATGTGTGCGCGCGCGGGGGAGAGAGGGACTGTTTCGGTGGAGGAAGGAACAGGTAGGTAGGTAGGTGGTCGATGATGTCGTCGACGAAACGGCCGGCGCGCGAAGCTTGCGATTTTGCCACTACGTATGGGCGGCAGGCTCGGGGAGACCTACCAGTCAGTCAGTCGCTCGCTGGGCGGGCCAGTCAGGGAGCTCGCATTGCAGCAGTGGCAGTGGGCAGTGGCTGAGCTGGGGGATTTGCAAGTGTGGCGCTAGCTTGGGCGCGCTGTGGCTGGGGCCTTGACCTGCATCCTACACGATCTGTTGTTGACAGAGGACTCTGGATGATTTTTTGATGAGTGGTGAATCTGATGGGAGACGAAGTTATATTTGTGATTGTGAGACCTGTTGAAGCACTGGCTTCTTCTCATCGGACTGTGAAGCATCTCCAAGGGCAGTCACGGACCCCCGGCAGCTCCGTACTTCACTGGCAGAGTCTATAAGTGAACATGCAAAGCCAGACGAAGGCACCCTCCACCACTAATCGAGCAGCATTGGGAGCCTTCGCCGGGTTAAATCGCCTCATCCTCTCCATCGAAATCTCCAGACTATATCCTGTCTTTAGGGAGGCGCACGCGAGATCAAGCCCGAGCTGGCAGAGGCAACGCGCCGTTACCCTACACTAACCCACCAACCGCAGCAGCAATCCGCCTCCTCCACGCACTCACAACGCGCAGCTCTCGACGACAACATCGTCGACATCCATCAACTACCCCCTTCCGCCCGGGGGACCCTGTTCACGCCGTCTGTCACAGCAGTCCGACCCGCGCCCATGGTCCCTTCCCCCTTCCCTCCCTCTTCTTCGCCCGGCACCCAGGCACCCACGCCACGAGCGTGCGCACCGCACCCAGTCGCGAACCATGCTCGGCGACAGCCCGATTCGGATACATGGTGATGGTGGCGTCCCCCGCGGCTACGTACGCACCCACGCGACCCAGAACTAGACGCGACACATCCTCCGCGCTTAATCTGCCGTTAACGCTCCGCGCTTCCCTCGTTGTTGACGGAAAAGTCGGCAAGGCACGACAGGGAGCGGCCCGAGGGCGTGGGTGGATGGGGGTGGGCATGATGGCCGGGGACCCCTCCCCTGCCTGCGAGCTGAAGCCTCAAAAAACCATGATTCAACCTCATGTCACGGCTGGTGTACCCGGATGGCTGGCGTACCCGCTGCGTCGCAGGGTTCCAACGCAGATGACCTCGTGCGGTCCCCAAGGGTATCATCGGCGTGGGAATTACGCCGGGCAGCGGGACGAGCCGTCGGAGGCGCACATGTAACGTGCTTTGACGCCGATGCAGCAAGCATATATGACACGTACAAAGTAACACTCGGCCTTGACGCAGGGTACAGTTGCCATGATAACCTCACATTATTGCTCGCTACGTAGCGTCTATGCTTCCTTCAAGCCATCCCTTCATGCAAAGAAACGCCACCGAGATGCAAGACGGCCCGTCTGTGCTTTCCTAGCGGGCCTGTATGTGTCGCCGCACTCCAAAACTCCAAGCGATCCAGTATGCCATAGTCGTCACCCTTCCCTGAGCAAAACGCCCTGCTTGCCACCCTCCCATGCCCACGCACGTACCCGCGGATGGCTCAACCGTCGCGTCGCCGACTAGTCGTCTTCGTCAAAGCCGATGAGCGCGGCAACCCTGTCCATAGCGGTGCTCACCTCCCGCTCATCGGCCGGGCCATCCATGTCGGACACGCCCACCTTCTCGTACTCGTCGCCGCTCTCACCACCGCGGCCTGAATCTTCCTTGCCCTGACCACTGTCGTCGCCGCCACAATCATCCCCGCGACCTTCATCCTCGTCGGCATCGGCGTCGTCGTCCTCATCAAAAAAGTCTATTTCTTGACGACTCTGAGTCTCGACCTGCTCGGGCTCGGCGCTTGTATCGCGTGAATCGCGCAGGGGACTCATGACGATTACCTTATCACCTCCTGGCGTGGCTCCGATCGACGGTTCGTCCTGAGGAGGTGCATCTAAGAGGCTTGCAACACTATCGCCGCCTGGAGAGCTGATCAGGAGCCCGGATTCGTCGCCACTGGTAGTAAGCGGCATGTCGAACTCGTCGAGCGTGCCGAAACTAATGAGATCATCGCCGTCAAGGAACGTTGCAGAGCTGCCCACCTCGCTCCCGCTCGGGATGGACAGGTCCGCCGCTGTTCTTGCTGCTTTGTCAACATCTGTAGGGTGCCGTACAGCACTATCGCTGTGCCCCTGCGCTTTGCGCCTGAAAGCGGCCAGCAGCGACTTCTTAGGTTGGTATTGTCCACCCGAAGCGATGCGGATGAGGACCCAGTGAAAGATCCAGGGGAAGCTGATAAGGGGCATGACTCTGGGTTTCTGGTGGCGATTGGGAGCGGCTTCATCGGACACGTCGTCCGTCTCGGCATCAGGCTCATACAGCGCAACCATGGCCTCCTCCTCGGTGACCTTGTACATGGCCGCGACGAACTTGTCCAGCTTGTCGTCGTCACTGCCGCCCGCTGCCTCGTAGCAAAGCTCGCGGAAGCGGGTCTTGATGGCGTCGTACTCCCGGCCGAGATCTTCCTGGCGCTTGTAGTCAGTGCCGATGGCCGGGCGCGACATTGACCATCCGCTGTACAGCTCGAACTCGGTGGCGACGTCGTGCTGCGCGAGGACCCGGCGCACGGACAGGTCGTATTGCTGCTTGACTGCTCTGGCAGTCTGGAGCAGGTCGTCTCCGAGTTGATACCGCGAAAGGATCCTTTGGTCGAAGGTGTGCTCCCAGTCAGGCTCAAACTCGATGGTGTGCCGACTGACCTTGTTGTAGAGCACTCCCAATGTTTTGGTCGACGGGTACGAGCTACGCTTATCCATAAAGTGTGGCCATCTCTTTGGCTGTAATTCTGGAACCCATTCCGCCGGGTCACCTGTTTTCGGAAAGTCAACGGCCTTCGAATGCAGCTCTGCCAAATTCAAACCTAGAAGTCGTTAGCAGCGATCGAGCGAGCGTTGGCCCGGGGGGGGGGGGGTTCAGGTAGATGCGCACATTTTTGTGATTTTGGTCCGCCCTCTTCTTGGTCGCAGTGTGCTAGGTGCGCGGTCGCGATCAAGGGAAGAACGTCGTTCTTCATGTACTTGACGAAAAAGTCGCGAATGTCGTTGACTTCGACGTCTCTCTGCAGCTCGAGGGGCTTCGAGGGCGTATAGCTCATGGGCGGAAAGTTCCATTCCGTCGGTATCAGGTTGGGGTCCCAGATGACGAAGAAGTCGTCGCCGTCCAGGTCACCGCCGGAGAGCATATTGGGCACGGGGCGGTCCCCTGTCGACGCAAATACAACAACATCCTTGAGATGGTGCAGAAGGGGATTGTCCACAGCTTGCACGACGCGAATGTCGCCTGGGTGAAGCGAAGGGTTGCGGCCGACGATGCAAACGCCCTTGACAATGATGGTTTCGTCGTAACGATTTGGATCCGAAAGCTGCAGGAAGATTTGTGGGAGTTTGTTGACATCCTTGTTCTTAGAACCCTCCGTCGCCACAGAGTGACCTCTCAACGTGCCGGTTTCGTCGACGCAGCCAAGCACAAAGGCGCTCTTTTCGACCTGGATCCGAGCTTTCTCCTTGAGTAGCTTGAGGGACCAGGACCTCCAGAGATTCAAAAGATTGAGAGTAAAGGGTTCTTGAACGTCCTCGTTTCTGAAGCCAGCCTTCAACAGCTCGGCCAGTATCAACGTGGACTGGTTCTCGTCGACGAATTTTGTCAAGAGCCCAACGGCGACAGAGTTGTCGCGCATGGCCTTTTGGTATTCTTGTATTTGCTGATTGAGAAGATTCACAAACGTGCCAGTCGGGACGCCAAGGCATTCGAGGATGGTGATTGTCTGTCGATTCAGTGTCGCTGTGGAGAACTTGGCGCAACGAATGATCTCCAAGCCGTTGGCTACCGCCTTGAACTTTTCCTGGGAATGCCGGACGTGGACCTCCATCCCCTGGGCCTGCGGCCAGACCGCCAGCACCCCCTTGCAGCCTCCCATTCGGAATTGGAACGCAGTCGGCTCATCGAAGACGTCCAATGTCATTTCTTCGATGATGAGGCGGGCCAGGAACTGCGAGATTCTGCCAACACCGTCGGTAAAACAGTATCCATCACGTTCGATGTCGGCTATCGCCTTGACTGCGGGACGGAAGATGCCGCGGATCTCTCTGGTCGTCGAAAAGCATTGACCGAGGCGGGCGGCGTATTTGGCAACGACTCGGATGTGGCTGAAATGCCCCATCCACTTGCGAATGTCATCGCACGAGATATGCTCCGTTGGGCAGAAGAAGTATACGCCACACTGTCTCAGCTGTGAACTGCCGAAGCCCAGAAACTCGTACACTCGATCGCCTATGCGAATGCCCTGGTACAGCGCCCTGAATATGCGCTTCCAAATCTCGTCGTTCTGCGTTTTGTTGATGGCAATCCGGCCCTGTTCCGCCTCTTCGATAAATTGGACTCTCAAAAATCGATCCTGGATATGGCTGTACTTGCGCATGACCCGATTCGATGTCTCAACTGTTGGAGAGTTGTATCGTATCGTCGTGGGCGTGATGACGGCCTTGCGAACCAGCGTACAGTAGTGCGGCGTCTTGAGGTTGGGAATGTAGGCTTCGGCATCGGGGTGCTTAAAGAGCTCCATCGGATCGTACATGGGCTCTCCCTGGTCGACCAGGTATTCGAGGCGACGCGTAGCATCGAAGGGTTTCAAACTCGCCAATCTCTGCAAGAAGTCGACGGTCACTGTGTGCTCGTTAAGGATGCCACGGGAAACGCAAACTTCGAGCTGGTATCGGACCTCGAAGGGCAAGTGAATGACGGGCGAGGCCGATAGCTCCAGCAAGGCCGAGGCGTTTCCTTCAGTAGCAACAGGTTGGTGATCGAGAAAGTCCCACATGGTTTTGCCTGCTTCTCGGACTTCAAACGCGTCGCTTCTATGTACTGTGACGTTGAAGTCCTCCAGCGCCATCCGCATGAGATCTGGCGAATCGATGTAACCCATCTCCTTCTGTTGTGAGATGACGAGACGAAACGTGGTCCAGCGTCCGATTTCCATGTAGCCGGGGTCATCGATCTCATTGTGCACGGCGACTGGGTGCTTCATTGGGAGGCTTGGATCGTTTGCGATGTCCGTTGCGCGGAACCAAAGGTCAGTGAAGCTCCATATTGTGGGCCTGTCAATGAAGGAAGCCTCGACGTCGTCCATCTTCCAAAAGTACTGAGGCGGGCGCTGTAGAGGCAACACCCATACGGTGTTTCCATCAGCAGTTGTGGTTTGATGCAAATTCTTGATGCTTGAGATGTCGACCTGAAAACGAAACTCTCGAAGCTCTTGCCAGTCGTCCTTATCCACGACGGTGGGGAAATAGACGGTGAGCCACTTGTTCTTGACGTCGATCTCCATTTTCATTGAGCCTGACTGCGGCGTGGGGAAGATGGATTTCATGGCCATCATGGCTTTGGGTCCGATCATGGATCCGAAATCAAGCTGTTCGAGTCCGATGGTCATCTTGACCGGGTACTTCCGCTGGTGAGCCTGCTGGTGAGCCTCTTTGCTACCGATGAGCCACCTTCGCGGACGCTCCTCGCTCATTGTTGCGAAGACTGGGAGGCCCTGAGGATGTCTGCGCACGTTTGGGTGCTGGACCGTGACCTTGCCACTGACCCAGAACGCGCGCTTTGGTGGAGGCTCGAAGCGGATTCGAGCGGAGGTATTGCTGCGACCCGTTCCCCTTTTGAAGATGTCTATCCAAACGACAGCACCGTGGGCCGAGAACCACTGCCAGAGCAGCTGGGGAGTCACGTCTGGTGGCAGGCCATCTAGCCTCACGGTCAATTCGCGCCATTGCCGCCATTCTGCTTGAGGATCTGACTGCGGTGATGCCTTGGACGAGCCTCTGTGCTTATGGGGAGTACGCTGCGACTTGTGGTGCGCCTGACTCTGGCGGGATGTAACTGAGGATTGAGATTTGTAGCCGTCAGTTGAGCTGTTGTCCCGACGCGGAGTCCGCTGAGGGCGGCGTGGGGGCTCCCCCTTGGACATGCTTGACATGGCGCCGACGGCTGATCGGTATGTTGCCGATTGAGTGCCGACCAGACGCTGCAGTGTCGTGGAGGCGCCGGATGGTAGGCTGGTCGCGCGACCGAACAATGGGAGGGTCTTTGCAACTAGCCCAGGGTGAGGCTCGATTTGGTCGCGTTTTCGTGTCTCCGCGAATGAACAGCCGCGGACTCGGGGTCGCGCCGGCGGCGTGGGGCAGGGGCCTGGGCAACGCTAAACTGGGCAACCTCTCCCAGGAGAGAAGCCTGGACGGCGAGCCGTGGCGATGGACCGTATCCGGTCGTTCAGTCTTTGAGCCGAAACAACGGAATAGCGGCGGCGGCAGCGGACGGCGGAAGCGATTAAGTGATGGCTTGGTGGATCACGCACGACCGTCAATGGGGATTGCCCAATGTCAAGGCCGACGGGGTCGATCCACGCGCCACCTTCGCGCTGACCACTGGCTTTTATCGCTGTGACTATGGAGAAAACGGTCAGCAGACGAAGAGGACGACAACCAGAGGAAATGGAAATGCCTTTTTTATTGTAAAGAGACGAAACAAAACCCTATGTGCGCTGCGTAATTCGCTATCGCTTAATTTATGGGTGTCGCAATCGCGCGACCGCTTGTAGTGGAGGTCGGACGGATAGTAAATGGTAGGCGGGCGGGTAGGGGAGATGAAGAGAGAGTGTGTGAGAGAGAGAGGGGGGGGGAGGAGAGGAAGGGAAAAAGCAACGAGCGAAGCAAACGTTGAGCCCAGGTGCAGCAAGTGCGAGCACGAGCGAGTGTTTGTGTGCGAAGTGAGAAGCAACTTGCCCTGGCGACGGGCTGGGCTTTTTGGGGGACGGTGCGGGCGCGTGTGGGCGCGCGTGAGCTGAGGAAGGTGCCAGGCTCGTTTGCGGCTGCCAGCTGCGCGCAGTCGCTGCAACACACGCGTCGAGGGCTCAGGCCTGAACGAGTGCAGTGATTCACTATCAGGGCTCTAGTCACTGCGCGGATGGCTCTCGGAGGAGTGGCCTCGAGCTTGGTATTTATGGTGCGGCTGCTGGCCGGGCTCTTGTTGGGATCCCGTTTGCACACCAGCCGCCGTCAACGGCCCGGCAACCTATTCACTGGCAGCTGCAGGAGGGTTACGGAAACTTGCATCGGCGCGGCCCAGTGAGGCCCGATCCAGACTCCAAGGCCCGGGTCACTGCGTCGCGAGGTGCTTTGTCTCCGCTGCTCACCTGCGATTTGGTCAGACGATAGTTCCAGGTAGGGCATACCCCAGACACTGAGGGTATCCAGGTACACTTGGGTGAGCACCTGGGTGTTGGCTTTTGGGATACCGGACTCAGCAAACACCTGTCTGTGCCTGACCAGGGGGGCCGCGAGAAGAATCACAGGGTCCAGTTCTCCAGGTGCCATTTCGTCGGGCTTCCTCCACGAACTCGTCGACCGTGGAAGACTTTGCGCGCGTGCAAGAATGGCGCCATCATCCCGCGCAGATCAGTGCTGGGTTTTGACAGCCCGGGGCTGATGCCCGACGCACTGCGACGCCGCCACGCGGGAACAGCCGCCCGCACGGCAATGGCCTGGCGCGGGTGGTGGTGCCCTTGTTTGCTTCCCTGCAGGGACCGCGCTGCGGTGCATCGGGACGAATTGCCGGCCTGACCTACGGACATTTTTAAGTTACTAAGGTGGTCGATTTAATCCGACCCGCGTACGGAGTACGAGGTTATGGCATGGCATGGCATGTCTGCAGCGGGGGCGCATCGTCTGCGACAAGGTTGGCTGGCGCATTGGATTGCTGCAGACAGAGGCCGTCCAGTTGGCAACGCAAGGTAAAACGTACCATGTTAGGAACTTGGGGAGCGAGGGCAGGTAGGTACTCTGCGACATCTTTTGGCGTATGTGTTTCAGCTGATTGATTGGTACCGAGTACATGATGCGACGACGAGTCTCGTATTCACCCACGATGGCTCGGGAGTTGTGCCGTCTCCGCTGCGCGCCGCGTCCACGCGATGCGCCCCTCATGACCCATCCCGTCCCAACGGGCGTCGTAGCAGCTTGGAACTGAACAGCCAAACAGCCATGGCAGTGTACCGAGCTGCGGCTGTCTACTTCCACCCCTTTCCAGCAAAGGGTCACGTGTGCGCAGAGACTAGGTAGGTACCTAAACTTGGAAATGCCCGAGGGGGATGCATACTGCGCCAGCATAATGATGATGCGAGCCCCCAACTGGGCACGACACACGCGCGCCCTCCCGAAGCTAACTAGGCCGCCCAACCTGTCCTTTGTCTTCAGGGGCCGCCTCCGTTAAAAAAAAAATGACGTCCCCCCCGGCTCCGCCACGACCCAATCAACGCGCCCACCCCGTCGGAGGATTGCCTGACTGACCAAAACTCTGCCAGCGCCCCATTCTTTCCCCAGCATCTGAGGTGAGGAAGCCAGCAAGCAAGACCACTGCCGCAGAAATGCATTCTTGAGCCCTCCTCCTCGTCCCTCCCGGTCCCGTCCCTCCTCCCCCTTCCCCCTTCCTCCCTCCCTCCCGCACGCCACGCGAAGCGACCGCTGCCTCGGCCCAATACACGCGACCGGCTCGTCCTAATTAATTCTCCTGCATTTCCGCTGCGCGCCGCGCCCCGTGTATCGCTGTCGCATCGTCGTCGCTTCGCCCGCTACGCTGTCCTCAACTCGAGCCTTTGTCCCAAGTCGCGCTCGGTGCCCCCAAGGTCCCGCCCGCCGGAACCCCCCCGTTGTCCGTGCACCCGCGTCGCCCGTCGCCGTCCACGTCTTCGGTTTTTTATTGCGCGCTCCCGCTGACCGCCGTCGCCGGTCGCGCACCCGAACAGACGAACACTCGACAGACTCGCACGCTCGATTGAACCACCGAGGGAGCCGCCGCCATGGTTTACGTCCGTCAAAAGAACCTCCCGGCTCTCCGGGAGTACAAATACTCCTCGGTCGACCGGTCGCTCGTGTCCAAGTACATCTTGAAGCCGTTCTACACAAACTTCGTCATCAAGTGCTTTCCCATGTGGATAGCGCCGAATCTCATCACCTTGACTGGCTTCATGTTCGTTGTCGCCAACGTCCTGACGCTGCTGTGGTACAACCCGACACTCGACCACGACTGCCCCAGCTGGGTCTACTACAGCTGGGCTGTCGGCCTGTTCTTGTATCAGACCTTTGACGCCGTTGACGGCTCTCAGGCGTGAGTGTTGCCTTGGTTGAGCGGGATATCTGGGAATCGAATGCTGACACCTGGCTAGTCGACGAACGAAGCAGTCCGGACCCCTCGGCGAGCTCTTCGACCATGGCGTCGACGCTCTCAACACCAGCCTGGAAGTCCTCATCTTCGCCGCCTCCCAAAACATGGGCCAGGGCTGGAAGACGGTCGCGACCCTGTTTGCATGTGAGCCTCCCTTTGCCGCCGAACAGCCTATTCCTTGCTCCCATGCTAATCAGCCGTTATAGCTCTCCTCACGTTCTATGTCCAGACCTGGGACGAGTACCACACCAAGACTCTGACCCTGGGCATCGTCAACGGGCCCGTTGAGGGCGTCCTCATTCTTGTCGGCGTCTATGCCCTTACCGGCTTCCTCGGCGGTGCCCACATCTGGCAGCGGAGCATGCTTCGCAGCCTAGGCGTCCCCCAGAATCTCGGCATCCCGCCTCAGGTCTACGAGCTTTCCTTCACCGACTGGTACTTGGTCCAGGGCGCCGTCGTGCTCGTTCTCAACACCGTCGAGTCCTCGCTCAACGTCATCCGGGCTCGCCGTGCCAGGGGTGACCGCTCCCGCGGCGCGCTGCTTGGCCTGCTTCCCTTCTTCGGCATGTGGGTCCTGATCGTCACGTACCTCTTCCTCAACGAGGACATCCTGCACAACCACCTCGTGCCGTTCGTGCTCTTCGCCGGCCTCGTCAACGCCTACAGCGTCGGCCAGATGATCACCGCCCACCTCACCAAGATGCGCTTCCCCTACTGGAACGTCCTCGGCGTCCCGCTGGTCTTTGGCGTCATCGACTCGCTCGGCCCCTTCCTCCAGCAGCGCTACGGCTTTGGCTGGCCCAGCTCCATCGGCGACGGCGAGTACCAGGTCGGCTTCGTCTTCCTCATGTTTGGCACCGCGCTCGGTGTCTATGGCAGCTTCGCCGTCGACGTCATCGTCACCATCTGCGACTACCTCGACATCTGGTGTCTCACCATCAAGCATCACTACGACGAGAGCGGCAACCCGCTCTCCAACGGCAAGACCAAGAACTTTTAAGCGAAGACCATGTCAGGTCTCGGGTCGGGCTGCGAGCACGATGCGACGATGCGCTTGAACCAGAGGAGACCGAGACAGCGCGCGGGAGCGCAAGACGAGATGGAGAAGAACAAAAGGTGGCAGGGAATCCGGACAGGGTTGTTATGCGACCCAGCAGAGATGTAATGGCCAGTCATGTAAGATGATCTTTTTGACAGCGATGCAGCAGCGAGGGCGGACGGGGGGGGTTCGGGTTGGGCAGCAGTGAGCGCCTTCGGCCACGGCCCTCACCGCCCCGACACCCCCCCCCATTTGTTGTCTTTTTATTTCTTTACAGTCGTTGGCTCATTACGGTGCAGGCGGGGAAGGATAATGCTTCTTCTCACGCGTCCACCAGCAGCCACTGGAGTTTTCTGGGGAGGGTTCCTCTTTTTTTTCCGATACTGGGCTGGGGGGACACATAACTAGCCCCCCAGCTCGGTACGCAGCAGGGCATTTGTTGTTTCGTGTCTACTGCTACCCCGCCACGAGGTTGTAGGTGTTGTACCCGTGCGCGTGGTGGTTTTTTTTTTCTGCACTTGACTCGTTCGTTCGGGTCGCGATGGGGGAGGTTTTGCTACAGGGGCTGTAGAGCGTTGAGACAGACCTCTCGGTTGTATAGCAAGCTGGGCAGAGGAGAGAGACACAGAGAGAGAAAGAGAAGGACAAGGACGAAGACGAAGACGAAGACACGATTCCAAAGCATCACGGTGGTGTGTGGCTGGCGAGCGACGCTGGGGACGAAGGAGTAAATAGCTTGCTAGATATCAAGATGCCACAAGCATAAATCAGCCAGCCTCTCAGTCCGTCATCAGACAATCAATCAGTTCATGCATAACCACTCCTGCCCCTTCCCTGCGTCGCAGTGCATCCAAGAAACGACTACTTCCCTCCTAGCATCGGCCTCGGATGAATAAACGCCAAAACTACAAAGTACGCTCCCGTCCCATGTGGTGTGGCCTCGCGACAAAACGAGCGAGCGACCCAAACGCCAAAAAAAGGTATCCCTGCCACCCAGAAGCCCGATTTTCCCACCGCACGCTCATGCAACTCATCCATAATACGCACGCGTTGTGCGCCACTCCCCTTGCTTCGCTTCTCCCGTGCCGCATCCCCTACGGTGCGCACACGCCGTGCCGGCCGAGGCAACCGCCCGACTATAACAAGTCGTCGGACCCGCTCGCGACGCTCTGCTCAATGGCGCGGAGAATGTCCGACTCGGCAAAGACGGGGCCCTGGCCGTCGCAGCGGGCGCAGTCCTTGAGGAGCTCGCTGACGCCGCCCACGTCGACGAGGCCGCGCTTGAAGAGGTCGTGGGCGATGATGTAGTCCCACGTCGCGCCGGCGGCGAGCAGCCGCTCGCCCTGGTCCGACGTGGTGATGCGGTGCGAGGGCTGCTTGTTCGGGTGGTTTTGGAGGACGTTGGAGTAGAAGTCGGTGGGGCTGTACCTCATCGGGGCCGTGGTGATGGGCTCCGGCGAGTGCGAGCTCTGGTGGCCGTGGCCCATGGATGAGGTGGCGCGCAAAATCTCATTCTCGGTGGACATCTTCTGCAGGTCGCGCTTGAGGCGCTCATTTTCGACCGATGCCTCCTGCTGGGCCGCCTCGAGGTTGGCCAGCTTGGCCTCGAGGTCCTTGACGTGCTTTTCCTTTCTCTCGCGGAAGGCTCGCTGGCTGTGGGGTCAACCGTCAGCGACGTCAGCACGGGGCGGCGCGAACCGGCCCTCGGCGACCAGGACAGCAGCGCCCCGGAGAGGAGCTGCATGCCCGGAGGACGAGGCCGGAGACGGCGGAGGGGTTTTCAGGACGTACGCAGCTCGGTTTTGGGCCTTTCTCCTGGACTGGGCGGGGGTCAGGTTATCGTCGTCCTCGCTGCCACCGCGCGCCCCGCCGGAGTCGTCAGCGCCGATGTCGCTCTTGGGGCCGGGCATGGTGCCATTCGAACTGTCGCTTCTCGATAGGGCGGGCTGGCGCTGATGGGCTAGAGGCTGGTGTTGATGCTGGGGATAGCCCGGGTTGACGCCATGCTGGTTCGGCGGGGTCGGCGGCCCGGCGAAGCCGTGGTGGGCATTGCCGCCGAAGCCGTTTGGGATGTCGAAAGCATGGAACGGCTCTGCAGCAGGGATGCTTTCAAAGGGATCCTGCTTAGGGCGAACGGGCGTCAGCAGCTGCTTTGACGGAAATGAATGGAGGCGACACTTCCGCGAGTCGGGAACTGCGGCGCGGCGCTGGGCCAGGCACGCAGGTTGGGGAGAGGCAGGGGCGTGGCTATGGTAATGCTCAGGTAATGCGGCGCGCCAGCAAATCAAGCCCAGCTCGTGGGGGTTTTGCGAGCTGGCCGCACTGCAGCCCCCCGGGAGATGGAGAGCGACAGCCGCGTTCGCGGGGCCACGATCTCGGGCGCATGTAGATCGGGAAATGCAAGATGCTCAGGGGAGGGACTCGGCACTGACAGGTGAGGTGTGACTGTAATCCTCCGAGGGCCCCGACTGCCCAGGCGTGAGCGGCGGGATGGGCGCAAACGACGGGTAGGGCTGCGTCGAGGCAAAGGCGTACTGCCCCGTAAAGTCCATGGTGTGCCTTATGTTTAATGCTGTTGGTGCTGCCGGTTGACGTCGCTCTCGTTGTTGGCCGCTGCTGGTGCTGCTACTGGCACTTCTTTCCCGCGGACTGACTGGCAACGGAGATGCGTCGTGAAGATGTTGCAAGGCGGGTTGGAGAGCCTGGCTGGAGATGCTGAAAAGGCGGGGGGTGGGACGCGGACGAGACAGAGGACGGCGGCGAGGGTGGTTCAGAGGGAAGAAGGCAAGTTCTCGATGGGCGCGATGGAAGGGGAGAGGACGAGATGAAATGGGGACAGGAGATGGATTGGCGAGAGCCGGGACGGATAGGAAGACGTCGACAGAAATCTCCAAAGATGACGGTGCCGCAGCTTCTGGCGGCGCTGCTTGCCTGCCTGGCTAGTACGCGTACGGTACGGTACTGTACTGCTGCCGTGAGGGCAGCACGCGCGGCTAACGGTGGGACACGGACAATCTGTCTTGGCCCTTGGGTGTGTCCAGACCGGAGAGGGCATCCACGCATCCACGAGACAGAGGGCTTGGAGTCAGTGAACGGGGGGAGGGGACACCGATTTAGCGCGCAAGCCGAGACGGCGACTCGGCGGGGGTCGGATGGGAGGGTGAGGGTGAGGGGAGGGGAGGGTGAGGGGAGCGCAGGACTGGGCGGAACGGGCGAGGAATTTGGGCCCACGAGGGGCGGAGACGGACACGGCGATGGCGGCGGGCGGCGCAGGAGGTGGGAGGGGAGGAGGGGAGGAGGAAGACAGACGACACGGGGGCGTTGATGAAGACGACGATATTGGTGGACGGATGCACGCAAGGATCCAACCTGGAAGGTTTGGCTTTGGGGGGGCTTGCCCGGCTGCCGCCTGGTCGGGTCGGCCGTTGCGAGGATTTGGGGTCACTGCGTCCCGTCAGAGGGGTCCATGGCCCGGTAGGTACCAAGATAGAGCCGTTGAAGACCCTGGTGGAGCGGGTACATCTCCGGACTGGTCACTGCTGGCTGAGGTACCTTGCCTTACCTGCCTGGAGCTGCCCGCCACCAACGCAAATACAGCGGGCACGCCTCGGCAAGTCAGCCAGACAGCCTCCGAGACTGCGGACGGGAGGGCGCTTCGCTCGCGGTGTGGTCATCCACGGATGGCATGGCTGGCTGAGCCCGTCCAAGCCCAGCCCAGCTTTGGTAGCTCAACCATCCCGTAGTAAGTTACGGTATAGGGTTCCCGAGGTTCGAGGTTCGAGGTGGCATTCCTGCGCCGGCCGCAGATCCTGCACGGGAGCCAAAGCAAATCCAGGCGGTCAGGCCAGGTCAGGGCGCCTTTGCTGCCCAGGGCAAGGATCACGGCGACGCCAAAGTCAGCGCCTACCTTGGGTATGTGGCCAGGTAGGTAAGGTACACAGGCGATGTAGGTAAGCTGGACGCCCGCAGACGTGGGCGCATCGTGCGTGCTGTGCCCTACCGAGTAACCTTGGAAGTGACACCGGAGCAGCTGCCAGCTGCTCCGCGGGAGGGGCAGGGCGTGTGGTCCCTGTCGCCGTCGTCGTGGTATCCATGGATCGTTTGGCGTCTTCACCCGACTCGACTCATCAACCTGCTGTCGTCACTGCTTGGCAAAGCCGCCTCCCAGGGCCCTAGCTCCCGATTGTGCCTGGCACGGACTGCCGGTGCCCGCCCTGCGTGCTGCTGGACAAGCCACTGGCGTTCACGGACGCGCTATCGTCGCCTGGGCATAGCCGGGCTGGCCTCGCCGCCACCGGCAGCGGGAGCAGCTCGGGCCACTGGGGCCGCCACCTCATCGCAACGACTCGCGGGCCAGGCTGGCGACCGTACCTAACCTTTCGCAGACATGAAAACCGCTGCTAAAGAACGGAGGGGAACGTGGAGAGCGCTTGATGCCCTGTTAACTCCGTTTTATGACTTTTCCAGGGCTGTTTGTATTCTGGAAGTCGGACTTAAGGGGGTTGGAAGAAGGCGCGCTTCATTGCAGAGCCTACAGTGAGCCTGTAGCGCTTGTCCAGTGACCTCAACGAGCAGCGGGGGAGAGCCATCAAGCAGGCGGGATGTTAGGTAGCGGCGGACATGCAGTAATGTACGAAGGACGCAGCCCATACCTTACCTTCCAGGTTGGGTAGACGGGAAACTCCAGCTGTTCCATAAGGTAGGCACGCAGCACCTCCAGTTGCCCGCCAGGCTTGACATGCTGTCAGCTGTCGCTGCAACGCCCCCCCTCGGAGATGCACAGCGCGGAGGGCAGTCAACTGTGCGCACCTCACAACTTACAGCACGCAAACAGCCACGCCACCGAAACACACTCGCTGCCCTGCCCTGCTGCCCACGACGAGGCTTGCATTTGCAGTTTGTCTCAGCCCACAAAAAAAGCACGACACGCCGCGGGGGGCGCCTTGCCCTCCTGGGTATGAGTATCTGCCAGTCGCCTTTCTCGCGCGCGCGCGCGGCCCCGTCCACATGGCAAGGCGGGCATGCGGGCTCCTCCTGGGCCGGGGGGGGGGGGGGATCTTGCAGCCATGTCCATCAGTGGAGGTCGAATCGCATCGTGAACCGGTACGTCTGAACCAAGAGCCGGCTGGCTGGCTGGCCTAATTACCCCTTTGCCCAAACAACCTACGCATTGGGTGCTGGCCATGCTTGGCCGGTGGGATCGCCGACGCCCCGGGGCGGTGCCACGCTGCGCTAGCCGGTGGGGGCGTAAACCTTGTTTGCCGTGTAACCTCATCTTCAACCTCACCTCATCCTCGTCTCTTAACCCGTCTCTGGTTCCAGCGACGCGACGGCTGCGACTTTTGCTTGCTTCTTTGTTGCTGCTACTGCTGCCACTGCTGCTTTCACTCTGCCTCTAGATACTGCCGTCCTAGCCGTGTAGGTCAGATCCTAGAAGGACGCACAGCCAACGGTAAGCGTGAGCATCGCGTTGCGTCCCCCGGCCCAGCTGCGACCCCCCTTGCCTATGGGCTGGCGTCGCGATATCAACAACTGATCAACACTCGACGCGCCCGCATTCGTTGACTTGCTAGCGCCCCTCTCACCCCGACGGCGGAGAGAATCTCTGCGGGGCCGAGTACCGGGATAGGGGCAGGGCGGCTCTCAACCTCGCCACCGGGCGCGGCTGTGACAACCTCGCAAGGCAGCCAACGACTCGCCTTGCCGCGCTGCCCCGTACAATGCTTGCTTGACGTCGCCCGTCACCGGCATCACTCCCGGAGCCCCTCCAAACACGGATAATAGCCCCGACTGACACTTGGGGCCTTATGGGGCCGCCGTGCACATACGTACGCGTCTTTCGGCTCCGTCGTTGTGGGACTCTGCACCCCGTAGGCTCGGGTCAATGTGGTTCCCGAGTATCTGAAGACGGTGGCTATCGCCCCCCTGGTATGAGGTGACGATATGTCGGGCGGGCGGGCAAGGCAGAGACCCGAGCAATGCGGCCGAGTCACGCTCGTCAACGGAGATGGCCAGGCCCGATGAGGGTGAGCTCGGGCAGCGTCATGACTCTCCGCCCCTGGACCCAATCGCGGACCGTCTGTCGATCCCCTCAGGTCCAGAACCACGAAGCTTTTTTTCTCTTTAGAGCCAAGACCCCGACCCGGGGTTACGCGTAGTACAAAGCAGAAGGTTCATGATACCATCAACCTGGTACGTGGCATCGCATGGGGAGAAGGCCCGCCCGCTCGCCGCGTCGGTTCCATCTCGGCCGTGAATCTGCGTTCCGTGGGGCAGGGTTATGCCAAGTACATGTAGGCAGGCGGGCCATGGGGATAGAGTTGTGCGCGGTGAAACACGCAATATCATGCTCTCCATAGTTTTTGACCTCGACGTTCGCATCATGCAGGGAATGTCACCGCGAGAAAAGGGGGTTCCCTGATAGTCCATGGAAGTTGGGCCCTCGCGGCTGCAAACGACGTGGGCGTGTTTGAAATCCACGAATGACAGGTCTGTCTGCGCGCCCTCGATATGCGTCGTTGCATTTCATCATTCTCAGGGGCTGCTAATGGTGATTGTCTCTCATGGTGTTATCGGGATGAAACCTCCCTACTAATTGACAATACCGTGTGCGGCTTCTGCGTGAAGCCCATGTTGCCCAGCCAGTACGTTAAATTCTAAAAGCGCACAGAGGCGCGTTACCGTGAGAAAGGGGAATGTAATCCAATGAAGTGGAATACCGAGGTGAATCCAGGAAACAGGCAGCCCAGCGCGCCGGGTTCGGAGACGTGCCAACGCTGGCATGATTCTTTCTGCGGACCCATGGGTGCGGTTCGTGGCCAAGGCGGAGCAGAGAACACAGAATAGCATGCCTCGTTGCGGACGGGACCGAGGTGTGAAGGCCCATCGACGTGAACATGACGTGTTCTGCTCTGTTCTCGTCGCTGGATCCCCCTCTCTTCGGCCGAGCCTTGCATGGAAAACAAGCCTTGTGGGCTCCACGCCCGGCGTCTCGCGCCACGCATCAACGAAGACCCTCCTCCCGCCACGCGACCGGCCGGCACCTGGGCCGGATCTAGAGAAAGGGGTGGAGGAGGGAAGAAAGGGGGGGGG